TTGGAGCGGCCGAGAGATAATGGAGCTGCTTTTCGAGAAATGGCCCGACCAGGTTCAGATTACCGATAAACTTGTCGAAACTGCTGCTGGTGGTTTTGGCGGCCGAGAGATAATGGAGCTGCTTTTCGAGAAATGGCCCGACCAGGTTCAGATTACCGATAAAGTTGTCGAGGCTGCTGCTGGGAATCAGTATAGCGGCCGGCAGGTGATGGAGCTTCTGCTTCGATCTAGCGCTGCTGTGGAATCCTCTGCCTTGGTCATTTCAAAGGCATTGATCACTGCTTTCGCGGCCGAAAACTTTGAGATAGTTGATTTTCTCCTTAAATATGGCGCTGATAATGCGGTCGCAACCATTAATGGTGTGACACCATTAATTGCCGCTTCTGAGAGCAGCCATATAGATTTTGTGAAAATGCAGCTCTGCAAGGACGCCGACTGGACGGTCGCAGATGACAATGGACGGACGCCGCTTCATGCTGCTTCAGCCAACGGGCATACCGAAGCAATCCGGCTGCTGCTCGACAAAGGCGCCGACTGGGCGGTTGCCGACAACAACGGGTTGACTCCACTCAACACAGCAGCGTATCATGGTGAACTGGAAGTAGTTGAGCTGCTGCTCGACAAAGGCGCCGACTGGGCGGTTGCCGACAACAACGGGTTGACTCCACTCAACACAGCAGCGTATCATGGTGAACTGGAAGTAGTTGAGCTGCTGCTGGAAAAGGGCGCCGACTGGGCAGTTGCCAGCAAGGACGGATGGAGGCCATTATATTCTGCTTCCTACAGCGGACAAACCGAAGTGGCCAGGATACTTCTGGAGAAGGATACTGATACGTCTTTCTCAACAAAAACGGGGATGACTCCACTCCATGCTGCCGCCTGCTGGGGACATTGCGATATCATTCAATTACTTCTTCGTCATGGCGCTGATATCTGTGCATTAGACATCTTTGGAAGGCCACCATTCTTTTACGCGATTAAAGCTGGACATACCACTTGTTTGTCTCACCTCCAGAGTCAAGAATTTCTTGAGCCCGATTTTCGAGATGTCTACGGCTCAAATGCCCTTTCTGTCGCTATACGATGTGGTCATGAAGAGATGACGAGAGACCTCATGTCAGAAAGGTCCTTGATGGTAGCAGACCGCTTCGGCCGTACGCCTGTCTGGTGGGCTCACAAGCAGGGCTGCATGCATAGCATTGAACACATTGCGGTACATCTAGGTCCTGAAGTATCCTCGGATTTGTTATCTGGATCACCTGCAAGATTTGTTACGGAAGACGGTTATTGTGATGTGTGCTTGGCGAGCCTAGAGGAGGCATACCACAAATGCAAGATTTGTGGTGATGGTGATAGAGGCTTTGCGATGTGTTTGGATTGTTTTCATCTTGGGGCTCGTTGCTTGGTAGACACTCACACATTGACCTTGTCTGATAAATAGTTGTTTAATTTGAGCTGTGGTTTAGTTCAGGTTTCGAATTCGAAGGGAATAGGTTCGGAAAGTAGGCCATCACATCTGGGTATGACACAAAAGAGTTGCAGCATGTAGTACTAAAAGTCATTACAAAATCTGACCAAAAACTGGTGGGAAGTTCAGTTGGTGATCCCGCGTCGTCTTCTGATCGCGTCAAAGGAGATGGCTCAACCGGATGGAGGTTTGGCATGGCTAGCCGTGTCAAAAGGGAGTCTTCCCGATTATTATGTCTACTGTGGATAGGGGGAATGCAGTTGAAGAGCATAAAGATCGCGTTTCATATCCCAAACTGAGATATTATCGACACAGCCCCGAGATACGAATCTGCCAAACCATTGATGTAGGACGTGTTTGTGCACTTGTCCCTCACATACGACCATAGATACTAGAAACTCGGCATCCCGTCCGCTCTGCCCTAGATAAACTAGAAACCGTGGTACTCTCTGTCACTGGCCTGAGGCTCCTGTCGACTAATCTCGTCGGCGCCGTCTTCTGCCCAATGTGCATCCACTGCGGTGAGGTATGGCAGAAATGATATCTCATCTCGCTATATATTTCTTGGAATAAACTCGAACATTTGCGTTACCGGCGGACTGTAGACACGAAGCATCGATTCTATGGCCTCGCGGTCCACCATTAGACAGCCACAAAAAGGCTGTACCGGGTGGGAGGGAACCGGTAGCATGGGGATGGCGAAAGAGACAGTGGGAAATTAAGTTTCCCAACAATGGCACAAAGCTGCTTCTTTCCTCACTTTCGAACTTCAAGAGGGCCTTTCCCGTCAAGCTTGGCCTTGCCATCGACCAGTACCAGGTAACATCATCCGGATCCACGGCTTCTGGCGCGTAAAAATGCTCATTTAGAAACTGTTCGAAGTATGATTTGTAGAGATCAAACGATGCATCTCTTGAATAATCCAGGCGGGATATGGGGTAGCCAGTGTTTCTATAAGACGTGGGGAACAAGTTGAGGGGGCTGGCGTGGCGTAGTGGTCGACCCCAATTCGGTCTCCCGCCTCATGCAGGACATCGAAGTGAAAGGCAGCGTTGAGCAATGATATGGTCTATTTAGTCGTCAGATTTCAGTCCAATTGCGACATCCGACAATACTTTTGGTGACTCACATAAAGAGGTAGCGAGAAATAGTGTGCGTTCGGGCATGTCTACAATCTTTGCCGATTCCAGCCCTCCTCAGAGGCGAGGATGGCGCCGATGACTCTCCGTGTCCTAACGGAGTCTTCCCGCCACAAATTTGGCGGTTAGCGACGCTTCCGTGGTAAATGGAACGTGGACTAGGAATCGGGCGCGCTGCATGTCAACCGTTGCTACATTAATAAAGGACTCCTGGATTGAAATGCTATAGGCAAATGACAGAGGTGGTCAAGAGCACCTGTAGGCCTTAGCACTAAAACAATCATGGTGCTTCTGGTATCCCCACTTCAGTGGTCTTTAGTGGTTATTCCACTGTAATCGATGCAGCCTAGCAGTTGTCAGCATTATTGCCCGTGCTTTGCAAGTACCTTATGGATTTCAATGCCACGTCAGCATCCTTGAATGGACCTTACCTTGATCGCATTCGAATTTCCAGCATGCCTTTAGCTCAGTGAAGCCACTTGACCCTCACAGATCGCGTGACAAATTTGAAGATGCACGATTCTTTTTCCATGAGTTTTGATAGATTCACAACTTTTGATGATCCACACCTCTTCACCAGTGCATATCCTGTACGGACCAAAGATAGCGAGCCCTGCAACTTTATCACTTTTCTAGCCACTGCCCAAAGGCTCCGGATTCCGTTTCTGTCCATCACATGGGAGGCACACCGATCAATCATTGGTGCAGGCGCCACCAGCCGAATCAATCAGACTCTTGTCAATCTGAAGAACGCCTTTGCCTTCAAGCGCATTGGAGATGGCGACAGACGCAAGGCCGAGGCGGAGATTTACGAATGCCTCATTAGCGAGCTCATGATCTTGGGCCATCCAGAGATCCGTAATCATCCCAATATTGTGGAGTTGCAGGGCATATGTTGGGATATCGCGCCAAAATCATCCGCGGGCGCCACTGAGGCAACAGAAACAGTGTGGCCTGTACTGGTATTTCAAAAGTCGCAATATGGAGACATGTACAATTTCGCGGGGTTACCCGTGGCGCGCGAGCTTTCTATCAATGATCGCATCAAGATATGCCGAGATATTGGGAATGCCTTGGCACATTTACATCTTCACGGTACGCAAATTAAGCGTATGCTTGCCGCTTGTCGTATTAACAGTCCCTGCAGGTATCATTCATGGTGACATCAAACCTCAAAATGTCCTCATCTTTAGAAGCGAAGACGGCTCCTTGTCTCCAAAGGTAGCCGACTTTGGCTTCTCGGTTCTAGGCGCCAAAGATGAAGACCAAATCACCCTCCATGGCACCCCATTATGGCGTGCGCCAGAGCTGGATGAATATCCCACTTTCAGCAAGTCTGATGCTATGAAGACTGATGTCTTTTCTTTCGGGTTGCTCTGTTTGTGGTTTATTCTTGAGGAGCATTTGTTACAACCTTTTTCGTTTGACGGACCAACACCACTGTCCATCGCGGATAATCCTAGCGCAAATGGCAAGCTAGCTGTTACACAGCTGGCCAATCTGAAATCAGCGGGCGCACTGACGAATTTCGTCCAACGGGTGTTGGTCAAAGCCAATACAAGCATAGAGAACAAGGAAATCTTGCAGGATTTCTTCTCCGCCTGCCTTTCAGACGATCCTGGAAGCAGAGGAGCAGACATGATTCACGCCGTGGACAAATTGACTGGAAACCGGTAGAGATACCCTATAATGATTTCATATAGTCCAATGCCTGACCTACAAGCATAGAACTCCTCGAGTGCGCCCAGAATATTTGGCTAATGGAACTGCACCAGAAGACGATGATTTCGGAGCAAGTATAGTTCTTACCCTGTTTAGCGATTGAGACTAATTATTACAGTTGGCATACTCTCTTCACTCATTTTACCTCTCAGACTACCGACTACGCTCCCACATCCTTAGAAGTTTGGAAAGTATCATCGCACATCGACCACAAAGCCCCCTTCAAAGGCAAATAGCTCTTGCTCACAGTATAGGCTTTGGAGGCTTTGGAAAAACTACTGAAGAGCAGCGTTTGTTGAGTAAGCAGGACAAAGCTGCGGCTCGACTCGCAATTTTGAATTTTGTTGTGCGCCAGCGCCAGTCCGGAATGCATGACAATGCAGGCCTGTTTTATACTGGAATGTTGGACTCGGGCCTTATATCGCTTGAAGACATGGTGGATTTATACCGCCGCCACGGTGTGTTTGAGGAAGCAGAAGGGATCACGAACATGGACATTCAGCGCTTGGGTGAAGTAATCGGTCCGGATCACATCATCGTGGTTAGTTTGAAATCAATCCTCTTGACCATATTAGAATCAAAGGGCCGATGGGAAGAGGTCGGCAAGTTGCGGTCAGAACTCATGATAACCGTCAAGAAATCACTCGGTCATCGACATCCAGTCACCATCACCATCACACAGAACCTGGCCCGTGACCATTTTCTTCAGGGTCAGTGGCGAGAGGCGGCAGAACTATGGGAGGATACTTACGAGACCTCCAAGCTGGTGCTCGGAAAGGAACACCCGCAGTCATTATGGAATCTAAGCGGCCTCGCTGAAGCTTTACAGAAGTTGAACCGACATGCCGAAGCCACGCAGATATATCTCGAGATCATTGATGCATCAAAGCGGACTCTGGGTGAGGAACATATCGATACGATAAGTTTCATGGGTGATCTGGCTGCTGCCTATGTGGCACAGGGACGTTTCAATGAGGCGGAAGAAGGCTTGTTGAATTTGTCACTGGTCGCCCAAAGGTTCTTTGGCCATGATGACGAGCATACCTTGAACGCCAAGGGTACTCTAGCCGGCGTTTACTACATGCAGGGAAGGTATGGAGAAGCCGAAGCCCTTGCAATGGAAACTGCCGACATTTCCAAAGGTCGCCTGGGAATTGAACACCCCAATACCCTCAGTCACATGCACACAATAGTGGTCATTCATCGGGGACAGCGTAAGTGGGAGGCAGCCAAAGAAATAGCTCGGGAAACATTCCGAATTTCCAGCAAAATATTTGGTTTCCAACACAAAGACACTCTGACATACGCAAATGAGCTAGCGCAGAACTATCAGGGTCTAGGACGGTACGAACAAGCTGCGAAACTGGGCCTGGAGATTGTCGAGGCATCTAAGAAGGTGTTTGGACCACAAAACCCCAGTACATTGTCTAGTCTACAGCATCTGACAACAACATATCGATGTCAGGGTCTCGATGTGGATGCTGAAAAGCTTGAGAAAGAAATCGAAGGATTACAACCACTAATATCAATACCCAAGCAAGCGCAGCATTACCGAGAACCTCCCACTGCTCAATCCAATGATGACTTCTCTGCCGATTTTAGCAAATTTCAAATTTCGGACCCAGGGACCCGTAACGAGGATTTTAGTCCGGACTCTGTTCCGGATGCTCTCGACCCGGCCCAGGACTACATGGCAATCAATGCCGCCTTCTTCGGGGCTGCACGAAAAGGAGATGCAGCCGAGGTAGAACGACTTCTATCAATGGGCGTTGGCATAGAGGCAAGAACCAGGGCGGGAGGTACAGCGCTGTCAATCGCTGCCCGTGAGGGCCATGTCACCGTGGTCGAAATGCTACTTGCCAATGGGGCAGACATCAACGCCGAAAGCATCACCCTATATACGCCATTGGACTATGCCGTGTGGAAGGACCATGCAGAGGTTGTGGAACTTTTGCTGGCCAGGGGTGCTGATATGGAGGCTATTCACGACCATGGCGGAACCACGCTGCACAAGGCGGCGGCTTTTGGAAAATTAGCCAGTATCAAACTCCTCCTTGATGCCGGTGCAAACCTTGAGGCTCAAGATGAGGATGGCAAGACGCCCTTGTTTTGGGCGTTTTGCTTCTTTTCCCCAAATGCCGTCGCCACACTGGAATTACTACTGGAAAGGGGCGCCAACATTGAAGCTAGAAACAATCTTGGCATGACTCCGCTGCTGGACGCCATAGAGACATTCAGTAATGCCCCAATCATCGAACTTTTACTCCGCAAAGGTGCCGATATTGAAGCCAGGGACAACATGGGCTGGTCTCCCTTGCTGTGGGCAGCGGAAGAAGAAGATGAGATAATTGTTGAAATTCTACTAGCCAAGGGCGCCGACACTGAAGTGAGGAATCAATTCGGTCAAACGGCCCTCTCATGGGCCTGTCGAAGAGGCTTCGAAGATGTTGTAAAACTTCTTCTCGAACATGGTGTAAACATTGCGACCAGAGACGATGAGGGCAAGACCCCCCTAGATTGGGCTCGAGAGATGGGTTTCGATGCCATTTCAACACTCATCAATACTTGGCAGGACAAGGAGATTTGATCATGGTTTCGAGGCAAATACAATCTTTAGTCACTAGATTAACATTTAGGATGATTCATGATTAGCTCAAATACGACACGAGTAACTTTATGGCAGTCTATCATCCAACGATTAGACTGACGATTGAAAGTAATAGTAATGAGCCCGATGTTACTGATTATAGTCACCTCAAAGTAAAAAAGAACCCGTTCGGTCGAACGCGATTTATCAAAATCATGTTACGCCGCATATCTTGGTGGATCATATGCTGCCTCGGCACAGATAAATGAAATGGAATTTAATGCATAGGAAATGTTTCATTGCTTTTTTCGCTTTCATTTCCGAATATTCTATCCAAGGCTTAGAAGCAAACAGCTGAAGAGAAAACCCCCTGACTTGCTGCGTGGAGTTCTCGAGGCTTGTTGCGAAACTACTTCACGTGAAAGTATTTACCAAGGATCGACGTTTCAACGCACTATACGTAATTGCCTAGGTAAATTCTTGCATGAGCTATAGTTGCATGAATCTCGCTTCCCCATTTCATTGGCTCTACTCCTCTGGTCCCTGTATTCGTGTTCGTACTTGCTACCTGGGATACCCCGCGAACTCAAATCCTGGTCTGGGATAGTTTGTGATGATTGGTGCAAATTGTGTTAAGGGGCAAGTGAGAGAGGACTCGGTAATTATATTCAAAAAGACGGCATGTAACAGCTACTCAACATCAACTCTCTTGACATATGGAAAACAAGCATTGGGAAACAGTCACTGATCGGCGAGAATCGTGAATCCGGTTGTTCGGCAAGAACACTGAGATTTAGTCTTCCGGCAGCAATCGACGGCAACAATGAAAATAGAGATTTCATTTCACCATGATAAGGCATATACAAATGTAAGGAAACAAATTATCTATAAGATTCAAAATGTAAATCATTCACTTGATTCAAACGAGTATCTCGCAGTCATCTCGCCTGATCCTATTATAATATTATCTTTGACAACACCAAGCCTTCTCTCTTTGCAATCTAGCATAGAACACACCATGCAAATCAGCGTTCATTTCTTGAAAGCCGCTCTGCTAGGGGCTTTCTGCGTCCTGGGAGGACCACTGGCTGGTCGAGATGCTGTAGCCCAGCCGACAGTGACCATAGCCGACGGCACCGTGGTCGGCATCGTCAGGGACAACACTGAATCTTTCGCCGGCATCCCCTTTGCCCAACCGCCTGTGGGCCCTTTGAGGTTGAAACCACCTCAGCGGCTCAACTCCTCCTTTGGCACGCTCGACGCCTCGAGCCCTGGCCCTGCCTGTCCTCAGCAAGTGGTGGATACATCGAGCGCTGATCTTCTTTCACAAGTGCTCGGTTACTTGGTCGACACACCACTGTTCATGAGTGCACTCAACCAAAGTGAGGATTGCCTCTTTGCCACTGTCCAACGACCGGCAGGTACAACAGCCGAAGACAATTTGCCCGTCGTGGTTTGGATATTTGGCGGTGGCTTCGAAGTTGGCTGGTCATCCATGTATGATGGCATTGGCCTAGTCCAGCGAGGCATTGATCTCAACCAACCCTTTGTCTATGTTGCCATAGCTTACCGGGTCGGTGGGTTTGGCTTCATGCCTGGCTCCGAGATTCTGGAGGATGGCTCCTCCAATCTTGGACTCCTCGATCAACGACTTGCTCTTGAGTGGGTAGCTGACAACATAGGAGCATTTGGGGGCGATCCCGACAAAGTGACACTGTGGGGAGAGTCAGCTGGTGCAATGTCTATTTTCGACCAAATGGCTTTATACGACGGTGATCATACATATAACGACAAGCCCTTGTTCCATGGTGCTATCATGAACAGCGGAAGCATCGTGCCCGCGGCCCCAGTGGATGCGACCAAGGGGAACGAGGTTTACAGTCAGGTGGTCCAGGCAGCTGGTTGTTCTGAAGCCAGTAGTTCTCTAGATTGCTTACGCAGCCTCGACTATGCAGATTTCCTGGATGCTGCCAATAGTGTACCCAACATCTTGAGCTATCAATCAATAGCACTCTCCTATCTGCCTCGGCCCGATGGAAAGGTTCTTACCCAAAGTCCTGAACTGTTGCTTCAGGCTGGGAAGTATGCAGCTGTACCTGTCATTATCGGCGACCAGGAAGACGAGGGAACTCTCTTCAGCATTTTCCAAAGCAACCTTTCAACGGTGGACGATATCATTGATTATCTGCACGATTATGCATTCATAGATGCTTCACGAGAAGAAGTTGCCGGCTTTATCAATACATACGACTCCTCTTCATCGGCGGGGAGTCCTTACAATACGGGCCCATTCAATGAAATCTACCCCTACTTCAAGCTCATGGCGTCAGCGATTGGCGATATCGTATTTACACTTACTCGCCGAGTGTTTCTCTCGGCTTTTGCCACTGCGCATCCGGATGTTGCGGCGTGGTCTTACCTCTCGTCCTACGACTACGGCACGCCAATACTCGGGTCATTTCATGGTGGTGACATTCTGCAAGTGTTTTACGGAATTTTACCAAACTATGCCAGCGCTGCAACTCAGACGTACTTTATCAACTTCATCACCAACGGGGACCCCAACATTGGAACAACAGATTATCCTCTGTGGCCACAGTGGAGTGAGGCGCGGCAGTTGATGCAGTTTTGGTCAATCACTAGTGATTTCATCACGGATGACTTCAGATCACCAAGCTATGAGTATATACTTAACAATGGTACAAATCTGCGTCTCTGAAATACGCTGGGATTCCAATGGGGTATGTAGAACAGTGGAGAGGGGAATTGTGTCGTGGTATGGACGAGGGCTGCTACCGCGCGATCGTGGAGGCTATTTTTCTGTGCCTCTCGCTTCTTTTGCTTCTCAGTCTTTCAATTATAATTCTTGTGGAAACGTATAAAATAATTCTTGATTGAGTGCTGCAGCCTAATTTACCAGTGCCATGTAAACGCCGCTCTTCTCAATGTCTGAATACTCTGAGTGACGAGTCATATTCCTTTCGCCTATGTAACGTTAAAATAATGGAAGACATATAATACTACAAACCCAGACGCAGCTATGAAATACTTGGTTTTCAGCATCTCTACCGCCGCCATCCCATGGACCGGGTCGTACTTGTGGTATGCAATTGCAGCAAGAAGTACTGTGACCAGAAACAATGATTCAACTAGCACAACTAAAGCATAGAGTTAGCCGCATTGCACCGTGTAATGGTTATAGCTTGTACTTACAACTGGGCTCCACTCCAAACAGAGTCCTCCGGGGTTTGGTTTTAACCCTCCTAGCCGTGGCTTCACCCTGGCACAAGTCCTCCCGCGTGTGGGTAAACAATAACGTACCAATCTCACTGCCAAATAGGTCGCGGAGCGTTTCAACGTCGCACGACACAAGCTCCGCTCTGCATCCATCGCTCCAGGCGGCAGCGATTCTCGTTGCCGCGGACTCGGGCATACCGTGGCGCTCGTGGAGAATCGCGGTAATGTAGGCGCGTACCACAGAGGGAGGGCTGTCGGGCAGCGGACGCTGTAGCGTCAACGGAGTGGTACCCGATCCGCTCATGTTGGTAAAAACATCCAAATTTGCTATGCAGGACTTGGGAATTGATTAAGGGGCTTCTTTCTCTTTCTCTCCTTGTTTTAGTCCTTAATTAATGATATGGGTCTTATCATCGGAACGTTACCAGATGTCATGCGATGATAGAAAAGTACTAGTGAGACCGAAGAGCTTGTGAACCAGGGGTAGTACGTCAACCACTGCCGTCGTTGGCCCTATTCAAAGCGGCATAATACGAAAAGTCGAAGGAGAATGCAAAAGCTAAGTCATTCGGAATCTTGCTTTGCTACTCATATGGTGAGATTGAGAAAATGTGGGTAGCCGTTATGTCTCATCTGCATTTTTGTGGGATCTCCTGGCAGAATGGGATCAATTCCGCGCCTTGAGGCTAGATTCAGTTTAGGGTCTAGGTGGGGGTCGATCAATGCAATTCAGGAGCTCACTGTGCCTATTGCAACGGACCTTACCCCACCAGATTGCCCCTGCCCAGCTACAGCCAGCTTTGCCGGATATAAGAAAGCTTAAATACAAGCTTCAATCATGCTTCGAGACCGCCCAAGGTCCGTGGCGGTGCGATCGAGTGCACAAATTCCACTGACACAGTCGCTGATAACTTGTGTTAGGCGACGGAAGATCCAGCAATGTGGCGCAGCATGGACTAGGTGGAGGCATCTGGGGAGCAAGTAAGGATCAGGCGGCCAGGAGCTGCTAAGCTAGCACATGCGCCCGGTCTGAAATGTGAACCCTGGCCCTCGATGAGCTAGCAGTAGGACTTATTGCTTGAAGGATGAATGATCGTATTGTAATATAGAGGCCTGCGCATTTCTACACCGAATCAGACACTTTTGTAATCATGGAGAATAGAGAAACTGCTAGACAAAGCGACTAAACAACAAAGTTGCAGAGACGAACCTGCACATATAACCAGCCCCCCTCTCCCCGCGTCTTTCATTCACGTGCTTTAGGAAATCCCGAAAAGTACCGTTCGGTAGGGCGTGAATTGGCTGGTGTTCTAGAAAGCTGCTTCTACGGGTTTTCGTAGTGGTTAAGTTTCCCATGGGCTATAAGGGACTGATGCCCACTTGTCGTTTCCCTCTGCCACCCAATCATGGTAAGTATTCTTGCTCGCAAAAGAATACACGAAGTAGAAAGCAAGCATTATACTGGGAATTACCCAGTTGTCACGGACTGGATTACTAAACTCAATTGCGGCAAAGCCAAGCTCGCCATCTCTTGCCTAATCCATTCCTTGTGTCGGAATCCTTGTCAGCTAGATGGTGGTACAAGGAATCAAAGAGTAAGACTGCGCCAAAAAGAAAAAAAGAGGCCCCCAGCAGACTGGACAACTGGACCACAGCTTCGATCCTACGGATTTTTTTTATCACATTTTATCTATTTCGATGCATGATTCCTTCGGGATTCGAGTCGTACCATTACAGAGTCCTTGAGACAGTTGATTTTTTAAGCCTTTTGGGTGCTTAATCAACACCTCTGCTCAGGTCGACTTCCAAACCGGTTTTTCCAATAGCCACCCCTCACTTGTAGAGTCTCGATGAGACCGCTCTACGATAGACCTCTTCAAGCATAATGGCTACTCCGAAAAGCACCGTAACACGTACAACTTCCAAGACAAGTTCAGCACCCGGGTCAACCACAATCATAATAATCACTTCAACTAAGTCTATAGATGGCACTTTGGCGCCGCTAACTACGACATTCATCCCCCCATCGTCATGCTTTGATCGCTACTACCAGGAAAATTCTAGCTCAGTTGCCTCCGTCATTACGAGTGGTACTCTCGATCCCTCGTACAATGGATGTCAACTACACAACCGCCCGGAACTAACGTACAGTCCTGGCATGTGCCCTGGGCGCATGACTACAGCCGCGCGACAACTAAACGGCGACCATTTCACTGAGTGGTGTTGCCAGAGGTGAATCCTTTCCTGAATGTGTCAATGGATACAATATTGACGATTCGAGACAGTGGATACTCATATGACCCCAGAGGATGTGGTTCAGTTGTAGCGAGCAGGACAACGGTTCCTATATATCCAACCTCAGATAACACACAACATTCAGCCACGGTGACCAGCGTTGTAGCCGTACACGAGGCAGTCACCATTATCTGGGCCTCAACAGATCTCAACCTGTTCCCATCTGATGTTGCATCAAGCCGATCTGCTCTATTCTCGGACTCCAACACCACCACAGGGTTGACTCAGGCGGCTAAAATAGGAATCGGTGTTGGCGTAGCTGTAGGGGCTTTGATCATCCTGACCGTGGGCTCTGCATGGTTGATCAAAGTGATGAGACAAAAGAAAAGGCACCCCAAGAAGGGAAGAAATGTTGCAGGAGAGTTGGATGGGGACCAAAAGATCTGGAAACGGTTCTTTGGTCGCGAATGGAGAGCAGAGCTCCCACCGGATGGACTGCCCGCTGAGTTGGCCACGGAGCCGGCAAATCCAGCAGAGCTAGCAGTACAGCAGATTCCCGTAGAGCTGCCGACTGGTGGAGAAAACGAGATCCCAGGAAAACCCAGCATCAGAGATGGGAAATATCTTCAGTCGTGACAATTAGTAGACTGTGAGAGCTGTGCTAGAAATGCGGCGAATTCTGGGCGCATTTCAATCTCAGCAAACGGCCAAAGATACATGAATCACTGCGCACCATCAGTTGGTACATTACTGGACAGATTCCTGGAGTGGAATACTCATTTTCACGGTGTCTACACGGCCGGTCTGAAGAGGTTTTCGATCCCACAATGTTTCTCCCTTTTCCTTCACTGGTTGAAGGTTAAATCGCACTCGTACCGACTTATAGGTTGTGCGACGGCGATGGAAATAACGCTAATGAGAAGAGCCTCTTCATTCGAAACAGAATCGGGTATTCAACTGGCACATAGTTGATGCCATGGAGAAGTAAAATGAAAGATAAAGGATCCAAGAGTACCTCAAGAGGGGGGAAATCGGTTACCAAACGAAATTCGGAAACCTGGAGTTCAGGCTACCAAGTAAGAGTAATGGGTCTTCTAAGTAAAGCTGCATACATTCAGTAGGTAGTGCTGCACTTCGAGGAGAAATACGTTGGCCGGATGCGCTGAATGCTCGAGCTGATGAGTGGCTTTGGAGTCGGTTTTGTTCGTAGAGTCACTCTAAAGTCTCATAATATCTTTTATACCTGGGGACCCATATTTTAGTCCTTATACCTGGATCCTCTCGTATTGATTCATTTAGTAGCTGCGTATGGATCCATGAAGCTTCATTAGGATCAATAGTCGTCATGAGCCAACCTATTTATGCTTCAAGCGTGGTTCTATTTTGCAAATATTTAGCAACCACCCGATGAAGAGGTGAAGAACGAATCCATCCAGATAAGTAGGGGGCTAGTAACAGTTTCAACACAACATTTATTGGCCTTGAACAGTCTTGAGGCGCAGGGACCAGTAAATACCAAAGTGTAACCTCAGAAGAGCCCCACTGGTAATAATACACGCTGCGATCATCCATTTGGCAGTATCCCAGGCATTTTCGGCCGCTCTGAGCATGTCAACAAGGAATATAATCAGGAGTCTGACGCAGAATCCCGTGCCGATAAACCATGCAGTGGAGACGCGGATGAGCTGGAAAGGTTTGCCGCCTTTCCCACCATAGCGCCATCGCGTTCCGTAGTGAAGTAAGGGAAAGGGGCCGCTGAATTGCTGCGACAGCATACCTATCCCGGATGATTTGGCCCATAGCCTGAGCCTGATGCCGTATAGAATGAATATGGTGATGGAAGAGAGGCCTATGAATACACCAAAGACGTCGAACAGCAGGTTCGTTCCTTTCAAATATTGTACATCCGACTTCATGTCGTGGGCAATCGCTTTGAATGGGGATTGCATCTCCAGTATGGAGGCTGAGATGAGTAAGGATAAGTAGATTGAGGCCAATATGGTTAGGGTTTTGATTGCTTTGGATTCTCGCATAGCGTGTCTCTTTGTCAGGTAGTCTAATTGGTAGTCTAATTGGTAGTCTAATTGGTAGTCTAATTGGTAGTCTAATTGGTAGTCTAATTGGTAGTCTAATTGGTCAGGGACTCTAGGGCCCTCTGTGCAATGTTTCGGCGCTCCGAACACAGTCGTTCTAGTGCTTGAATGTGTTGCTGATAGCTCTTGCCCTTGGACTCTGCAGGATCTTTTGACTGAAATGTTTTGAGAAACCATTTAATCGAATCGACCAGGATGTTGACACTCCTAAGGATGCCCTCGGCATCCTCTATTTCCTTGCATGCCTCCTTGCTATTGGCAGAGAGTCGAGACTCGAAAAGCCCCAATGGAACTTATAGATGAGGATTTTTGGTGAGTGAGTAACTCACGACTTGTTTCTCGGGTAATTCTGGATAAATCAGAGAGCCATAGTAATCAACGGGCTGCAAGTAGATAGAAGGAAGAAAAAGCTCCAAGGTAAGTCGTGTCACATAATGTACACCCACCGTCCACCTTGCCAAGCTCATCGAGCGTCGAGCCCTCTTGACCTGTTCTTGCTCTCCCATCTCGTGCGATGGTTCACGTCTTCTTCTCTAACATGAACACGATAAAAATCAATCTTCTCTGGATTCGTGACGTTTTTGGAAAGCACCAAGACCCCTAGTCTATGTTGATGGTATACACGTCTCTAAATGACCCTGGCCCGTTGTAGTCTCCGAAAGCCGCAATATTGCGGGTTGAATCGAGCGGCCAAAACTTGTGATCGCCTCCCGCAGCGTCTATCATATATCGGATAGCCCTTCCTCTTAATCGCTCCCGAACAACGAGCTCTACTACTGCCTTGACATACTTCCATCTGCCACGCTCCGGGCCCGCGACATATGTTTTCAACATGCCTGGTACTATGACGTACAGAATAATATTCACAAGGTCTAGATTAGCGCAAAGGAATACGGTAAACAGTACAAACATGTCTGCATGCATTGGTGTAAAGGATTGGGACTGGGTGTCCATGCCAGCCACTATACCAATGAGAACCTGCGCCCAAGCGTCTAACGTCATGGGAGAGACGTTATGGTCAATTTGCGACTCCAGGAAGTTGCATATCATCCTGGAGAGCAAATACGTGGCGTAGCCAATAGCAATGGCGCTGTCCTTGAACTTGTAGGTTGTAATAGGGCTTCCAGATGAACTCATTAGGAAAGACTGTTTGCTTGCCAGTTGAGCCACTGGATGGTCGCAATCACGCAGCGATTCATACCACTGGTCCAGTCGCCTCGAATACGTATCGCAGCGTCTGCGGACATGTTCTCCGTCGAGATCTGCTTCATGAAAGTCCCTTTGTTCAAACTGCTCCTGGTCGCATTTGCGGCCAAATACAGAATAGAGCCAGCGGTTGGCCTGCTGAGAGGCATTGAGGTGAGTTTCGTTGTCTCATGCAGAAAACATCGACTCAATGACGAAACGTCCATGAAGACTTCTCATACTGGAGAATATATCCCTCACAGCCAGCTGCGGATCGATCAAACTGCAAATATCGTAGTGGTCCGTAATGATGGACGAGTGTCGCGTCGGAAGAGACATGAGACGCATATCATATCTCAAGAACCTCCACGCTTTGAAGAGAGACGGTGTTGATGACACTGTAAAGTCGATCCTCGATGCGATTGCATTCAAACCGGATGCATGATTATAGACCCCACGATGAGAGCCCAGCCGCAACGATAGCTCTCCCCGTCGTCGTCAAAAAAGTCAGACATGTCGTGAAACAGCTGGCCGATTTGATCCGAAAGCTCATCGCCGTCAAAAGGGAGTTCCCCCAGCCAGTAGACATTGAACCGTGCCAGCGCACCGGCTTGATCCTCGTCGATATATGCCTGTACGGGACCTGCCGCGAGAAAGGTCCGAAGAATTCCAAACGCCGTCATCCGGCGCATAGTTGGCCCTTCGCTGGACGGACCCCATGTCCAGACACCTTTGGTCCCAATTGGTGCACGAGAGAGATTCCAATCCAGGAACACATCATACTTCTCCTCCAGGTCAACTGGTGCGACGAGGAGTGAGAAGCCCGAAGCAAGAAGGCCACCGCTCTCGAGGCGAAAGTCAAGCACCGGTCCGTTGCGCTCCGTATTACTGACAGACCGGGGCAGGGCGATATATGAAATGTTGACAGATCCCTCGGTAGGCCGATCCGTAATCCACCGGTAGCCAACAAAATGTCCATTGAGTGCAACATCGTGAGGCGTGACCTCGAGGGGCCCTGCTGCATCAAAGACTTGCAAGGACCCTTCTTCAATGTCGAGCGCTGGGATGCTAGCGGCAGTGGTGGCGCCTTGAAACAGTCCGGACGTGGCTTTCAGTTCTGGGCGCGGCTCAAAACTCATAGAAACATGCACTGAAGTGATGTTGTCCGCTGCGAACAAGGGCGTCAGCAGCACGGTGAGCTCTGGGGGCCCGTTGCTACTGTTGGCTACCCTAGAGTTGCGACGCGAGTCGGTCCCTAGTGCCGGTTTGAGACCGCTATTCTGCCCCGCAATACAGGTCCAATAGAGGGTAGGAGGCAGTGCAAGGGAGAGAATAAGAAGAGAAACATATTTTGTTGCGACCACCATCTTAGGAAAGTAATGTCGCGATTTCAATTTCAAGTGAATGAATATACGTTCAATGCAATGCGATTCGATTGAAACTATAGACCAACAGGCAGATAAAACCCCCAATGATCTATAGCATTTCACACTATACTCTTGTAGTTAATGGCACTGAGTGCTATCAGGAGCCGTGCCATGCAGGCGCTTTTAGTGACTGGGATAGGCCTAGCTCAGTTGCGTGTTTGCTTTGATCTCGCTATAACCGGAAGCCAAGACTCTGAAAACTAGCGCTTCTTTCTACTCGTTCTAGCCAAGTCTGTATTTTCTTTTTCCTTACTGGTGGCGAGTTGTGCCAGTCTTATCTCGTTTTTCTTTTTCCCGATCTGGCGCGCAAGGGAGCAAAATTAATAATATCAGGTCACCGTTCAGAGCCTTGAGGAGTTCTCCAATATCTTTTTTGCAACTTACACAAACGAAAGGTTATAGTCCTAGGTAGATCATGGCTCTGCACAATGCAATTCTCGTGGTTCTTTTCGGCTGGCTCTCTATAGTGCGAGCTATTCCCGAATGGCCGGCGCAATGGCGACTAGCAGCTGATGATACACCTCTCCGGGGTTCGCGACCCCGCTCAACCAAGATTCGTCAAACCGAGGACATATGTCAGGCTGGCTCACCGCAGTGGTCGGGAACTGTTCCAGTAGGAGAGAATAGGGACATGTTTTTTTGTAAGTTTGATTTCAGAATATTGCTCTGTGGTCTCTCCTCTAACCTATAAACGACGGCAGGGTATTTCGAAAGTCGATCAGAGCCCCAGAAGGCGCCCTTGGTCATATGGCTCAACGGGTATAGTTGAAATAACGTATATCCATATGAGCTTTTCCGTGCTGATTTCTTTCTAGAGGACCTGGAGCATCTTCGTTGCTTGGTGCATTCCATGAGATTGGGCCATGCTCGGTATCTGATGATGGAAAGTCGACGACTAAAAATCACAATAGCTGGACGAACTTTGCTAATATGCTATTCATCGAGTAAATACTCCAGCTCAGTTGTGAAAAGGACATTGCTAACTCTCACTTCCAGTCAACCTATTGGCGCAGGATATTCCGAGACAGCAGATCCCGTGCTATGGTCTGAAGATTTAAATGAAGGTGCCATTGACTTTGACAAGTTTCTTGATGGGTTCTTTAACGATCTGTTTCCTGAACTAAAACAACGACCTCTTCATTTTGCAGGCGAATCATTCGGCGGCCAGTACTTGCCGGTCTATGCAAGCATGGCTAGAAGAAGATTTGCTTCGCTCATCTTGGTCAATGCACTCGTGGACTTTTCCGACTCAACACTCGGCTATTTTCACCACTTTTGTTCGGAGTCAAAGGCAGACGGCCCCATGTCGACGCGGTCCTTCAATGAGACTGCTTGTTTAGCTCTAGCCGCGGGTTACTCTACTTGCGAAAAGTATGGCTCGCTATGTGGTCTCACATATGACGTGGAGCTGTGTCAGACTGCGTTCGATAAGTGTTTACCGATGATGGAGGCAATCTATACACAAGTCTTCTCTGGCGATCTGGATCCTTATGACGACAGGCGCAAGTGCCAGGAACCCCCAATCTGTGCAAATATGGGTCAGGAAAACGTACCACCTCATCAAGAAACATTGCTGACATGTTTCTTACAGGAATGGAACAGGTGCAAACATACCTAAATTCAACCAAGGTGAAACAAGCTGTTGGCCTCCCAGAGGACTTTCACTTCAGGCCAGTGAATTTCGATCTGAATGCTCATTGGGCTCAGCGAGGTCAAGATTTTGTCCCGTCAACGCGCCAGCTAGTACACCTGCTTGATTCAAAGCAAACCCCGATACTAGTCATGAATGGGAACAACGATGTTGTGGTGTGAGTTCTTATTCACACCAAAACTTTGATTCTCGGAAAATCTAATCCTCCAATAGCAATACCGAAGGCATCATTCGGACATATGATAATCTACAGTGGAGTAATCATGCTTTGTTTCGTGCAAAGAAGTATACACCATGGTACTTTGAAGACGATGATGGCAGCACGACTCTGGGAGGAATGAAAAAGACTGTCGGTAATTTGACTGTTCTTACGGTTGATAATGCCGGTCATATGAGCCCTCAGGCACAGCCAATTGGGGTTGCTGACGTTGTTGCGGCATGGCTAAGGAATTCCGGATCCAGAGAGAGGTTGTGACCGTATCTGCAATATCTTTTGGGCTTGGGCGCTAGAGACCCTCCACACGTCCATATATGGGTCCCTGGGTCCGTCATTGAGGTCGTTGCTGTGCACGCAGATCATCTTATAGATTGAGGGTATTACGATCATTAATTCACCAGCACCATAACTTGAAACCACAGTAGCACTATTTACAGTACAGAATCTATGGATATTTAGAAGCATACACTGTGTTTCTGTGCGAGAAACTCAAAACCGATGAGTGCACCGATGACTAACGCTCCTTATATTCTCAGTGTCCCAATTATCACGTTATGATGACTATGCCTCTACTGTAACCCAAGTCCCCTTTGCCAGCGCTTCCAATTGGCTTTTGCTTTGCAGGTTGGTACGCATCGCATCTTTCGATTGTCTGCCTCTGATCAGGTCATGAAATAGTATGGCCACAACGGATGACTTCCACAGAGGAAGTTGGTCACTTTGGCACCTCGCCATTGTGTGGCCCAGGTGACATGCCGCTGCCACGAGGACAAAAATGGGTAGGGACAGCCACTGCCAGCGCACTTGAACAAAAACAACAGACTCAACCGCGAAGCCCTCGGCCGTGAGGTTGTAGCTCGAGCGCAGCTGTTCCGTCATGCTGTCTGCCATTTTCTCAAATAGCGTCGGCACATCGGACTTGCGCATGACGTCGCCCATGCCGGTTGACTCGCTGGGCCGAGACTCTCCCGAGTAGGTGGATCCGCTGAAACGGCTCGAGGTGAAGAATGCGTTCAGACCCGCGAGGTCGATCCCTTGCACCGTCATATTGGGTATATTTGCCTGAGAAAATGTCAACATTGTTGCTTTCAGCTGTCCCTCCGTTAGCGGGATGGTAGTAGTTTTCCCAATGATAAATTGGTTGCCGGATGCTGAGATGTTGGAGTACTCGTACGCCGCGAGACCGATGGTGCACTCGAATATTGTCCAGCCGGCAGGGTAGATGTCTTGAACAAACCCAGAATTGCCGTCTTGGTCAACAGCCCCCGTGAGAACAGCGATACGTGCAAACTCGGGCGAGATGGGGATTCCATCTATTGGTGTTCCCCCAGCATACTTCGCCAAAAGGTCATCGGCAGCTACGTGGGCTAGTGTGAGCCAACTTGATGCCGAGTATCCTGCCCTAAGGGGAATATCCCCTGGCGTTGTCATATTGAACCAATGACCCATCCCAGTGTAATTATCCTGACGAATGGTTGCATGTGTCTCGACCGTGACATCGGTGCAAGTTGTTTTGAACCCTAAGGAAATATAACTCTCCTTCCAGAGACATCTAGATGTGCAATTGAACACGGGCTGGGCTTTTACATCAAATAGAGCCTTGTAGATTGCACCTTGCATGGTCGTGTCCAAGGTAGACGCTAAGTGGTGACCGAGAATTAGTAGGTGTGCTCCGGTACGATGGAAACGATAGCGTCGACTTTTACTCACTGTTTGGCATGAGCCCACCACCAAAGTCTGGATCTGGAAATTGACTCTGGACGCCACTATCATAGATGTGGGTGAGACCAAACAGGGTATTTTTATCTTGTATCTCTATATCGCGAGAGGAGTCGATGTTGACGAGTAGCTGGCCGAAGGTATCGACGCCCAATGCCAGCACTGTCGCAACGGAGCCAAAAAGTAGTAGCGGTCTGATCCACACCCAGGAAGTAAATAGCAAGACCAGAGCCCCGAGAGGACCTCGACTTGCCTCCTCATACAGATCCAAATCTCCGAGCTTCCTTGGCGATGTTCTGAAATGAAGCCATTTAGACTGGGAAAAGCAGGATCCTATAGAGAACATTGCGCCCGCTTTTGATGCAGTTATGAGCAGGGCCACTGTCGCATTCAAGCTGAGGAAAAATGACCAATCTGAGAGTGGGCGGTCCTGCATTCTAGACAGGATGATCACTACAGCTGCAAGGCATCCTGATCCAGCAATGATGGAAAGAAGTTCCCAAACCCAACCTAGGATTATGTTTTCCCTCGCCTTGGGACCACCGTTGGTGACTGGGGCATACGTCGCTGATTGACTCATGTTGCAAGAGGATAACACCACAAGAAAACAATAATCGTGGTAGAATAATTGAAAAGGATTGAATTCATGATGGGGAAAAATTCTCCCCTGGTTTCTACTTGAGGCCACAGCCTTACGTTTTGTGTACCCTCGCGTCGCTTGTTTGGGGGCCGTATGAAAATAGATCCTTCGATCGGGCTGCGGCCGCGCCCTATGATTAGCTGTCGGGTAATCGATTGGTTGGAAAATATGCAACGGCCTCACCTTCCTGATACGGATGGGCAATTTTTACATCCTCAAATCGTAAATGGGTATGTAAGCTTTTCCTAAATAGCATCCTCTTTGATACATGTATTATATGCAATCTTCCAGACTCTGAAACAACATTTATATGCTTTTCTTTTATTAACCAAGCTTAGACGATGATACTAAAGAAAGAGAACTCTCAATCCCAAACCCCTACCACGGCTATCAACAAGTTGGATTCACCCCCCTGGCTAGCGCCAGTATCACAAGTCCATCGTGTACCCCTCCTGGCACTACCTCTCATTCGTTGGTCCACTGTAGTGGCACTCAATTGCACCGCGCCGTGATGCCATTGAATCTCTCGCGATTTTCGCAATCTCCTCCCAGTATGATCTTGAGCTTACACTACATTTATCCACATGCGCCCCTGATCCCGTAGAAGCTGGACGTAAATTCCTCCCCTTGATCCATCGCAATCGTCGTCTTAATAGCGACTGCACTGGTCCCACGGAAGCAGGTGAAGGTGTTGAATATGGGATCCAGTTCCCCCCACCAAGTCGTACAATCTGGATCTTCGGCGCACGCCTGGTGGCATGCCAGGTCCTCACGGATGTCGGGTTGCCATATACCTTCCAAAAGCGGCGTCACGTCATTGAAAATGAGCCGACCGCATCGGACTTTGAAGTCGTCCACGCAGGCGTTTTCGGCCCGGGGGCAGATGCTGCCAACGTCAGCTGGGCAGGAGCCCTTGAGGCCGTACGAGTCGTATGCCGGAAATGTTGAAAAGGGGCCCTTGGCCGGTAACGGGTCCGGTAGCTGCACAGTTGTGTTGAGATGACAGCAATAGTATGACTTGCCGTTGCCAAAGTCGTCAAAATCTTGAACCTGTTCCATGATCCAGCCGTAACACTTGTTGTCCAAAAGGCAGGTTTGGTGGCAGGCACGCTCTGACTTGATTCCCGGCTGGAATATGCACTTGTCAATGCCAATGGATGTGCCTGCGTCGTCCTGGAGGACCCTGTCGCATTGGATATAGTTATTGTCAAGACACTGTCCCCCCAAATCAGGGCAAATATCGGTGGCGGATGTGGGGACCGTTTGTAGAGTCACTGTCGTGGCCGAAGTTGCGCTTCCAGTGGAAGTTGATGCAAGTTCTGCAATTGGAAAATCGCAGAAGCCCCGCAGACCAAAGGCATCGCCAAATGTGAATGGCTCTGTTTCGTCAAGCTCGACAGGACTGTAGACATGTCGGCAGTACCCGTCACCGACGGAGATGCCAGATTCCTTCAGGCCTTCAACAGAATCTAATATGCATGTCCAGCCAGTGCATAGTGGATCCTCGATGCATTTTTGATGGCATGCTTCCTTATTGGGGACGTTAGGTACGTTGCGAAGGTCCAGAGTGTTTCTATTCACGGCGTTGAAGAGAGTGCTGCACCCTATCAAGAAATTGCCGAGACAGTGCACGTCCCCGATGATGGTATCATGCCCAGAACACAAGTCCTGTGGAGTCGAGGGGAGCGCTTCGCTCGTAGTGCTGACACTGGTTCTTGAGCTAATCAATGTTGTCGATGCTGTAGTCAATACTGTAGTCGACTCTGGACTTGCGTCAGTGAGTCCAGATGTAAGCGAGCTGGGATTGAAGCTGGTGCTGATGAGCGTGGTCAATGATGTTGACCCTGGGATTGCGTCAGTCGGGTCAGAGACCACCAAGCTGATGCTAGTCGTCCCTTGTTTGTGGCCGTAGTCCTCGTCGGTCTTGTAATTGTACTTGTCGACGATATCATAGGACTCGCCCTTGTTGATCGGTACATGGTCATTTGAGGAATCATGTACAAATTGTTCGTTCGACAAGTAGTGCGGAACCTCAGATGCATCGTACGACTCCCTTTGTTCATCATACGATTTAGATTCGCCGTTGTCAAAGCCACCGGTGCCAGCACCAGTCATAGCATGCTTGCCTGTATGACTATACGGCTGAGTGTTGACGTTGGATGTCGATTGAATGGCATGTTTGTGGTCGTAAATGTATCCGGATCCACCCTTCAGCTCGTGATATCTGGCAGAAGCTGGAACCAATAAGGACAAGAGCAAGCAATGTAAAGTGACCATCACAGTTGATGACTTCATGATCGAGACTTAGGAAGAATAATCCAGGAACTTGAGAGCTGGGAACTCTACAGAGAATCATTCATGGTCTCATCGAAGAAACAAGCAGTTTTAAATAGCTTCGTGGCGAAAACATGCTCTGATGTCGGAATGACAGATAATTAACGTGTTTCAAATTGGTCATAAGGTTACGGCAAGCCGTTATATTGATAAATAAACCTAAATCAAAATGTGTGACAGATATTTGGCCCATCATTTGTGGCTGTTCAGTGCGGGGGTTTGTGTATAGCCTTTGAAAGGCCGCTAGCCACCCTAAAAGTGCTTGGCTTTCCGTTTTAATGCACACTCAATGTTTTTTTTCTTTTGCCTTTTCTCCCCATGGAGAACTTCTTATATAACAATCCCGCTGTCTATTTTATTTCCTTGTAACTGCCACTTAAAGTAGTAACAATTATAATGAATAATTGCAAGTAGCCATTGGTTTCTTCAGATGAAAACACGATTAACCAGGTCATTGTCGCCCTATCCCAACTCATTTTGTTACATCTGCTTAAAACTGCTGCTGATGCCTGAGATATTGAGTGCTTGAACACTTAGAGGATTGTGTGATGTTTCCGCTGAATCAAGTCAGCAACGCTTCCAAATCACGGTATCAATGTGTCACAAGACATTAAATGTAACGCGCTCTTTGCTTTGGCACGTTAGATCATACAGCATACCATGTCTCTCATAGCCAATTTGGCAAGTTCATTTAGATACGCGACGACCGGAGCAGGGGTCATGGGGTCTTCTTGTCAAGAGGATAAAGGTGGGGACACGCATGCTCATCTTGTTCTGGTCATGTTTGCCATACCAAGCAAGATGACTACAGCAAAGTGACGTCTGGAGCAGAGCCGACAGAGGAGCTCTCGGGATTGGTTTCTGACTGTGCAGTAACTAACTGTGGAATAGAATTTGTGCTAACTTCCACATTCTACGGGTTACAGAGTTCTTCTGATCAGACACGTTTTGGGGTCGACAGCTATAAGAACGTCCCACCTGCTGTTCAAATAGGTTTCGCTCCAACCCAAACCTTAGGCGCAGAACAGTTCAATTTGAGTTCAAATTTCTAATGGAAATATTGTGGCCGCGGAGGCTTTTCGTCATTCTGTTCTCATGCTGCGGGATTGCACGTTTGTAATATGTTGTTAAAGACCACCGTAGTGAATAACTTGATTATCCAATCAAGCCAATCAAGTTATATGGGGAGGAAATATTCAACATTGACGTGATGATAGATCTCATCCATATGCTTTCATCACTCCTACGACCTTTCTATGTCAAGTAAATTCTGCCCTCAACATTGATAGAGGACTACAACTTTGCCTGCTCAGCCTTTGAAAGCTGTCGTAACCGAGGCCCAAGTCGTGTTCCATCTCCCTCCATTTCTGGCTCAGAATCAGCATCGGTAGGGCGGCGAACAGCCCACCTTTCGCGAAACAGAGGCCCTGCCTTGTCCTCAAAAACGTCCGCAATATGTTTTCCAATAACAGGTAGAAACTTAAAACCACTGTCATCTTTGGTGAGCAACATCCAATAGTTATGGGTCAATTAGACTGTGACTCACTGTCCTGACCCTCCGGTAGCAAAGAAGAGTCCATTCATGTCTGGGTGATAGTCAACCATGAAATCACTCTTTGGTGTATCGGTATACCAGCACATTCTGGTCTTTGCCCAGGGACGATTGCCAAACTGCGGCCAGAATGCCTTGGCTCCCTCTCGAAGATCTCGGTCTGCGTCTGCTGGCAGAAAATCCTGCACGGCGGCGTTATTCCCCATCAACCTGGGGCTAGATATCTCTCTTCCATCTTCTAGTTTGACCTGATTCGAATATCCATATCCATGCCGAGCCACTTTCAGTTGATGGCTCACCGGATCTGGAGGGAAGCAGTACAGACCGGTAGCCGTGTTCACCATGACAGGCATCTTCTCTAAGGACTGGGCCTCTTTGGGAGAGAGCTGAATATAGGCGAGAGGCTGGCTGACTCCAAGGATGTTCTGTCTCATGTCGGATACTAGACGATTCGTCCAAGCTCCAGTGGCCAAAACAACAGTCTTGGCCTTCATGATGCTGCCAGTAGCAGTGCGGACTCCAAGGACTTGTTTACCAGAGGTCTCCAAAGAGGTAACAGTTCCGCGGGGACCGGTCACAAAAGACACGCCAGCCAGGGTGCAGCGGTTCGCTAAGGCCCGGATGGCACCATGAGCATGTGCCCAACCTGCATGATCATTCTGAAGCGTCGTGATACCATTCAGGTCAGTCGTGATGCATGGGTACATGCGCTTGATCGCAGACTCTGATGCATCAGGCGCAAAGATATTCATTGGCTGTTGCACCGCTTGTTTCTCTCTCAGAGCACGGTACTTGGTGACCCATTCGCTATCAGCATTGGGGATGATCATGACATAGCCGCTTTCATGGTAGTGATCGCGCCATTCTGTTGTACGCCATTCCGTAATGGCCTCAATGGCAAGTTGTGAGTACAGTGGGTCCGTGTACTCGGCACGCACCACGCGAGACAGATCGTTGCTGCTGCCGTCGGGAACAGGCGGCATGTGGCGATCCAAGACGGTAACTCTGGTATAGCCTCTTACCGCTGTAAGTTCGTAAGCGAGGCTGAGGCCAAAAACCCCAGCGCCAACAATAAGTAGTGAATCATCCTTTGAAGGCAATGTCATGGTGAACTGAACAATAAGGTGTATGTAAAGGATGGCTTACAAGCAAGAGATCCAGTAATTTGACTTCTTTGCTAATATTCTGGACGGTACGAGAGGTTTTAGATTTTGTACTCTACCTTTGACCAATCGCAAAACGCAAGGTTTCCAGTAGGCGTTGGTCGCAATCAGCGTTGGGGAGAAAAAACAACCGGCGTCCTCATATTTTCCGTCCCCTCACGTACGCTTATCAAAGCCGAAACTCCGGTCCCACCCCGGAACCGTCTAGGTCTACACCATTGATTTAGGAGCATTGGAACTACCTAGGTTAGTACCATTGTTCTACATTCACATCATCACACCAAGACTTGGTAACATGTTGTAATTGAATGAATTTTTAATGTCTATTTCGCGTATGCTTAAACATGCCTCTACACGTAACATTATGTCAAACTCAAGATCCTGGGAGCTTCATGACTACGATACTTTGAAACCCTTATTCGCGCAGCTCCTATCGTGCTAGATAGGCTTCTAAGCAACCTGTAATCTAGTAGTCGCCTTTACCTCCCTCGAGTGATTGCCATCATCTCGTGCAGGAGAGAATTTCTGAACATTCATTGATGGCCGGCACTTCACAAGATCAGAAGCGTCAGCACTGGGCCATCCGATATCTATCTTCAAACTCTAGACTACGGCATACACAATCTCTTTCCTTCTGTCGGGCTCCTCGACTTCCCCAGAATCATTCTTGCTCATGGGCAGGGCCTCGGCTTCAGTCAACCAGAAACTCCAATCTGCGCCCTCGCGTGGCAAAGTTGCCATTTCGCAGCGAGCCTTGACGATGGCCAGGCCAAGGGGATCGGATTCAGGCTGCTCGATCCAAGAAAATCCATTCTGCCAATAGTCAAATCTATTCCGACGGTATGTCCAAGAATAGTCACTAAATCTGTCCTCTGCAAGAGTCTGGATGTAGTGTAGAGAGCTACCGGGCCATAGCGCCGTAATGTGGCCGTCCACTTCCGATTTGACTGTTTGAACACCCAGAGTTAGTTTTATCCATGTCCAAATACAGAGGTTGACAAGACTCACACCAACTACGACAAGCTCCGCTCCAGACCATCTCTTTCATATAGTTCTGTGTGTGGATTGAGAAGTCATTTTGCGCTTCCTGAGTAACGTCAAAAGCCTTGACATCTTCTCGACAAAATTTGCTGATCAGTCGGATGAAATAGTCACTTGTGGCTTCGAGAACCCCTAGTGTAGACACATCAATACTTTTGTGGAGTAGCGAAGGACGGATGCAACCTACCCATAAGCCCTCCATTTGATATCGGCGTGTTGGGCCCAAGGAATGTGAGATAGTTGGGGAACCCTGCAACTCCAGTCCCCATGTAGGATACAGGTCTCGACTCCCACAAGCTCTGCAAGTTGGTTCCCTTTCTACCAATGATCGGGAAGCGAGGTCGGAAGCTTGTATCAAATCCAGTAGCGGCAATGATGATATCAACTGCACGCAACTCCTCCTTACCTTCTACACGGTCCGCCCCTGCGGCTACTATTCCCTCACGCTGAATCTTTACAATGTTGCCAAACCTCGGATGCACGTTGGGCCTCTGCAGGGCAACCAGGTATGGAGCCGATGGATTGATGCGACGACAACCAACCTCGAAAGACGGTATCAATTGTGCTTGCAGGTCTGGGCTCTTGATGAGCTCTCGCATGTAGGCATCATATGTCTGGCGCATGTTTTCCTGCTCTGGCGTTCCTTTTCGAAAGGCCGAGAACATGCTGTTGAAGCCGTCCTCCATATCCTTTCGCATGGACAGAGAATGGGATGAATCTTCTCGAAGCCGACGCATTTCATCCTTTGTGTATACCGGGTTATCAAGTGTGCCGGGAGGAAGGCCGACGGGGGGACAGATCCATGATGGTGTTCGAATATAGATGTCGACAGATTGGCAAGTCGGCTGGATCGCTGGAAGTACCTGTACCGCGCTGGCTCCTGCACCAATGATTGCCACTCGCTTGTCTCTCAGGTCGACTGAATCATCCCAGTTTGCAGTATGCAAAATAGGTCCATCGAAATCTGACAAGCCAGGGACCGCGGGCATTTTGTAATTATTGAGGATTCCACCAGCATTCACCAGAATCTCGCAATAGAAAACCCTTGTCGAGACCCTGCCAACTTTAACCGACCAAGTGCCATCCTCTTCATTCCAGCGAGCGTCTGTTACCTCGGAGTTATAGGTGATGTATCTTGCAAGACCGTAGTGATGGCAAACATCTTTGAGATACTGCTGAATCTCAGGTGAGTCTGCATAGCTAATTGACATTAGCACATTTTGTATAACGGTATCAAAAGTAAAGGTCTCACAATTTCGACCACTGCGAATTGGGTGCGAATGAGTATTGGTACACGTGACTAGGCACATCGCAGGCACATCCTGTAAATAATCAGTTGCTAAACCACAAGAACTCCCATCAAGATGATTCTTGGCTTACCTGGATAGCGATTTTCGAACCACGTGCCTCCCAAGTCCGAGTTCTTCTCAAGGATGCAGAACTCTACATTATCTTGAAGGTATGTTTTCAACTTATACGCTTAACGACAACACTATTAACAATCATCCCCAAAATGCCAAATCATTGTGACTCGATTAAGGACTCACCCATGAGAATTCCAGATACCCTGTAACCGCGACGTAGAAGCAATCATTTAGCCAGTTTCAACTGGTGTGGACTTGGCGAATTCACCTACCCAGCCCCGATGATGACGCATCGAGTTTGTCTCGAACGCCGAGCATCAGGGTTCTTACCGAAGGAGTCTATGAGCATTGCTAATGGTTGTTTTGCTTTTAGTTCCTTCTTGTTGATTTCTTCTTCTTGTCGTCTTGCACGGGATCGGATGATAGACAGTGCAATTGCTTGGAGATCTTCTATGTGGTGGTGTCTTTTGCTTTTCAGTCACGGTTTTGCTATATTTGTTTTTCGCTATTGATTATCAGTTCTACCTTTCCTACTGGAGTATGCGATAAGATCCCAGCCTAGTGCTAATTGGCGATGTGCTAGCATGCCCGGTTACGGTGATCAAGATAAGGGAGGACAGCATAGAGTTTTCCGGGTTTCCGTCCCCACCTGAAACCAACCCTTGCCGGCCGTTTCTGGCGAACCCCTTTCCATTATCCGAGTATGAAGTCTGTTGATTAAGTTTACGTATAATGAGGTAGGTTTGATAAGTGACTGCCTTCAATCGCCAGATACCTGTCCAGGGTATATGGTTTGTCAATTGTGGAGAGCTTCGCTAAGAATCATTATCAGACACTTTGGCCCAATGTGTCATTGCACACATTCGATACCTTGCACGATTTCCTTATCTGGGCAAATACCAAGAGCTTCGTTACTAAGTACCTAGGCAAATGTTTCGAAAACTTATCGGAGCCCCCGCTTGGCCCTCTGCCCATGTTAGTATTGATACGAAATGCGAATGGTGGCAATGACTGTCATGTATTGTGAAACTTGGAGGCGCTGCACAAAAGTGCGCGTTCGAACCTATCTACCTAGGTATTATGATTCATGGGTAGCACTACCACGATAGTTGCTCTAATGTACCTTTGCATGCCTCGGCGTCCAACTTCATACAGAAAGCATCCTCCTCCATGAATTTCCCCGTCTTCATTGCCTGCGTTGGCTGAGGCGATGCAGGCCACACGTCATGGCCCAATGTTTCTTCGTGCTTACGATGTGCCATGACCAGCTCACGTACGGTTTTCTGGAAGAATAGCGGTCCCTTAGGTAGTGATCAAAGTTAGCCATGAGCCATCAGTTGCGCAGAGAATGAACATCACCAACCTTTTCCTTTTCAGGGTGCAGCTGTCCGTTGATGAAGATGCCGGCTTCCAGGTTCTTCTGCGTGCCGTTGCAGAGATCTTTGTCCTCTTGGAGAACTTGCTTATAAAAGTCATTGATTCTAGCAAAGTCCTCATCTGTTGTGTCGTTGCGGCGGAAGACGTCGTACTCCATCTTGGTTTTCCCGCTGCTGACTGGTATGCAGCGCATCATGTAGAAGAAGTCGGCACTGGGGAAAATGTTTAATAAGAGACCGGAAGTCATGGCTCGTGAACGTACGTTACAGTAAAACAAGCATTGGGAAACAGGAAGCTGCTGCAGACAATCATTGTCGTGTCGCTTTCATCCTTGTTCCTGTTCCAATGCTGAATGTGACCCCCTTTGGTCTCGACCCTGTAGACTGACAGGTCTGCAACAGCGGCTACCCCTGGGTGACCCGTTGCACAATGATAGCATTCATTGTAATTATCGGCCAGCGTTTTCCAATTGTAGTCGCCTTCCATGGACCACGAGTGGTCATATCGGTAGTCTCGCATGAGATCAAAGTGCGTCAGGCGAGGTTGAATATCAACACCCTCAAAGTCATCTTCCCAGGCAACGTCGGGCTTTCCAGCTTGGAGGTTCACCCAAATGAAGCCCTTGGCGTCAATGTGGACGTTTACGGGAAGCAGAGCATGCTGAGTCTTGTCGAAATCAGCTACGGTGTCGAATCGGGGGGCCTTGGCCAGATTTCCCTTGAAGCCATACGACCAGCCGTGGTATCTGCATGAGAGTATGCTGGCGCTGCCGCAGTCTTGGGTCACAACAGGAAATGCGCGGTGGCGACAAATGTTGTGGAAACCATTGATGTTGTTTTCACGGTCCTTGATGAGAAAAAATGAAAATCCAGCCTCGGTAAAAGAAACATAGTCGCCAGGCTTTTGGAATCTCAGACTATGTGTGACCAGAATCCACTTGCGAGAGAAAATGGCACGCCGCTCCAACTCGTACATGGCCGAAGAACGATACCATGATGCTGGTAGAGCGCGCTCTTCCTCCTCGGCAGGTGGTGTCCGGCTCTGGTCGGAGGCTTTTTTGTTGAGACCGAAGTAGTTGAGCATAGTGAGTAATTTGGAAATAGTCAGAAAAACCTCAGCATGTATGGTGTCAGTCAAGCGATGATGGACGGGCGACTTCTCCCTGCAGCTCTTGAGCCGTGAAAGATTAGCTCTTGATAAGCTTTTGGCGATGGCGAGTTGCAGGTGGCCGTCCAAATAATTGAGCTAGATAACTTCTTTACACAGACCAATCGTGAACATAGTATAATCGCCGATTCTTGGCGGTTGTCCCCGCTCTTTCTCAGACTCCACTTGGACCCCTGATTCCCTTCTCTTAACTCCCAAGTCGACCTTATCGTTGTTGGAGCGCCAGTCAAGCTCACATGTCATGAGGGAAATGTACTGTGTGTGACGTCGAGATTACCCGTTGTGACATGCACAAGACGGAATTCCGCGTGTGCAATCAATCTAACAGCGAACACGGTGCACTTTGACCAAGCTATATGCTGATTTCGGCGATCCAAGCTGATCTTCAGGAAGTCGGCCTGATCATGTCCATCGTCGCCGCTTCAGCGACCAGAATGATGCCCCTGGTATGGATATCTTGGTATGAAGCGAAATAATTGTATTATCAAATTTGCTAAGAGCTCGTTGTTGCAGCGTCCCAGATGTGTACGAGTGGCCCGTCAACCCCATACACAGGATCCTGCCTGGGAACTGCTACTGCAGCAATCTCTTCAAACAATGCATCATTATTGTCTAGTAATCTTTTTCCATACTCGTTACGCCATTTTGGTGCTTCCTGGGGGTATACGCCAACGTATCTGTACCTTTGTTCTGGGCTGGTCATTTTATCATCTGCGCTGACCGAAGCGTGTGAGACACCAGCTGGCACCACGATTACATCTCCCGCTTGAACACGACATCTGGCGCCCATTTCTCCAGAATCGGCACCACCCACTCCGAAAATTAGTTCGGAGCTGCCTTGGAAAACACCTAATCAAGGTATAGTCAGCCATCAGACTATCGTGATTGTATTTCCAACTAAATCCTACCATAACACTCATGTGTATTTGGGTGAAAGTGCTTGGCGGTTATAGCCCCCCAGGTCCCCTGTAAGTGTTAAATTGCTGTAATATTTCATCTTTCGGAACGACGCACCCTCCTCTCCCATCCACTTTTTTCAAGAAATTCTTTGGTATGGGCTTCATCATGGGGTTTGGGGAGGACATTTCGGTAAACGAGCACGGGCAGCCGGTTGTTTGGGGAATAATCCGTGGACGGAATATGATACTCCTCAGGTCGGACGGACATTGTGAATCATTGATTTCAGGCTGGTTAGTTCCAAGTCAAAGGTTGACGAAACGTATGATCAAAGCTTCCCGAATAATGCACGGAAGCTGCTAGGTGGTAGAGAATGTGATAGTTCATGAATACTCGAACGGACTCCGGGTACCTCCATCGATAAGAACTAATGATGAGGGACCAGTAATATGGCCCAACGGTACTGTCATTGCCAGGCTTTCATTTTGAGCGCCAGTGCCAGGAGACAAGCGGGGACTGGCTAAAATCGCCCAATCTGGGAATCCATGTATGCGATGACAGATAGCAGCACAGCGACAAGAAGAATGCTACGAATGTAGTACATATTACTTAGGAGCAGCGAGCGGGGAGCGGAGGCTGCGCTGTGTTACTTAACCTAGTACTAGCTATCAGTTCTGCGGGGGCGGGCCGATCGAACTCCGTGATTCATCAATTGAGATTTCCCCCCTGTCACTATCTCGATAGAGGTGGAGTTCCAGCCACGAAAAACACGGGATTTGCATTCAGGTCTCAAATCTCCGTGCCCTCTACCCATGATTTCCTATCCTCAATCCTCAGAGGTCCACTTGATAACAACGCGCGCAGTGCTTCGGACATACTGTGTATCTGCATCAAGACTGCGATAGGACTGGACGAGATCTAGATGCTTTATTCCCTGTCGTAGGCCTCCCTAATCGACCAATGATACTCCTCGCGATACAAAATTCGACTGTATTGGATGCTCCCCAAGCCGGCGCCATTATCAAGACATTGGCCAGGAGGACCTAGCTGTCAAGCTCTATAGAAAGTTGCTAAATCATTTCTGTCACGACAAGAGATTTTTGTGACTTGCACCAACCTTCTTGTCCTTCTCCACAGAGTGAGGATTCTCCGCAATGTCTCCAAGTCCCGAGCCCACAGCTAGCCAAGGCGCCGACGGCGGCGCGCCCCGCCATCACGACAAGGAGCCGCCGTCGATGCACGATTTCGAGGCCGGCGACATGCTCACTGACCCGGCAGAAGAAAATGTACCAACAACGACACGCCGCGAGGTATGGAGTTGGTACGCCTACTATATAGGCGCCAACGGACTCTCCTTGTTCAATTTTGGTCCGACTGCTTTTCAGAATCTGCTCTCTCAGGCTGCACCCGAGGACACGGGCCTGCTCCCGTTTGCTGGTCACGAGCGCGATGTCAACAGCATCGTCCTCCTCGCCAACGGCATTTCCTTTGCCATTCAAGCCATTCTGTTCCTCATCATTGGCGCGTACGCCGACTTTGGTACCGGGCGGCGCTGGGTCCTCCTGGTCTGGTCCGTGATAGCCTACGGCGTGGGGTTTGGCTGGTTGGGGGTCCACGATGCAAGCAAGTGGCAAATTGGCGCAGGCTTGTATATTGTGGGATTAATTGCCTACCAAATGACGCTCACGTATTGGACTGCTGCTTTTCCCTCTCTGGCCAGAAACACACCTCAGCTGAAAGAAGCAGCCTTGGCTTATCAGGCAGGAGACATAACACAGGAAGAAATGGATCGCAAGGACGAAACAGAACGAAGTCGACTCAGCAACGTGGCCTTTTACATCCAATCTCTTGGAGAAATTGTAATTCTCGCCATCATTGTGGGCATCATGTTTGGCGTCAAAGTCGACGCTAGTTCAGCGAACAACAACTGGGGACTGTCGGTCCTCGTCGCCTTTGCCACCGCCTGCTGGCTCGTTCTCTCAATCCCGTGGTTCTTGATGGAACAGAAGCGTCCCGGTATGAAAGTTCCCGAAGGCAAGAATATCGTGACGATGGGGTTCTGGCAATTGAAAGAGGCGTTTCTGAAAATGTGGCACCTCAAACAAAGCTTGATCTACCTGGGGGGTTACTTTCTTCTTGGCGACTCTCTCAACACCACTGTCACGGTCATTGCGACATTGCAGAACCAGGTTGTTAGCTACGACACGTTGACACTGACATACCTTCTTATTGTTGGGATAGCGGCTCAAGCTGCCGGCATCGGCGCCTTCTGGCTGATACAGAAACGCTTCCACTTGAGCGCCAAGGTCATGTTCAATGCGGTCATGGTCTCCATCATTCTTCTGGACGGATGGGGAATGATTGGAAATTGGACCGACAAATTTGGCTTCAAGAATGTTTGGGAGATTTGGCTCTACCAGGCATTTTATGGTCTCTTTGTGTGCCCATGGTACAGCTACTCACAGATCATGATCAGCTCCGTTACACCCAAGGGCCACGAGTTCTTGTTCTTTTCTGTTTTCAACATTATTGGAAAATCGTCGAGTTTCATTGGTCCATTTATGAGCAGTGCCATCATTGACGCTTCACCGGGCGGCAGCAACAACAGCGCCCCTTTTTACTTCTTGTTCGCACTCACTTTGGTCAGTACCATTTTCATCTGGGCATTTTTGGACCTGGAAAAGAGTGCGCGGGAACAGGAGGATTATCTCGTCAAGGAGAAGGCTCGCTTGGGGGAGCTTGCCCACTAGTGATCAACAATGCGTATGAACAGCACTATATACTGGATGCAAACATTGGCGTAAGGTATCTAGCTGTCTACACCTAATCAAATACCAATGGTTCAACTAGCTCTACAACAGAAACTTTAGCAACAGATCATAATCTATCAGCTTCAGTGTGCATTTGAAAAAGTATTCTCTATCCGCGATTCCATCAACGTACCTCTAAATCCTCAAACTCTTGTGCACGCAATCCTGGGCCACGCCAGGTATTTATGCTTTCTAGAAAAGCCATACTGGAGCTTTCTTATCATGAGACGGTGAAGAGGTTGGAGGGAAGCACCAAAAAAGAGAAAAGCCAAACGTTGACAGAGAAAATAGGGCTACATTAAATGATGTGAAGTTTCCTGATTCAAGGTTCAACTGACCTAGGCATACGAGTGAAAGAAATTCCGCAACAACGCTTAAATTGAAACTGGTAATCTTTAAAATCATTGCGGGCGGTTTACCCCCCTCTCCGCGCAGTACTTGTCAACCTCCTTGCGCAGTGTGTCTCTTTGCCTTACCGCCGTTTCCATGATATCCGTACATGTCTTGTCCACTCCACTCTCGCCCTTGACAGAATCGTAAATGCTAACCATTTCCTGCAACACGGCTTCGAGCTGGTTGGGCAACCAGGTCACAATGGGGCTGCCGCCGGTGGCTGTGGGGTGCGAAGTGCGCTTGAGAATGTACTCGCGAGCAAAGCACCAATGCCTCCAGCGGAATTCCCGCACCTGGTTCAGCAATTGGATCCAGTAACTCCGTGACTGGTTAATCAAATTCTCCTCCTCAACAGTGGTGGGCTTGGCGTCGACAGCCAGGGCGTACTTCTTTAGCCCGAGTTCCAAGGAGCAGCCCTTTGCCCACTGGAGGAAGCCTCGGTGATTGGTCGGCCTGTACTCGCGGAAGTCTTTCAAGATCTCTGTAAGTGGTGTGCTAGGCATGGGCACCTGAAGGAAATTGTCCATGAGCGGAACAATGGAGTCATTGGCGCCGCTCTCGCCACGAAAGGAGAGGGGTTTGCCGTCGTTCAAGCCCTCATACACGACGCCGTTGGGGAACATGCTCTGGGAGGTGATGCCAAAGATGAAAGTCCGGAAGCTGGTGTACTCTGTGGGACGGGACTTGTCCCACATGGTCTCCATGGTTTGGTTGATCTTTTGCAGTGCACCCAGCATCAAGCCCATGCCCTCGTTGAACTTGCTGCGTCGCTCAATGGAGTCGGCGCACGGCTCAGCGGCAGCATCAAAGGCCTTCATGGTTCCGTCGATCAAGGGCCCGGTGTTCTTCACCATGTCGATGTGCACAAGGACAAAACCCGCTTCCGAAGACGTGGGGTCGAGACCGTGCTCAAAAGCGCGAATCAGTCGCAGGTTGGAGTATTCCATGCCCTTGGCCTGGTCCACGAGGTAGTAGTTGTATAGGGCATAGGAACCAGCATACTCCATGAACGGCTTGAATCCACAGCTGGATTAGAGTCAGTCATATTCTGGAATGTGTGCAGGTAACCGAAACAGAATCGATGTCCCAGAAGAAGACCCATTGACTTACATAGCAGCGCATCGTGCAATTGGTTGTGCAATGTTGGCTGGCAAAAAGTCCCGCCCAAGACCGTAGGGCTCCCCTTTGATAAATTTGTGATGGCACGGCTCAAGCAGGTAAGCTGAAGCCAGGAAAGAATAGTCTCTGTACAGAGCATTCTGGAGCGGCAAGTTATCCTTGTACTTTTCCACGGCCTCTGTTAGATTGGGCAGCTCCTTGTCGACAGTCTCTCCCAGCTTATACTGTGCTAGGAGACCGGGCTCTCCTGAAAGAGTCTTGACGGGCATGCGCTGGAGGATACCCTCGAAGACATCAAATTCCTCGGGTAACTTGACAATGGGGTCGGCCCTGGGAAGGAAGCCTCGGGTCGTCGAGACCATGAATGCAGGGAGGGAAAGGTCATCGGGGCGAGGATCGCCTAGAACCTTGAAAGGCGGCGATTCAATACCAACAGATCCCATGCTTGTTGATGTGAGCCAAAATCGTGAATATAAAGGCGCGTTAAGGTGAGTCCAATAGGCAGAAAGTATGTGGTGGTACTACAGATGAGTCTTGTGATGCTGAACTATCCAGTTCCTTCTTTTGCATCCGGGAACTTTCAGTCGCCTATATAATCCGTGGCCGGAATGAGTTCCGGCCACTGTTCCGGCCTCTGTGGCGGGGACGGGATACGGAAATCGGCGGCCACATTGTTTGCGTATTGCTGACTCCGGGTTTTGTGGATCGATTGGTATGTTCTGGGCCATTCCTCTTGCCGTTCATGATGCTCTGCGAGTTGATTAGTCCGTGGCTACCCTACGAGACAGTACATAACCTAAAAGTAGACCATTTTTGCGACGAACTGCATAGATTATCAATAGAGGTACACTGAAGGACTAATTCTGTGCATTACAATGTGATTTACATGAAATTGTGTTTTTACCTACACATTTTGAGACGTCTATATCTCAAGATGACCTCAGCTTTCGAGGCGACTGCCGAGATCCACTCAGACTACCTGAAAACCTGTGTGGGGGTATGGTTCGGCCATTCTCTAGACATGCCTGAAGCGGCAAAACACGGATTTTCGCCATGTCTCCGTGTCTTCAGCAATGATTGCAAATACAATTATCGTGAATGAAAGATGAGGGGGCAAATGCATGGCTTCTTCAAGGCACTTGCTCAGCGGCCACGAGTATCCAATGAGAAGGCGTCATCCTATCCTAAACGAGGGCTTGGGCGCAAGTATTCATGAGATATCATTCGCCTGTCGTGCTAGTGGGCCGATAAGCCACCATGCGCAAGCCGGAAATGCCAAAATTACCGTGCCCACTTTCACCACCCCAGCTATAGAGATATGGGCGGGGCCGCAAACCTGCCCCAGCACCAATATTAAGCTCAGGTGGGCACGGAAACCCGACTTGCACCATGTCCATTCCACCCTTCAACTTCTCACCTGCTACTGCTTTGAAATCCGTCCATTGTTGAGAGCAAAATCCGTGTTTTAGCCAGGTGATGGCGGGGAGTCCGGGTGGCCGAATTCAGTCATCTCGGCGATCCTGCGAAAACTGCCGGTAAGATTCCCCACTCATGCCATGGTCCCTCCGTAAGACTGTCCCGTCTCTAATGGCCGAATATTCATAGGCGGAAGAAAACAAAATGCACAGGTGAAAGACCCGTCTGTTCATTTTGTCGCCGATTACAACAGCAGTGCTATTACCTACCACGCGATGGCAAGAAACACCAAGAAACCCATCGTGGGGTCCATCAGAGGTGAGAGTCTCATGATCATCTCAAGCTAAGCTTTCGCCTGGCACTAAAACTGTCGGACTTGTAAAGGAATGGTGCGTCCAAGAGACAATGCCAGCTTTCAGGTGGTATCGTAAGGGAGAATTCTAGGTAGCTCCCGTCCTCGCCGGCATGCAAAGCCAGAGTTGATCTCGTAGTCAGACACTAACATGCCTGGATAAGACGAGGACCGGTAAACTGTCCAGCAAAGGAGGTAGCACCCACGACGGTTGCCAACACAGAGGATGAGCTGCTATCAGAGTTGTTGGATGACGCCGTAGACTTGTATGAAGAGCGGATGAATTTCCAGCCGATCTCATTATTTTGTCCACGGACTTTGCGGGAGACGCTTCTAGAAGCACCGCATTTCTTGCAGTGGACGTTTCTTTCGCTTTCAATGATGTATTTCGGAGGCGAGGACATTGAAGTGTCCAAGAGAGAAGCCGTCAAGCGTCATTCAGCATCAGCTCGCGTGGTTGCCACCCAGCTCGCAGCAGAAGGGACCGCGAAGCTCGAAGTCTCCCAGTGCCTATGTCTTACAGCACTGGGGCATATCCTAGGTGCGTGATATCTTTCAGTTACAGCAGAGTATTTATTGACAAGCTTGGTGTTCAGCCGGGGAAGGAGGATTAGCTTGGATGACCCTAGGACTTGCTACTAGATTGGAAGTCATGAGAATCAGTCAACCAGAGCAGTCCAAGACCAGTGTGGATAGGGAAGCCAGCTCAAGGTGTTATTGGAGCATTCGCTCTCTGGAAAACGGATTTGCGCCACAGTCATTCCCTCAGTTCCAGGACCTTCATGCCCCCGCCTACCCCCCAGACATGGAGGCGCCTCAGCCAGTTGACAAGGGAAGGCGACAGTCTGTTCACGACCTTGCACTCATGGATGATGAGTGCATCCAAGGCAGTGGGATATTTGCCCACAGTATCCGAGTCATGTCGTCCTGGCGGGATGTCAGTAAGTGGTTGCACGATATTCGACATGGAAACGCGGAGAAGCCTTGGCTGCCAACCTCAAAGTTTGCCGAGTTGACTCAACACCTTTACGACTTGGAAAACAACCTCGACTACAAGCACTGCTTCAGGAATGCCAGGCTACCCGATCGCTCGTTGGATGAGCTGCACAGGGACCAGGAATATTGGCGATGTTGGATGCTATACCATGTTCGATTCCATGCGTGTTTAGCTCTGTTGAACCACCCCTTTGTGCATCTAGTAGCTTTGAGGAACGGCAACCGCTCGCCATCGCCGCGTAGCTTTTTGCAGATTGTTGTCGACCAGGCGCTATACCATTCAAGTTGGGTCATACGACTCATCAACATGTGTATCGAAATCGGATTTGACATCCATGACCCCTTCACTAGTGACATTGTTATTGCTGTGGCAACTGTCCCTTGGATCATGCAGTATGCTCGAGACCAAAAGGTCGCAGCTCACTCGAAAGAGAACCTCAGTCAATGTCGCAGTTTCCTCAGTAATTTGTCGCAGTCCTGGCCTCGGGTCGTTCAAAAGGTGAGGTCCAAGAGTTTCTTACCCAAAAGCTTGTCATATTAATTCATAGAAACAGTTGGCCACACTCGACCAGCTACAGTCCATGACGGACTGTGCAACCTCGCAAAACACCATCAGCTTCAAGCCCGCCCAGCTCTGGCAGCTCCTCGACCCATGCATCTCGGAACTGTCAGCACAAAGGAATGCAAACTCACAGAGCGCCTCTGACCAAAGTACCACGATGCGGGTCCATACCACCTTTATCCACCCTCTAGTCGATGAAGAAGCATCCGGCGAAGTCCCCAAGACAGTTTCTGAAGCTCCGTTCTCCTTGGAGTTGTCCGCCGAGATGGGTCAGCAGTTCCTGTTTGACGACTTCTTCTTGCAGCCGCTGCATCTAGACCAGACATGGATAGATATCGGACCTAGCATGAACATTACTTAGTCTGATTTACGATCATGAATCACTTCCTGGCCATCGGTTGTATAGACAGGGGGACAGGGGAACTAGCAGACCAAGGCAAGCTTGAAGAACCAAGGCGTTACGTGTGAGAACATTAGGAATATTTTGATACGGGCAGCTAAAAGAGAACTAACAATCTATACCTCAGACAAGATCCATACCTGTGCAGAGCACCTCTCGCTTCCCTACACACTCGAGAATGGCTCGAGTCTGAGTCATCATTGTCGCACCTGTAGTGAGGGCCAGCGCAACCGTGTTTGTCGTGAAGCCATCAGAACCCTGAAGCAACCCTCCAATATTGGTGCACGTCTTTCCAGCAATCTTGATCCATTCCTCAATGGCCAGGTACACGCTGTACCCGGCGCCAGAGGCCCAGGATTCTATGTGAAGAATGGCGTGGATAAGCATCTGCCCAATATTTGCAAAGAGACCAAGAATGTACCCAACTTTTCTGCCAAGGAGGGCTCCAAGGACGGGAAGTCCTCCAAGCACCCACATCATGAATCGCTTGGCGAACCACGGATCCTCGTCCCATATCTTCTTGAAACTAAAGGTTCCGTTCGTGATGTCCTCCATCTTGATTTTGGCAATGGATGCAAACTGAGCAAGCCAAACCACCAGCTTGAGTGCTGCGCTCACAAGACATCTCTCGAAGCTGTAGACTGTCTCTGGGAGGAATGTTTTAGGCCAAGAGTATAGACCATAGAATAGGAAACTGCCAACAGGAATGCCGAGCTTGATGATATTTCCACCACCACTGCTGGAAGCCATGAATCTCTTCTGATTGGCCTCGATGGCTTTGCGTTTCTCTTCCGACATCTTGAAGCTTGGTGCCGGTGCTTTGCTCTTGGAGTCTACATTGCCGACTGCTGCCAAGCTGAACGTCACGGTGTTGGCGGCCGCCCATGAGCCACCGGAATCAGCAGCCGCTTCTTCTAGTCGGACACGACCCATACGTTGATCGAGCTCCGCGCGATGCGCATTTGGCGCAATGAGCGACCCAATGCCTTCTACCTCCTTTGGCCTCTTTCCAGTCACCATCTTGTAGATTATGGTAGCGGGGATAGCCAACAGCAGTGCGACAACGTCCAAGATTGTCATGTCGTCGCCCGAGATCTTCTTGTACAGGGCGGACAAGATTCGGATCTGGATAGGCTGATTGATGCCGTCGGTGAACATGAGCAATATTTCGCCAAAAAGCTCCGATCAAAGTGGTGACAACAGCCTGTATCATGCCCAAAAGGTCTTCCAGGAGCTCAATGCCGAGCTTGGCAAAGATCTGATCAAGGCTCGGTGTGCTTGTTTTGAAGACATCGCCAAAGTTGGAAATCAACCGGCTCATCAATCTCTCCATCTGGTCCCCAAGATTCGATAGGCGCGCGAGGATTCGGTCAACAGGCGAGGTTACTCCGGTCGAATCTCGTGGACCGCCGCTGTGGGACAAATGGTAGCTTCCGTAGCTGGCCTGAGGTGAATTGAAAACCTCCTCTTCCTTGGAATTATTCCTGTCCCCTTTTGCTTTCTGGAGAGCATCTGGATTCTTCCCAGCCTTCTGTCCGCCTAATTCACTAGGGAGCTTCTGACCTTTCAACGCCCGAACCTTGATCTTCAGGTCTTCAAAGAAGGTGTTGGTGTTTTCCTCGAGCAATGCCACAGCATCGACTCCCCACAGAAGTCCCTGGGTGGTAAAGTTGACGATCAAGTTCTTGACATCCAAGATGTCGTCCCATTCAAAGAGGAATGTGATGAAGTTGATCACCTTTTTGACACCGTCCACAATTGTTTCGAGTACTTTCTGCACCACTACCACTACATGCTGGACAGTTTCAATGATAAAGTTAAACACTTTTCCAGCAATCTTGACGACAAATTTCCACGCCTGACCGACCTTCTCCAACGCCCATTTGGCTCCTTGTTTGATTTTCTCAGCAACCCACTGGAGCGCACCCCAGATGCGCCGCCCGACGTTGCCGAAAAAGCTTCCAATCGAGTTCATGGACACGATGCTGTTCGATTCAATGCCAGTCATTGTGTTGGCTGTGATGTGCTTGCCAGCAGCTAGCGACTTGCGAGCTTCTGCGAGGTCTTTCAAGGCTCCAAATGCTGAATCAAGATATTCCTGGCTGTCATTCTGGCTGACTAGCGGAGTGCCATCTGGTAATTTCAGGTTCTTCAAATCAGCAGAGTTTTGGACTGCAAAAAGTTTGTCAAAGAGCTTTGAGCTCGGATCAATCTTGTATGGGCCGTTTGTGATTTGTTTCGACTGCAGGTCCCAAGCGTCTAATGTCAGTGTGGGAGCAGCTAGAGACTCGTCGCTGCGGAGGACGGGAAGGACGACGGTGGTGGTATCGGAGGGGTCTGTTTTGACCTCGGTGCCGGTGAGGCTCCCTCTGATTGATTTATTTGCCATTCACGAGCATTTCGGCTGTGGTTGAGCATGTTAACCTGAATGAAGTGTTTACCAGGTTGGCGTCCATCTCTGAGTCTAGGGCAAGGATCCGTATGGTATAGGAGTCAAACTCAATCATTTCGTCGATTTGCGGGATAAGAATCTCGACAGGGGCATGCCACAAGGCCGTTTGGTTATCTTGTTCCAACATGACCATGTGCCCATCCCGGCTAACGACAAACAGTTTCTGGCCAAGTCGAGGATTTTGAATTGCGGCGAACCTGTCGCTCGCGGCATCCCGGAGCAAAAGTGGAATGGGAAGAGTCCTTGCCTCGGGCTGTGCAAAGGCTGTGTTTGCATCGAACTCTTGGTACGAAAGCGTCGCAGATTTGGTCAAGGACCAGACCGACAACCAACCTCGCGTTTGTGAAACGTGCAACTGTTCAACCTCGAAGTAGGCATCAGAGTCGTCGAGGATGATGGGCTCGGTGTTGCCTTCGATGCAACCTTGAGCACTTATCCACGATAACGTTTTTCCACCGATCAAAAGGTCTGTCAGGCCATCGGCATTATCAAACGAGGCTAGCTGTGTGGCGCCCTCGGGGACAGTTTGCTCGATGCTCTTGAGGATTGGCGTGCGCTCTTCGGGATCCAACCCAACGAAGCGCATGGACAACTTTGAAGGCACTGCTTGAAGTCAGGGCTGGATTGGACAAGGTCTTGAAGATGTGGCTTGAAAGTCTCAAGAGCGCTGATCCCGGAGAAACGCACAATATTCTCGGCTACGCTCTCAAGGTCGATATTCCAGGCAGTACCTCACACAAACAGTTACTGGAGAAAATTGGCGATGCCAAGATACCGCCATCCTTTACGCCTGCAGCCGTGCAGTTTCAGACAATCGGAAATAGACAGCAAGCCGGCTCAACGGCCAATTCCGATGACGACTATAATGCTTTCCTCTTCACCGAGATGTGTTACACACAAAGCCCCGAGGAGGTTGCAAAAGGTATCGTCGGGCCTCCCCAGTTCCCGCAAAACGATTTGCAGTGGAGCGGAAATTGGTTCTATGATTCCATCGGAGGTTCCATGGCCATGTCGAGCGAAATCTTCATGAACGAAATTGTCGGTAGGCTGACCAGACCCCTATATGAGAAGGCCACGGCCTTTGCAGAGCCGCTGGCAAAGGGGCAGACGTGGGATGCCGATGCACGAGTGAGAGACATGAAGCCCAGAAGGAACTTCCTCCCAGCCTGGAACCATGCAGATGAATGGGTCAAGACCAAGGACAATCAGTGGAAATTTGAGTCGACCCTGCAAGCCAATCACAATAACCTGACGTGGTGGGAAACCGGCAAGGCAACTCTGTACAATATCCAGGTTAACGTGGATTCGCGCATGTCGACATGGCTGGTGGCTATCCCAGGTACCGGAGATTTCGAAATCCGGTAGCGAATCATGACCGTCACGAAATGGGTGAACCATGCGAATACATATGTATTCGATGCCACTTCGACCTTCCACTGGAAGTACAAAGTGAGCCTTTCGGCGGTCACTTCAGACGCACAGCTAACTGCGCTGGCCCATTACGTAAAAGGAGAACAAGACCTCACGTCAACAATCACGAGTGGAGGCAAGGTAATTCACGGTGTTGGCAGTGACGATACTCCGGACGAGAAAAAGAAATGGGACGGATACCAAGATCTGCTCAAGAACACTATTGTCGACAAGATGACAGACACCAGCACCTTCGAGAAGACACTTCAAGATGGCCTGAACGGACAGAAGAGATTCGTCTCCCCTTCTGGAGGAACTTTCGATATGAAAGACCCGATTTTCACAGTGGCTGGCGACTTGATGCTTGGGCTGACATATAGGGAGGGCCAGTCAAAGTCACAAAAGTCTGGCAACCAACAAGTACAAACCAGCTGATATGACTCACTCTGGTAACTTTGACACTTTTTGACAAAGTCGTGCTTTCTTTTTCATGTCACTATCTCTTTATCATAAAATTCGCAGAATAATATACCCACTTTGGATTCGTTCTTGTCGCTGCACATACCCAAATGAGGGTAGAAGTTTAATCGTGGCACTCAAGCATTTCGTCTTTCTGAGCGTGCGATGGACAATTCTAGGTGTCATGAGTCGCTGTGTTCCTGGTTGTATGTGAAAGAAAATGTCCAAGATGGTTATTCCACTCTGTAGGTGACAAACACTACCATGTACTCATCCCAAGTACCAATGGCCCATCGGAGCAATGAGATTTTATAGAGAAACGCGCCCATATATACAATTTGTGCAAAAGGCACTTTTTAATTCATATGTACATCTAAGAAGAATATCATGTATACAAGTAATTATACAAGCCATGTTGCTTAGCTGGGGCAGCCAGTGCTGGGGTAGTTGCAGCTCTGGTTGCCACCAGTGATGAGGACGTTCTCATAGGTGAAGTTACTGCACGATCCATCACCACAGAGAATGTAGTAGTTGTAGGCGTCGTCATCGGCAACGGTACCCGTAACGTCGATAAAGGTAATGTTGGAGATGATGACACCATTGGTGGGCTCGCCCGTCGGGCCGCCGTTGAGGTAGTCCTGCTGCACATCCAGACCGTAGTCGGTGATGTTGCTCATGGTGATGTTCTTGTAGGTAATGTTGGTGACCAGACCCGTGGTGTTGGAGTTGGTCTTGATGCGGGCGCCGTTGCTCGAGTTGACGAGCACGCTGTTGCTGAAAATGACACCGTCGACGGTGTTGTCCGACTTGCCGCCAATGGAGCCAATGGAAAGACCGTGGCCACCGTCGCAGTACACATTGTCGACAACGACATTGGTACCGCTGGTCACGGCAACGCAGTCGTCCTGGTTGACGACGTTGGTGTTCTTGATGGTGATGCTGTCACTGCTGGAAACACCAAATCCATCACTGTTGTGGGCAGCGGCTTCACCATCGGACAGATCGTTGGGTTCGAAGCCGGCGCTGTTATCCATGTTCAGGCCGTCAATGGTCACATTGCTGCTGTTGGAGGTGATCTGGATTCCGTGGACCGGCCAGTTCTTGATGTTCAGGCCCTTGACGACGGTATCAGAGACGCCCGCCAGCTTGATGAACCAGTTTGGCTTTGAACCACCACCGTTGGAGCCCTGTCCATCCCAGTAGGCGGCGCCATTGCCCTCAAGCACGTGACCCTCGGCTCCCTGAATGGTCAAGCCAGAGCCTCCAATCTGGATGGGGAGGAAGTCATGGTCGGGAGTGTCTCCGAATGACTATTTTTCCGTGTTAGTGAGGAGGCGTCTCACGAGATTCAATTCACTATGCAGGGACTACCAGGATGACATACAGTAGTGCCGGCAAAAGTAACGGTAGACCCGTTCTTTAGATCAGTGAGATCGATTGACGAGTTGGCCGGGGCGTAGAGATCCTGGAGGACAATGTTTGTGCAATTGGCGACGGCAGAGGCTAGCGCAGTATAGTTGGTAACAGTGCAAGCGGCCGGAGCTGGTGTTGTGCTATTTCCGCAGGCCGAAACGGCAATCGGCAAGGCCGAGGCAACAGTGGAGGATCTCATGATTGGAGGCTGACGAGTTATAGATTAATTAACGAATGACTGCGATTAAATGGTGTTATACAGTTGCGAGACGCGGCTCCGTGTAGTTGGCACTCAGAATCCGACGTATTGATGAACGGCTGCTACTCCGGGTCGAGTCAACAAGCAGATGCCAATCCCACGAACTTTATAACAAAAAAGCGCCAAGAATATCTCTGGATCGCCTGCACGCCAAGAGGCCGTATCGACGCAACTCGTCCCTGATGAGATTATTCGTGGTCCTGCATTATCATTTGGTTTTGGGGCTCTTCTCTAATCCTCGAGGATCTCTTACTGAGAACCCATCCATGTTGGAGCTATCATTCGTAGCCGGCCATTGCAGTCTTTGTCCCTGGCCAGCAGTTAATTTATTTGACGCGGCGTCTGTGGACCCTGGATGCCCCTGGGCATCCTGAATCGGACAATTCCGGTTGGTGGCCTTTTCTTCCACGAATTATTACGCGAGCAGGATGCACAGTTTACAGAATCCACGTGGATATGATGGAGCCGACTAGAGTCGAATGCGTCCTAGTCGTGAATATACCCTGAGGTCGCTTGCATACACAAGTGCTCACTGCCAGGCCCCCTGCAGAAGAATTTTGACACTCGTCACCAAAACGGGTGGTTTTCGATACCACAAGACAAAGGTGAACCGACCGAAAAATTGAGCTGTAACAAGGGGAATTAATCTCCAAGAGCAGGGAAATATTACATTTCTTGAATTGTATTTTTTACAATTCTTTTGGTAGATATTTGGCCGTCTGAAGTTGGGATACTACTGTGTAGTGGGCGCGAGTATCAAAATTCTTATGCGGGCCTCCTGCTGCTCACTCCTCTCGGGTTGCCCACTGTCAGCTGGGCCGTCGCAGTCGCGGCTCCTGGTCTCACGCCCGTCGAGCCGTATGCAGAGATGGCCATGCAGGTCCGATGCGTTCTAAAAGTTTTGTTTCCGAAGCACAAAAGCGAAATGATCAGCCCCGATCAGCTCTGTTGGTGATTCGCTCGCTCATTCAGGAGGTTTTCGTAGACACTATCGAACTGATGCATCGATGCATACGTACTGCAATATTGGTTGGTTGGTCACATCAGCTGTTCACTGACCGAGTGCATTCTCGCTGTTTGAGCGGTGGAAAATAAAAACCACTTGCAAACTATTGATATAGAAGTATCTGTCGTATAAACTACAGCCATGATCTGAGATGGGAAATCGATTTCGTCATCGATGGATGATTACATTTTGTTCGCAGTGCCCTTTAAAATAAACGAAATAATCGCAAAGGTCTAGCACAACACTGGCCACGCGCTCAGCACAGGCCCAAAGGCTAAACTAAGGTTGAACGGTCGGTTCGATTACCGCGACATGAGATGATCGCCAACGCCTACGTACAAAGCAATAAATAGGCCATGATATAACAGAGGTTGCGAGCCACGTATTCTTCACACAAATGTATAAAGATCCAAGCTTTCTTGGGTTTCTTGGACCGGGAAGTCGGTTGCTTCGGAAGTTTGCTTGGCAGGCTTGTTTGGACGAGGTTACATTGACTTGGTTCCTGCGGCCTGCCAAGATGCTTAGCAGTGTTACAATGGATATTGCTTTTGAGTGTGCCCGCGCTAGAACGTGGCATGACCATCAGGAACAAATAGTTTTGCGCTTTTGACGCATTACGACCAACGTGTTTACAGATACTTAGAAGTGATATGACGGACAGCAGAAATTCAGTGATGTACAGCAAGCGCAAATCATATGCATTGAATAAAACGGAGCCATCGAACAAGAAGCGAGATGTTCAGCGGTCAGAGGCTGACGTCCTTCAATGCAGCGCAATTACGCGCCCCCCTCGCCTATATTGTCCACCATAATGATCTCCACATCCCAGGGTACATGGGCAAATCTTCTAGAAAGAAAACAATTCGCGAATCAATATTGTTGGCTATCACGGAAAACTCTCCTTTTTGTGTTTTCCATCTCTTACTCTGACAGAACATTATCGCCGTCTTCCAGCCTGCTTTATCGCCGCAAAGCTCGGGCAGTAAGTCCATTTCCGTCATGGACCAAGGCATCATGAATCAGACAAATCATCCAGCAGATTAGAATTCCGAATCGCAGCCTTCAGCTTTCTCCCAACGCTTCCGCTTATCAGCGGACTTCGCTGCGGCGGCGCGGAATGCTGCTGACTGTCGATCCGTTGCCGATGAGGAAGCCCTTGCTGCCGCTGTGCCTTGTTCGCATCTCTCATCTGTCGCATGAACATGTTGAACATGGCATTTCGTGACTCTTCGTCATGTTTTAGTTGTTGTGCCATTTCCGTGCGCTCCTCCACCCACATTTGCTTGTATGTCGACTGGTGCATGTTGAGCTCTGAGAGCTGGTACCACAGACTGTTGAGCGTGTGCAGCAGCAGCACGCTTGTAATGATGATGCAGACCAATATGGTCCAAAAAAGGTAGCGCGACGTGTTCTCGCGAATGCTCGAGAGCTATAATCATGACGACACTTGGTGTTAGCTCCTCTTGCAAACTTGTTAGAGTACGAAAGAGGAAGAGTCAGTTGTTCTTACGTTGAGATGCACCTCGTTTGCCCACGAGGTCGCAGCGCGTATCACTTCACTCGCTTCATTGACGTGCTCATTGGTCACATCTGCCTTTGACGGCCATATATAGTTGAGCGCACTCATCGTCGCAATACAAGCTAGCTCAGGCACTTTGCGTGCTGAAGGTTTATGGTTGTATGGTATGATCTTCGGGAGGATAAAGTGTGCCACAGAATGATGTGCCCATGTGTCAATGGCTAAACACCCCTTGACCACACTTGGAGATATCTTGATTGGTCAAGATAGGCTGGTCCTGGTATGGTCACTTGCGACTGTTGAGGCACTGGTATGCGGCACTAAGATGAGACAAAGCGGTTGTGGCTCAAAGCTTACCGTTTGCGGAATCATTGTCAAAGGAACATGTAGATAGATGACTTGACGTTGCTAGACCCTACCTTGGTAGATATTGCTACGGCGGTCCGTCACTTGAGCTGGACACATGCAAAACAAACAACTGATAATTTCCATATAGCACAAATTCTCGTATTAACAGGCCAAGGCTGTCTAGACGTGCTGTCTAGCCGTACAAGTACACATGTCGAAATCTGTTTCCCTTCACTTTGTTTGAAGCATTGAAGGCCTACATGTTTGAACAGTGATGATTATCTTGTCAACTGCCTAAACTATAGAATCCAATCTTATCCGCGGACCTCTGAGCTGCTGAATCAATCCTACATCTTTCTCCTCGTACTTTGCAAAGCACCCGTCTTCCTTGTTGCAGCTATTAACGCAAGGCAAATCCCGCGCTTCTTCCACCATTTCCGTAGCCAGGAATCCAACCGCCAAGGTAATGATGATGAGGAAGAACACGAGAATGTCATCGCTGGCGAGGAACTTTGCACACTAGCAGTATACGATCAGTTAGTCATCAAGTTACCTCAACTCGAGCTTTAGAAACCGGCTGCAACGGTGAGCTTACCTTTGTACAGACATCATTGAATTGGTTAGGAATCGCCGTGACGGCAGCTCCTGAGATTGGGGTATCCATCTTCCAGATGCTTCACACACCACTTTCGTAATGACCCAGTATGGCGGTATAGAGAAGGAATCTGTTGAAAAGCCACCTTGGCCATGTGCGGTAGCAGGCCCCATGCCTGTTTTACAGTGTCTCGGGAACAAAGGATGAGGTCGAGATTAAAGCTGTAGAAGACAGTGTCTCACTTGAGATGGCCATCTTCTGTTTTCGGAACATCCTGCTATCTCCATTGACTATGAACGCCCTGCGCATAATGGTTTGGAATTGATGTTCGGACAACATACAACCGGGTATGACCTCACATGGCATTATATAAACAAATTCCGACATGGTGAGACAGATTCCACGATGCTATCTTGTGAACACGATGGGAAGATTCTACCAACCATTTTCAAAATCTGCATATTTAGACAGCCATGTATATCTAACATAAACCGAATCATGATTTATTTATGCCAAGAGGATGATGCCGACCTCTGAACGTTTGGCTTCCATCCATTTCAAACTCAAGACGCCAATACCGATAGATGATTAATAGATAGAAGAAATCAATGCTTACATGTAATCGAATACATTACCCAAAAACCTCCAGTCCCTTCCAATCACCCTTTGACCAAATCTTTTCCTCCCGTCTTCTCTTCTCCTCCATGCCCGCACCACTCCTCCTACTACTCGGTGCCACCTCCGTGACCATGGTCCGCCTCTCCCAATCGTCATCGTACTCATCGTCTCCTCTGACCGTATAAACAGACTCGGCATACCGAGACCTCGTGTCCCCTCGATGCCTCGCACCCGCCTCGTCATCTACCGTATCATAGCCGTGATCTCGGTACACACTCTCCGCCACGGTACCACCCGCGACCGTAGGCGCCGTACCGACAATCATTTCAACATCGGCACTATCCCTCCCTCTCAGCCGAGCACTCCTCTCGCTTCTATCAGCAACCGACGATCCCGCCGCCATCGCCGCCGTGGCCGTCGTCGTGGCCGCCATCTTGCCCACAATCGCCTCCCTCACGGCGCGCGATACCTCGACCACTGCATCCTCGACCTTGTCGACCCCTTCGCCGAGGCGCTCGACCCGCTCCTCATTCACCTGGAGGGCCTGGACCACAAACTCGCCGTCGCGGCCGAGCTGGCCCACCCGGAGGCTGAGCAGGCGCACCTCTTCGCGGTGGCGTCGCCCCTGTGCCACCACGTAGACTAGCAGCGCAATGACGGTGGCAAAGAGCACAAAGGGCGGGTGGGTTAGGACGTAGCTTAGAGGGTGGGTGGATAGGTAGGCGAGGGAGAGAACCGACGGCGCCTGCTCGTAGTTGTGGTTCGGTATTTGATTCGACGACGAGGCGCCTGTTCCCATGTTGCTACTATGATGGGAGCCTGGTGTTGATTTTGTCGTAATTTTGTTTCCGGTGCAAAATCAGGCGGAGAGAAGACCGCGAGAATTTAAGCTCTTTCGATCAACACACGTACGTCGACCGTCACACGTTTGTCACCTTGTCAGGCCCCTGACGGCTTTTTTGACTGTTCTTGTGCCTGCACAAAATATGGTGTTTGATGTTTGCTCAAGTAGAATGGAGTTGTGTCTGTCGTGATTGCTGACCCTTGTGGTTGCTGTCACTGATCTCTTCTGGGCTATGATTATCTTTTGCCCGGGGCAACTCAAAAGCTCAGAGTCACCGCAAGCAGCCTCGGTATTGATACTTGTGAGACAGCGTTTCAGTTGGTTTGTACGGAATCAAAATTCGGGTTTTAGACGTCGCTCAAGATAGGGCGGAGAGCTGTTGGAATGTTTCGATTCCGAAATTGGAACCACATTCCAACAATGCATGAGAATATCAACACATCCAAAGAGTACGCATTAAATATGAACATTTCTCATGTTTCTTAAGATATTCGCCTTAAGGGCTACTTGTTATGTATGCAAACGCTAAATGCGGATTATCGCCCAGCCAATGGGCAGTATGCTGAGTGGTATACAGAGATAATGATGCAACACGAGAAGGGAAAATAACTCTCCACAAGCGCGCGTTTTTGCGCAGCCCTGACCTTGCATCTATACATATATCATCCATCTTTGTGGAACCAGGGAAGAACTGCCATCATCCAATGTGTCGTCCTATACCAAGACTCAAGACCTCATGCTGACCCTTCGTACACGCGTGCTTTTCGCAACACCCTCCGAGAGATCGTCATCACATTCTTCGCTGCATCTGTAGTCGTCGTCACGATTCTTAGCAGCAGAAGACCGCCTTTTCTTCACGGGAGCGACCTTGGTAGGCGCTTTCTTGACGACTTCTGGCTTGGTCTCTCGAGGAAATGTTCCCAGATACTTGCGTCCCCTGACACGTGCTTCCTCCTCCGGATCCAGGAACCTGTGAATCTCACGGTGATCCAGCACACGCTCTTCCTTGTCATTTTTACCGTCTTTTTGGGTTTTCGGCCACTTGTAACCATATAACTTGGAGTGTCGCTCGCATCGAGGGCAGTAGGCGCGGGTAAAGTATGCTTCATGCTGGACAAAGGCATCGTTGCAAACTCGGCACCAATTCCAAGCAGAGTCGGCCACAGGGAGCAGAAGAGGTGTCAAGGTGTAGTCGCCCGGCTTGCGAACATTCTTTGGGGTGGCCTCCTCATCATCGTCGGATAGAGAAGATTCTGCAGATGGGGCTCCAGCATCAGTGCCAGCCAAGGGCTCTAGAGATGCTGCCGCTGCCACATCATCGGCATTGTCCGTTGCGCTGTGGTTGCCGATCATCTTGCTCTTGCTTGCCTTGGGTCGACCGGGCCTTCTCTTGACGGGCAATTCACTCTGTTCTACCTCCGACTCGACATACCGTGGTGCTGGTAGTGTTGGCTCGTTTCTAAGCTTCGATGCCGGTGTTAGTGGTGGAGCTATCACCACAAGATCGAGGTCGTCGGGAGGAATAATATCGACATCTTCGTCTACGCCAGGAACAGACGCCGCGGGTATTCCAGTAGCCGGTACGTCTTCTACACTGCGCACAGGGTTCGAGTGCTTGCGCTGACGTGCTACACGACGCACGCTAGAACCTGACTCTGATATTGCCATATCCGACTCTTCTGTCTTTACTTCGGAATAGGCCGATTTCTTGGGCGTTGGCCGAGGTGATTGCAAAGATAACTCTGGCACCTTTGTCTCTTCGTCGGGGATTGTCACTTCAGTTCCAGGCGAATCGGCGGTTTCGAATTCGAGCGTCGAGCCTATTGAGTCTGCGCCCGAGGTTTCACCTTCAGCGCTCTTGCGGGAAATGTCCTCGCGAGCTCGGACGGGTGTGTCGTCGAAATGAGCTGACTTGTGCCTTTTACCAGGAGTAGCAGGCGGCGATGATAGCATGTCGAACTCGCGCTTCTTCATTTGTCGCAAACGGGCCTCTGGGGCAGGGGAACCGGCCATGGAGCCCTGGCTCGATTCGGTTCGCATCAACTTTGTCTTTGATCTCGATACTCGTCGCCGGACATCGGGAGTCCGAGACGGTTCTCGGGACGAGCGAGCGGCGCTATCGTCCCTTCTCCTTCGTCGCAGTCGATACCCCTCGTCGTCCTCGATGCTCCTAGTTAGCTGGCTTGCAGAGAGCGATTCACCGTCAGGCTGGGCCCAGCCATTGGCTAGGTTTTTCTCGCAAGTGTGACACAAGCACTCGCAGTTGTCCTCCCCAAAGTAGTTATCGCCATAAGTGACAGTAATCTCGTCGCCAAGATCGATGTTCTTGGTTGCAAAAATCTCAATTGTCGATTGACTGGTAATAACAAGTCGGGCATTGGCATCGCAATCGTGGTTGGCGAAACGAGCGGGGCCCATGAACAAGCTGGCGCATTTGCTTCTCGAGCTGACAACAATGCTGAAATCCTTTTTGCGCTTGGTCATTTCGTCTTCCTCTTTTGGTGTAATCAAGACCTGGATACCGGACAGGTACTTGATGGATTCGCCTCTCTTGATAAAGCGCCGAGCAGTGACTGCGGCTTCGTAGGTGACAATGGTATATCGATTGGTCGTGTTCACTTCAAAGGGACAGTCCGGCAGGTAGATTTGGGCATAGCGACGCAAATGCTTTCGAAAGTCGTCCTTTTCCTTGTCTGTCTTGAGAGCATTATGGAATTTGCGCAGGCCGTCGAGTGCAAGTAGTTTCTCCGTAGCTAGATCCAAGTTGGGTTCGACAACGAGGTGATTCTGAATAATCTTGGTGATCTCCTCTTCTCGTAGACCTCTAGAAGGGTGATAGGTTGTGCGATTTTTGGGAATAGTCGAGGAATAGAAGGTCTAGAGCACCTGGTCAGATAATTGCGCCGCCGAGATCACTGCAACATGCCGCAGCGCATCTTACCTGATCCACCAAGCAGTCGGTGAGAATGTCGTCGTATTTCGATATTTGCTCCAAGGTCAATGGCTGCTTCTTCGCTTGTGCAGCGGTTGACGGAGGCATGGCGGCTTTAGGGTGCCGCAGTCAGCGACCACCAAGCAGCAACAGCAGTAACAATGATGGGCGACACTACGTCCGGCGGGGAGTGCAAGAGTCGCAAGTCCAGTTCCGACACCGAGTTGGAGGAATGGCGGGTAGTCGATCAAGGTACTTGGGCGGCGGGTGGAACCAAAAGCTTAAGGCGCAGTAGTCGCAACACCCTTTGGAATGGTGGTTGCGCAAATGACGGGCGGGCGGTTGCGAATACTTGATTACTATACGAGTGACAAGGAAAAACTCGAGAAAATAATGACAAAAACCGAGGCTCATGCGAAGACCATGAAATTAGAGTCAAATGGCTAGCCGAGGGGAAGGGGGCATGGTTCAGTTGAACGTTCAGCAGGGCTTCATCGGAGGGAGAGGGTGGATGAAAAGATGTCGGCCGCAGTAAAAATGAATGGTGTGGGAGAGAGTCGCAGGTCGTGTGATGGATGACTTTGCAAGGTTATTGAAGCCAGATTATCATCAATGCAATGCAAGACGGACAAACGAGGCCAGCAGCAGCCCAGTTCAGCTCCAGGGGACACTCAGATCAGCGACCAATTTGTTCTGTTTCCCCCCCCAAGAACCAGGTCAACACTATACCAGGGAGAAGAGAACAACCTGGAATCGCAATTCGGTAGACGGGTGGTGGAGATTTACCAGGAGCCAAGGACAATTGTCTTGCAAGGCTGGCTGGCTGGCTCGATCGATCGATTGATTGATTGATTTGATACTCGGCAGACACCAAGGAAAGGAAAAGAAAGGATTATTGACCAAGTAAAAAAAAAAAAATATGACCATCTCAGCCTCTCGACCGAACTCCTGAGCAAGGGAAACGACCCAAAAAGATGCACTCCGTATGTCATAATTCCCCATAGATTGAGGGAAAAGAGGGTGGCCGGTCAACCCGCATCGGTCAGCAGGTGATCCGTCTCATCCCTGCAGGCCTATAGCGCCCTCGTGCCTGCTAGGATTGAATGGCGTTAGCACTTGTTCCACCACGAATCGCTGAGCCGCCGACCCTTACCCCCAATCCAGCTCCTGCGAGGGTCCCAGGAACTCTGAGCCTTCCCGAGTCTAGGCCATTTCCAGCGCCCCTCGAACCCAGCTAGCGACGATCTCAGGCCTGCAACCAATCAAATGCAGCCTCTGACCGACGACGCCAAATTTTCGATTACAGCCTTGCGCAGAGCGACCAGACAGCTCAACGTCGAAAGACGGGAGGTCTAACTTGTCGCGATATAACAGCACGACAAGGCTGCATCTGTGTACAATCGCCCACCATGATTCAACTCAAGGTACGTATGAGAGACTTGGAACTTGTGTTGCTCTTGCCCAAGGAGAAGCTAATTGTGTTTGCGTGCAGACGATGCTTAACTGCATCGACAACTCCGGTGCTGCAATTGTCGAGTGCGCGCTGGTCGTTGGTCAGAAGAGACATGCCACCATTGGTACGCAAGCGATACCCTTTCCACTTCCGGCCTCCAGCGAATCTTCCTCCCTTCCGCGTGTCAACGATCCATCTCTCGTGTACAAGGCACCTGGATGTGGTTGTCACGGCCCCGGAAGCTGCAGTGGACAACTACCGAGATCCAATGACAAGCCAACTAACCAACACTCTGTCTGAACAGGTGATCGCATCGTAGCAATTGTGCAGAAGCAGCGCGGCGCCTCGGACGCTGGTATGGGCGTAGCCTCGGCGGCGAACAAGGTGAAGCGTGGCGATATCCGCCACGCCATCATTGTGCGGACCAAGAAGCAGGTACAACGGCCCGATGGCTCCGTTGTCAGGTTCGACGATAACGCCTGCGTCCTCATCAACAAGGCCGGCGACCCCATCGGCTCCCGTGTCAACGGCGTTGTCGGTGCCGAGCTGAGAAGGAGGAAGTGGAGCAAGATTCTCAGCATGGCCCCAATGCATGCTTAAGGGAGAACGTATAAATGAAAAGGAGCAAGGAAATTGGCATGGCGAGGGTTCAATACACCACTGGATATCAAGATTGGGCTCATCCATGGCCAGGGCCAAGCAAATTATCAGAGAAGTGTACTATACCATGTATAAGATGAATCATGCATATGGCAGGCGTTAAGGATCTGGCCATTCACGAGAAATTCACACATTTCAAGCGTTCATACTTGTTGACATTTTCATCCCACCGAATCAACTATACAGCATGTTCATTTCACAATGCCTCAATCTTGACATTTTCCTTGCAATTGATTCCTTGCAATCTATTTTATGAGGGGACTATCACAACTTCTGATGCCATACATGGACGACAACCATGACTCCTCGAACAAATCAATTATGCGTACTATGCACGTCTAGTTCGTGATGTACGCAACGCCTAGACGCCTATACATGCAAGAACGAATGTAGAACTGGTATCGAAAACTCCTCCTACCCATTTTCGCTTCCCCTCGAACATCTCCGACACGTCTACTGGAAGATGTTTCCGCAATCGCAGCAAACATAGAACAATTTCTGCAAGTAATAACAAATTTAGCTTCACCTGTACCCAGGCTGTGATGCTAGGAGGTTGACTGACCATTCCAGTCTCAGCACTTCGCTGTTGGGATTGAAAGAAGACGGCTTCCTCGTGGCCACACGAAGGGCAGGTCTTGTTCGACCGAGGAAGCTAGAACCAGGTGTTAGCCTCATGATCCTAAAAGATGACCGGCTTGTAGTGCTGTTTCCTGGTTGATCCCGAGGTCCGGTGTGGTCTCTTTGAGTCGGCAACTTCATCATCGCGTGCGGCCGCGCAGCATCCCACAGTAGAGTATCAGCCATATCAGTGAAATCCAAGGATATACATGTGATAGAGCTTCAGCCATCTGAGCTCATGGTCGCGCATTCCATCAAGACCAAACAACAAAAAGAAACAAGCAGATATATACAAGCGACTAAGCAAAACATCGAGTGACGCCATAAACAGGATGAACGGATGCTGGGTATCATCATTGTCAGGGTTGAAGAGCTGACTACCAAGAAAATCGATAAGATGCAGTTGCATCCGAGTCGTCGCAGGCTTCGGGAGGGTCTATGTCGTCGCCGTCAAACAAGAAACCCTGTAAGTCGTCGCCATCAAAGCAGTTGCTCTGATTATCGCCTTCCGTAAATCGCCGGACGTAATCCTCGTCCATTGCTGCTTGGGCGACGGAGTCAAGACACTTGTATGTGGCGGCCCATGCGAGGTCGGCAACAGCCTTGTCAAAATCATCACCCAGAATCTGAACTTCGCCGAGGCTACGCGCCAAGTTCTTGTTCTTTATGACGAATTCCTCATGGGAAAGCTCGACAAGCTCATCAAGCTCCTCTGCATGCGCCATGACGGCGGCATGGTAAGTGCGAATATACTCACCCCAAACACTGGTCTGGGACGACTCAAGGGCCACGATAGTAGGAGATAATTGACTAACCGTAGGATCCGAGCCGACATCTTGAGTGACACCGGCGGTCTCACCGACAGCGTTGTTCATCAAGTTTCTGAAAACGCACGTCGAGGTGGCTCCTTCAGTGTACTGACAGGTTCTGCAGGTAAACTGGAGTTTGTGGGAGTCTGGATCCTCCTTGGGATACAGCATGTTTGAGCACTCTGAGCAGAATCTGAAGGTGATTTGCTCAAAGTTCTTGCGACTGTTATCGCCAGTGGGTTCTTGAGGGCTCGACATTGTAACAGTAGTGAGCGAAGAGGTTGAGGGTTGAAGATGGTGATGATGTCGCCAAAGGGGAAGAAATGCGACCGGTGCTGCCTTGCGTGTGTATGGGCGGCGATCAAATGTTTGTCAGAAGTGGGTTGGAAGGCGGACGGAGCGCAGAGCCTCAGGTCCGGTAGCAGGGGTTCCACGCTGCAAGCTAAGCCCAGGTGGTGAATTAGCGGAGGCTAGTACAAAGGCAGTGCCGCAAGATGCGATGTACGTACAAGTACTAGCAGCGGTCGCAGAGCGCTACCTTAGGCTTGTCAAGTCGCTAGCTGAGTGAGCGGCTTTGGTCTTCAACCTTGAACGGCACTGTGGGATGTCTTATTCGATATACAAAGATATTCGAAGCTGATCGACGCAATGATGGCGAACGGGAAATTTTGGGCAGATGTCTGATTGACAATTGAGTAATCAAGTGATGATTTGAACAATAGTCTTGTCAGAGTATGACCAAGAAGTGTTTGATGGATTTGTCTTTGTCTCAGGGACAAAAATCGTGTTGTGTATGGGGGAAGGGTGGGTAGTAGTGCTAATAGTTGTGGTTGGAAATTTGATTGAAAGAATTAGCGACGGGGACCAGTCGAGAAACATTTGTATATTGGTGCATCGGAGAAAGAGATGATGAATGTTATGCCCATGGGTAGAGTGGCTGTCGGAGAAAGCAATGAAATCTAGGTTCAAGCAAGCCTCTTCGACCCTTCAGGCACCCAGCAAGCACGAGGCTGCCATTGCCTACCAGCAGGGTTCTTCACGCAGCGTACCTACATACCTTGAAGCATTTCAATGTTCCCATGTGCATATGTAGTCAGTCATAGGCCTACAGCAACAAAGATTTCGACTCAGCCACCTGACGCACCAAACCTAGAAAGTAAATATTCCCTACACTTGACAGGCGTCTGTACGCATGTGAGCTGCAGACTTTATTCATTTGGCTGCCAGTTGATCAATGAATCGGAGGGACTCTGAAATGGCAATCAACTTCAACTTCGCCGTGGTTTCCATGACATTGGTGCTATGGATGCGCCCGGCATGTCTGTATTTCGATCTATTTCAAGTGGCACTATTCCGAATCCCATAGCCAAACCATCTTTTGGGTTCTTTGCAAAGAAGCTTCGACAGCACCACCCGAGAGATCTCCCAGTAAACGGTACGGGTCAAAGAGCTAGAATATTAGGTCGTTATTTCGATAACAAGTAAAAAGAAGAAGAAGAGAAGAAAGGGTACAACGTGAAAATGATTAGTCTTTCCGTAAGCAACACTCGTTATCCACCTCGTCGCGCATGTAATATTGAAAACTGGTTCTGCAGGCGATATAATAGATGTCCCACATACGTGTATACTCTCTACAACAAGACCAATGCTGAGTAGTAGAATATCGCTCCTATATTGACTGACTTCAAGAAATAGACCTTTATCTTTAAACAAGTGCCCTGAGTCCAAAAAGCAAGAATGGTAAAACGTGTAAAAGAAATCAAAAAGACGCCCCCTCTTTCAGCAATTCAAAACCAGGTCACAGAGGATGATCATCCGTCACTGTCCGCTGGGCTCACTACGAATTGATGATTCACATCGGTATGACCGAAGCGGCAGTCGAAACCAACAATGCTGCAAATCTGTGGAATTCTCAAGCACCAGAATAAAGCATTCAATAAGTACGTGTCTCTTTTCTCCTCGGTTTAAGCAGTTACCTAAGTGGGTAGATCAAACTAGAGCAAAACTTGACCTAATTCCATTGATACTTGCATATAAGTGCCTTATGTTGTGCTACATTCTTGCTGATTCTGCTGGCGCCGGTACTCGTTTCAGAGAAACGCAAGTGGTGATGGTGTATTTTCTTTAAACTCACCACCCATTCTCATGTCTTGTACGGCGTAACGGAACCATCAAGGGCCACTCTGTCTCCGTCGACCGGTGACATTAATCAGGTTTCCGTGCTTATCAGGGAAAACAGTACATTTTTCATGTTCCCAACGTCATGTAAGAGATTTATCGAGGTGTCTAATTATAACAATCCCTTTTTTCTAACCATGCCAACCAATTGTATGGAAAACTGAATCAGGGCGGTTTCTTCGGTGCCAGAGGCTCCTCCCACATTTATTGCCCCGCGTTTTGTTCAGAGCTGCCCCGCATCCGACCAGGGACCGATGTCATCAAATTGACCCTCGTGATCATCACTCGGAGCAACGGTGGATTTTACTGTTTTCGAGTCCATCCACTCCCATCCAAAGCAGAGCAAGCGTCAGAAAATCCAGAGGTGTCATTCGCCTACTGACGTGTGCCCTGCCCAATACTGGCCCGCCTTCAAATCCAGTCTTCTCTGCGGGAGATAGGTGGATTTGGTGCTTTGTCTGGTTCAGGTAAAGTGTGTGCCTTGATTGTACATTAGTCTTGCTGGATCAAATCAGATCCTTTCCCCGGCTCGTGGGATTGGGTCAATTCTTACGTAGGTGGTGTCGCCGACTTATTACTTAGCTCCCAGAAGCCCTCTTTCTTTCTCTGTACCTGACCTGCCTAGACTAATCAATACTCCTTGCAAAACTTCAGCTCAAGTCAACAGACACGACTTGTTCCTACAAAACATTAGGCCATAGGAAATAATAGGCTGAGAATAAGAGCAATCTTGCTTCAGAGGAATACATTGCTATTTTACCTGGACCAATTCTTTCATTTCTTTCCAAACACCACAAAAAAATGTCTGTAAGTACATTGCGCCTACCCAGAGCTCGGCACAGCATTCGCGACCGTCCCGTCATACTTTGTTTTCCCCTCCCCTTTGTGCCGCCTTTTGATCTTTTTCTGTGCGCAACAATGGCTGACGGCAATCTGCTCCCCCCGCTAAATAGGACGAGACGGGACTTCCCTCTGGCTGGGAGGTGCGCCACAGCAACTCCAAGAACCTCCCCTACTACTTCAACGCCGCCGAGAAGATCTCGCGCTGGGAGCCCCCGGCGAACACGGACACGGAGAAGCTCAAAAAGTACATGGCCGTGCACCACAGCGCGACCTCGGCGGGCGCCCCCGTCGCGAAGCCCGCCGACAAGATCCGCGCCGCCCACCTGCTGGTCAAGCACCGGGACTCGCGCCGCCCGGCCTCGTGGCGCGAAAGCGAAATCACCCGCTCCAAGGATGATGCCCGCGACATCATCAAGGCCCACGAGGCCCGTATCAAGCGTGGCGACGTCAGCCTCGGTGAACTCGCCCTGACCGAGAGCGACTGCAGCAGCGCGCGCAAGAGGGGCGATTTGGGTTACTTTGGCAAGGGCGACATGCAGAAGGAGTTTGAGGATGCCGCTTTTGCACTGCAGCCGGGCCAGATGAGCGGCATAGTCGAGACACAGAGTGGTCTGCACTTGATTGAGAGGTGAGTTCCCCTCATCTTCAAGAAACTAGGCTCTAGTCCTGGTTTTCCTCCAGCGTTACATCTTGGAATGCGCTAATTGACTTGACAATGTACCTGTAGGTTGGAATAAGTAACTCTTACGAGGCTAATGTGGCATGGTATTGAGGCATCGCTCCAGACTCACTTCTTTAGCCGTCCATCATTGGACTGGCCCTTCGCTACGGCAGGAAACGCGTTTGTGCGTCTCGAGTGAGCAGACGCACAAAGGGTCTGGATCAGTGTGACTATGCACCATCTAGGGTCTTCTTACTCTCCTAAGACTACAAGAAAAAAAAAATTAGTGCCCTGTGACATCGGCAGATGGAAATACTGTATCCATACCTCAAAAAGCGCACGAATATGTCCGGGGATACGTCTCCCACGGATATGAAATAGCTGGTTCGACTTGTCTTTTGGTTTCACCCGCCTTTGTCCTTGCTGCATATCGCGCATGGTTGTCTTGCCTAGGACCCTTTTGTGACCGGCCTGCGCTCCCTCCTTGAGTCACAATGACACACAAGGGTCCAACGGCTCTTAAGTGTGATATGGGTATGTAATTTTGCCAAGCATGTTGGATCATTCAAGATTTCCATCCTTATTGATACATGGCCATCGTCAAGTCCGTGGTACATGATTGCTACCGACAAGTTTCCGTTCCATAGAAAGGTTAGCCAGTCACACGGGAGTGGCAAAATCTACATTTATGATAGAAGGAAGCGGGAACTACGATGCCGTACTACCCTTTTGTAATGTTTCTCTCCCTTGCATCGCAATGGTATTTTTGAGGACTCTACATGGCTTTCCTCCTCGAGATATCTCTCCAATCCGTCCCATGCCCTAGCGTCTGTACAAAGATCACAAATTGCAAACCACAAATTGCCGTTCATCGTAGATTGCTAAAAAGCTGGAGATTCACCATACTATATGACTGGATATTATAGCCCAAACATGTCGTGTTTCCTATCGCCTCGAAGCTGTTGCTCTAGCTTGCTGTCTCGGGTCATGTTCCGTAGACAAGGATACAAGAAAGAAAAGAGAGAAGAAAAGATGTTTGGGGGAGGTCACTCCCCGTTGGCGTTCTCTAACGCAAACAACCCCCCTCAATTCTCGGGCCCGGCTTTCGCATAGAACATTGTCGGAGCACCTTTATCCAGTCCTCCCAAGGGATCAACCTTTTCTCTTGTGCTAATGGCCCTGCATAGCCAGGATCAGGGTCGTTCAGCGAGGAATTCATCATCAAAAGACAGGTTTAGTCGGTAGTGGACCCGACCATGCGTAGCAGAGCGATTTTTTTCTTCTTCTTTCCTTTGGTGGCTGCCCAAGGAACTTAGGTGTCAAATCAAACCTGGTGCTACGGGCATTGGCTGATATTGCTCCCTTGGCCATGTTGATATTCAGGGGCAATGAACTCCGTGAGAGATAGATCTTCAGCTCAACAATCGAGACCATGAAACTCTTGCGTTGGTCACTGTGAGTCAATGAGCCTCAAAAGTCTCCCTGGCGGGTTGATTGTTCATCTGACTGCCAGTCTAAAACTTTCCTGCCTTTTGCGATTGCCGGTTACCCCTAGCTCAGAGGTATCAAACTCACCAACGTCTGTCGATAGATTGATTGATTCAACCCAAGACGTCATGATTGTCTTGCATGATTAGTTTGGATTAACACTTATGATCTAGGTTAGTTCTGTATACACTTTCCCTCTTATCATCAAACAGAAAGACTACGTCAAGAAGAAACCAGGGTATCCTATTGATAACCATAACCGTATTGGGCACCAAGTTCCGACTACTTGAATTGCCCTGCTTACCCGTGCCTGGGGACAAACAACCTATTTAATCTATCTATCTGGCAGCCTCCTAACTCCTGGATCGGGTATCTCCACACGCAATAAAACACATCAGTAGGCCACCACCAAATCCAATAAGCAAGTCAACCTTGAACTAGTATGACAGATCAGAAGAGACTATTTTCGGCATCGCGTGCTTTCATCTAACTACTGCCAAGCGAGAAACACCAACTCGTCCTTGATCGCTGGTACGGCTGTCAGTGCTACCGTCATCACGCCAAAGATGGTCATGCTAAGTGCAGAGTAGGCAGAGCACCTTGAGTCCCGCTCGATAAGGTGTGAAGTTCCCATTGCTGCCGCATTAATGCCGACAGTAATTCCTGCGGCGATAATCTTGCCCTCGCTTCCTTGTGATTGTTCCTCTTGGGAACTGGTCTCGCTGTCACTCGATATAATGCTGTTCGGAGCCACCACACTGTCATTGATACGGAACCAGGCAAAGAGGAAATCGCCAGTCATCTGAAATATCAGTCCGCTGAAGGTGACCAGGGTGCTCATCATTGTGATACTTCCACCTAGGTGTTGCACGGCGGGGACACCCAGGGCAATTGTCACATTGCGGGCACAAAAGGCGAGGGCGTCCGCGGGCTGGAGGCCAATAGCGACAGCAAAAATGAGATTGACGAATACGTTGAGTGTGGCGAAAATTAGACAGGTTGTGAACACGATGGTGAAGCTAGCCCATAGCTCGCGGCGATACTCGAACATCTTGAAGCCGAGGGAAACAATGCCGGCGTCGAGCAAGGCATTGGCCAAGTCACCAGCGCCAACATTCTGGGCAAACTGTCCACCCTCACTCAGGTTCACCACAATATCGGCCCAGGACCTGTGGTGCTTGAAATCAATGAGCATATCTCCAATTTGACGCCCCGTAAGCGCTGATTTGACCCAGAAATAGATCGAACAGAGTAATGCCGTTATGAGGACTGGGTTCAAAGCTACCGCGAGAGCCAATCGCCAGCGACGTCGGAGTTCGAGTCTCTTCCACGATTTCACAAATCGTTGAAGGTGGACAGCAACAATCCAGAGGAAGGTGAAGCAGAAGGCTTCGAGGGGCATGTCGTACTTGGTAGTGAGATAGACAGGGACGCCAATGATGATTGCTAAAAGCAAAGATATCCAGAGAGGCGCCGTTTGGACCACAAATGCCAGCCGCAATGTTGTCTCTAACAGTGCTGTGTCGAGAGACACGAAAGATTCGCTTGTGAGTATGTTTGTGGGTAACTTGCCCACTTGTGAGGACCGTCTCGTGGGTTGAGGCGTCGGCCAAGTTCGGTGTGTTGCTTTTTCTACATCTGTCATGTTGCTACAATACCGGCCTCGAGCGCACTCTTCAAGCTTGCAACTTCCGAGGGCGAAAAGGTACGTGCCGGCGTAACTGACGATAGTGGCAACCACTAAGACGATGTCAGAAGGAGGCTTGTTATGTAGTCCTTGAGAGCTTACCAAAGATTCCTGCAATCCGTGGGATATTATCGGCGTCGGTAACATGATCCTTGTTGAGCATGACAAACGACACGACGAAGCCAAATGACATGTGGCGGCCCAAGAAATCAGTCTGTTGTTACAACAAGAGATCAGCATATGACCAGGGTGATCTGGCGGGAGAGGGGAAGTGTCGAGAATGGCCTTACAGGTCCTTTCATGCGCGTGCTATAGACGAAGCTGGTCTTGCCATTGAATTTATTTGCCAGCAGCATGGATGCGGTCACCAAGAGCATGACCAGTATTGACGCGGGAAGCCCGATTCCGTGTTGATTGAGCACGATCTGAAGAGGTACAATCAGGACTTGGACTACCGGTATCATTGAGATTGCTATGATGGCGTTTCGGTATCTAGTAGTTGTCTCTGGCGCATTTACAGCACGACACAACCGGGAAACCCAGGTCACGATCATGATGTCGGCAGTAGTACGGGAAGGAGGCAAAGACATTCAGAGACGATGGCCGGGAAAGTTCAAATTGATGAACACGATGGATGATTGGAAGTTTGCCACGAGGGGGAAAAAAAACTGGGCAACACGAGACAAACTGCTTAGGAACCATGGGAACTCCAATATTATATGGAAAGCGCGAGCCTCGTTTGCATTTCAGGACTGCACATGGCCTGGGCCCAATCATGCATGTATGCAAGTACACTTAGTAGGAGTCACCGAGCAAAGAAATATTCATGCCCAACAACTGCAGGCAAGTATAGAATGGAGCTCGACTACATTAGCCGAGCCTTTGAAGTTGGACTCTGCTCCGCTGTGGGATTTCGAGCACCAGTGAACATGGGGAATGCCGATGCGGCACTACATACGGCACCGAGAGGAGGATAAAAGATGAAAGTGGAGATCTAGATCTAGAGTTTCCAGTCTATCCAAACAATGGCTAGAACCAGGAGAGGACAAAAATTTCCATAATGTCTGACAGAGCTTGGTGGGAGGGAACTATGTACCGCTGGGCAGTTCAAGTTTGCAGCATCTGAGCGTGAGACACCAGAGAAAGGATGGATGGAAAAGACAAAGGTGTACAAACAGATACTTCACACCTTGTACGACATGTAACTCAAATCAAACCACTTGACCGAGCTACCATATCTCTGGTGATAGGCCGCCAGAGAGAGCTGCTACATGTGGGTTGGCATGCCATGTACTTGCTGTCTGTCTATCTGTCACTTCTGACATTTGCAGCTCAAGTAGTATCGGTCCTTGCGGAATCGGGAAGACGCATATGTAGGAGAGACGTGCACGGCTTCCGAACCCTGGTTATGGACGAGATGACGATCGAATTGACCGACAGTCAGGTAATCACTATAGACGTTGACCGTATATGAGCCATTGAACTCGACGGTCATCACAATATCCCGTGCCAATGATGGAATCCATGTGGGGTGTGTGCTGGATGGAGGCACTAGATAGGAGACCATAGGACGATCACGATCCTGTGCAATGGGTGCAATGATGCTTACCTAACTTGATGTACCTTATAGATGGGTGCATGCTTGGACATGTTTGTGTGATCTGTATAAGGACCACCACTTACAGCAATCGCTCGCGTTCTGGTATGAGAAAGGACCACCACAGGAAATGAGGACCAAAATTCTTGGAATGGGTTAATATATAACGTTTCGTTCCCGAGACCTTAAGGCCGAAATGATTATATCAATCCACCGCCAAGGTTCAGCGGCTATGCAGATTGCAGAGTCTGCTTTCAAGAACTGGCAAACGATGTGTGACAATCCATCGCCGATGACAGTACATTCATTGTTGGTCAATGTCAAACCAGCCACAGAAAAAAAAATAAAAAGAAAACGTGGAAGAACTCGTAGACTTCGGTAAGTGATATTCACATGGAACACTCGGCCGATTGCCGCCAATCCGTCATCCGGTATTTTCCAGAAGAAGAAGGGGAAAAAAAAAGTACATTGGGGAAGATCTCCAGCAGTCGGGAGTGTATCGATCATGTTGTGACGAGTGATTGGGGCCGCGTACAAGGGCGGGGCTGTCGCGTACCAGGGTAAGCAAAGATTGAGGGTTCACTGAAGCTCATGGCTTGCTGTGTGGACAAGTAGTGATCGGTGGCTGCGGCAAGACAAAGAGAAGTCGATTCATGTGTCCGGTAACGAAGCACAAGCCGGCCTTTTCCCCTTGTCATGAGGCTTCAAAGAGGACAGACGAACTTGTAGCAAGGGAGGTTTGGCTCATCTTCAAGTCGTAACGGGAGTTGTGACAGCTTGGTCCCTTTCCTGGCCCGACCCCGCCGAGACTGGGCCACTTATAACCACTGTCCCGAGACACTATTCATGTTGCTAGGCGCGGCTACAGCGAGCCAGCCCACTGGAGATAAGTAGGCTGCCTTGTAAACAGCACTGTCTGGTCGTTTAGCAAACAAATCGTCAACTCTGCCACGAGCCCACCCCCGAGAAGCAGCCACCAGGTCAGCATATCTACGGCTTATGTTACCTTGAGCTCGGGCTGCGGGTTCGCGGCAACACCAGAGCTCAGAATCTAAGCTGCCGCTTGTAACTGTCACAGACTGAGTGAGTCAAGTCCATGCCATGGCCTGTGTTCACTTACACCAAGAAACAAAAGCCAACTATCCCACCACCGATACTCTAGAGTTGGGACGATTCAAGGTTTTCTCCGGATGATAATAGTCATACATATCCCCACGCGGAGTGATTATCCGTGGCTTAAGATTATTTTGTGTATCGAATGGATTGGTCGTTTATACCTGCACGCTATCAAGTCTAACCTCGACCACTCATCCCAAGTCTGAAAAAGGGAAATGTTTGCGTGATACCATCTGGAATTTTTCTGAATCCGGCAGGATCTCCTGTAGATAAAGGCCGCCAGCCGTTGATTCCGCATCTCAATGACGGACATTGCATTAGTAACTGAATGAATTGCGTTGACCCTCAGGTCAGGCCTATGAACTGGACTGGAGGCACAGTCAGTCAATCAAACTACTACTTTGATGTATGGTTGAGAGGTGTACTTTGCGTGCATGCACAGCTGCGAAGCACAAGTGCCTCCAGGACTTTGGGTGTTGATTTGCTAGGAACATCACGATGGAAATTGTAGGTAATCATATGACTTCAGCACTTCAGATCAAAATCTCTGAAATATACAGTGAATCGAGATAAATGTCATGATATCGTTACTCTTTCTTGTATGGTTACTCTTGGGTGATCCAAGTCGCGCGGGACCCAAAAGATCGAATGACCAACAACCATCAGTTTTGGCAGTCGCAGCGGAGTCGATGCCCCGCCATGTACCTACCTTAGTGTACTTGCAACTACGCTAGCCTCAACGCGTTTGCAGACAACCCACCAGATTGATCTCTCCTTTGCTGGGCGCGTCACCGCTTCCCCTAACGCATGTCTACCTGACCAACCTACCTAGGTAGTACGTATTTAATGCAGTTCCATACAATCTGCCGTGAGACGATATCATTACTCGCGAGGTCAATTCGTCGTCGGTCATATTTTACTACCATTTTTCAACACCGAAGTTTCCCCAGGCCAAGGCCGGCAATATCTTGGTCGCAGGTATTGCCTCCTCCCCTCCAAGTATCGCTCGACGTATAGCCAACCCTGATTATTCAAAGTCGTCTGTTCACAACCCTGCACCAAGCCGTATACAATGGCGCCTCTCGGCAGGAAAGCCGGCGCCATCCAAAAATCCGTCAAATCGTCTGATGCTCGAGATTTGGAAGCCGTTGGCCCCAGAGTGTCAGAGACTCCGGACCTTGCCAACTCCGAAGTTGATGCTGTCAAGCGTGCCGCGTCGTTGACCAAGGATGAACTACAATTGTAAGTCAGCAATGCCAATTTAGCGACCACATGTCTGATCCATGCATACAGTGCCATTGAAGCAAGAGCTTCCGGGATGATTGATCATCTCGTGGAAATCTCCAAACTCGCTGCCACAGATGTCAGTTTGGAAGAGGTCAAGTCGGCCACTGAGGATCACGACCAATATGTTGATTCTTTGGGCAAGAAAGCATCAGCGATACAACTTAACCTGGACCGGTGCAAGACACTGATGCAATCGAGCGATAATTGGGCAAAGGACAGGATCGAGGCCAAGAAGTCCAAGCTGGACGCGCTCAGAGCTGCGAAAGCACGACTAGAGGCTACCGTAGGTCACCATCGTCCAGTCAAGGCTGGGACATTTCGAGAACGACCATAAGCTCCTAACCTGCACTCCTCCAGGGCGACTCGAACGAACAAGAACTCAAAGAGGCTATTGCGCGGCATTCATCACGCATTGAAGAATTGGTTTCTGGTCCACCCAGTAATGGAGCCCCCAACAACAATGAAAGACCTGTGGACGTGCCCATGTCTATCGGCGACGACCATTTCTTTGGCAAGCTTCTAGACAAGCTACAAGCATTGGGCCTGGAGATCAATATCACTGACAATGGCAAGACCCTTGTCAAGTCTGCCCGTTACTACTCCAATCTGTAAGCTCAAGCTCAAGGTATTGTTCGAGATTCTCATTGCTAATAGAGCACAGGGAAGTCATGTTGTCCGTTGTCTCATGCAAGCGAACCCTGAATCGCATCTTGAAGGAGGCATCTGCCAGATATGCTGGTACCCATGAGGTCAATGGCGGCCAAGTACAAGCATCGAAGGCTGAACTTCAGGCTTTGCTAGAGGAGACCAACTCGCTATGGGAAGAAGTTGTACCCGTAGCTCATATGGCGGTTGAGAAAACCATGCTGGAGCCGATCTTGAAGCTGGTAAACACAAAAGGGGAAGCCCAGAACTATCAGAATGCCATCATAGGATCATATGTAAGCTGACCTCACCCCCATCAGTTATTTTCCTCATCTCTTACTGACCTTGTATAGATTGGCAACTGCTTAGCATACATGAATGACCGCCTTGAGGCACTCTCAGATCGCATTGGCACGGCGATCCACCACCATTACGCCCTGCTCAATACATTTGAATGTCACCAGGCATTGCGCAATCCCCATATACCCAAGTCTTTGCAGGGGGCCGAGTCAACACAGACCACAAATCCTGTTCGACCATCAAAGGGGTCGCAAATGGCATTCAAACAAGTTTGTCGGGGACTTGAGGTGCATGGAGACATTCCCGCCAGATCCTTCGACTTTGCACTCTCTACAATGAAACGAACCACCCTGCTCAATGATATCATGGCGCAGCGCTTGATGAAAGATGATGACAGACTCAGGGTTCTCGAACACAACTTCGAGAATGTCATCAAAGCGAGTCTTAGAGAAGGCCCTAATATAAATCTCGAAATTTTGGGGCGCCTCGCTGCGGAGAGTTTGAAGGGTACTGGCGACCAAGGCGCAATTCTTCGTGATGCACAAACAGAGGAATCTTTGGAAGCTCTCGAAGTCGAAAACAAGCAATTGAGTTCTCTTTTGGAGATTCTTCCCAACCGTCGAGACATCCAAAACTACCGAAATGACTTCAAAGGCGCCGAGATCATGAAACGCTGGAGCGAGCCAATGGGTCCCTCAAGATGACAACGTTGCAAAAGAAATGAGAAAGAGTATCATTCAATCATTCATATCAACGCCGACTGCCAGTGACGAATACCTACCAGGCCAAATCTCGACGGCTGCACATTGTCTCTTTACTCCAGATTACATATTGACTTCATCCACCAGTGCTCGGACCGAGGAATACACATCTTCGCTGAGCTGAAGTCGCCTCATCAGTCTTCCGAAATGCGTATCGAGTGGTTCTTCATGGCTTGCGATGAGATGTAGTACGGCACGGCTATAACACTCATCGTCATTCCCACTGTCGAGAGAAACCTCTACCAGCCTACAAATGATTTGCAGCCACCCCAGCACAATGTCTGTCTTGATCATACCCTCAAGGAAACGACACTCTACCGTCTTGGGGTTCGTACAGGCGCGTTCGTCCTCACCAGCAAAGGCACTAAAGTTAAAGCCGAGTCGTCGATACTGTTTTCCCTCTCCCGACATTAGCCTGCCAAGTTGGGCATGAGACGTGGTCCCAGCAATGAGTCGTATCGCGTTCAGGTCCATGCTCAAATCTGCGTTGCGGTCTTTCACGTGATTCTTGATTGGCGGAGGAAGAAACTTTACATCCTCGGTCGAAGGAATCTGGGCGGCGATCCCCATCTTTAGGTTCGTCGCAAGTCGACTGTGCCTCCTGGCTGCCGAGCTCCAGGTGAACACGTGCTCAAAGTTTGGAGACTTGGGATCCTTGACCTGCCTCAATACCGGTTCCGCGAGCCATGTAAGAATCGCGCATCTCTTCAGTGTTGGCAGGGAAAATGGGTAGCCGTCCATCCGGCCGACATGTACATGGACCTCGCATGTATAGTTTGTGACAATATGGCACTGCTCCTGCATGGATTCCACCACTGCCGCGATAATCTGCATCGTGTCCGAATCTTTGCATGCCATTTTGGGAGAAACCACTTCAACGGGTACCCAAATCCAATCATCGCGATGTGGGTGATCCGCAGCCGGCGCTGCAGAATTCGATGTCTTTACTATCCAGTGTGTGGACCAACAATCCCGTTCTTGGATATTGAGATCCTTCAAGTCGTAGCTTGTAAGTGCGGACTGCCCAGGGACGCCATTTATGATGTTTGAAATAAGAGAAAAGCCATATCTTGAAACTTGGGATCTGTCTTCGCTTCGCAAAGTCTTGGGCATGCGGTTGAATCGGGTCGCGTGCCGCGGCAGTTCCGTGTCCAACGCTAGGCGCTCACTGTAGGGTATGAAGGGCAATAAGAACTTGAGCTCGACAGCAACCGATAAATCGCTCGGTCTGTCGTGAACGTTCGTGTTGCATTTGCGGATTCTGTGGACTGTCATTTTTGCTTTCAGCACATGTCACCGAGAATGTTTCATGGGTTGATATTGTTTTTTGTTTCTCGAGCATTTCCTTTGTCGGGTTGGGTCGGTTCCACTTCCTCCTTCTTGTAGAAAAAGGTCCGGCTGAGCCGCACGCGACTTCCGATCCAAAGATCCTTAAAACACCGGCTACGTGCATCAGTTTCGAGAACGACCGAGACATAATCATGCTATGACCTGGCTTCCGCAGCCAAAGGCTTCCATCCGTTGGGGCTGACAAGTGAGGGAGGTCATGGCTCGAGTCTGCGTACGCCGGTTTCGTGTGACATGTCCGCCGCACCTCATTGGGCTACCATTGCGACCGTATTATAATGGCGGCCAGAGCTTTCCGAACGACCAGATTACATTGCAATTTGGCGGATCATGGAAGCATATCATAATTCAAAGAGAGTTGCAATAATGCTGCCCAACGCGTGCACTATCCGCTTGACACGGGTCCGATACTTGAAGAAATAAAGTGGCAGCTCTTTGTGATTGGCGCGACTGCGTTGAATGCAGTCATAAAGTCAATTCGACGAGGGGTTGTGGAAGCCCCCTCGCCCAGGACGACCCGTTGAGCTCAGGCCGGAGAGCATATGATAGCTCTTGCACTCCGTGTAACACAAGATCTGTGCGACGGCGAATCAATCTTCTACACGTTCCTGAAGGTGCTCGCAGCCTTCTCTTCACCCCACGCATGCGATTTTACCATTATAGAAAACTTGACATTAGGAATTACCTATCTAAATGCTCAGCCGCGACGAATTCGAGCACGACAACACAGGTTATTGTCTATATGCAGCTGCAGAAGCCCAGTCCTTTGAAGTAACTCCCCATGAGACTAGGTGCTCGCCTGCTGGACTTTACCAAGCATTTGCCGAGAGCCGCTACAGACCGGTACATTAAAGTATGTACGAAAGATATGCCCAAAACCTCGAACCGAGGACTGATCAAGTGTCCTGACAGCTTCTCCTCACTTCCCGGCGCTGCCCGAGCGCCAAGCCTTAAAAGCATCAGGGAGCATAATTCGAAAAGTTCCTACATTAGGTATCTTCCGAGGGTTTGATAGTTATCAAGCCAATCAGATACTTTTGCAATACTCTGTGTTGAAGCCCATCTAGAAGGACTCAGGCAGGGAAATTCACGGGCGGTCACAGACCTAGCTTTCAACAGCGCGTCGAGCAGAGTTAAGAGTCACATGCATATGAGCTGATGAAGTATGGCTTCATGCAATCGCGCCACTACAGCCCTGGCAGTTTTTTTGCCCGAAACCAATTGGACGTTTGGGGCCGCCAAGCTGAGGTATTGCAAGTTGTCCATTGCCGAAGACTTGTGTAAGGGTTGAGAACCGTATAAACCTTTCAACCAACAGGTCCGCGGATGGATTTGCAGCATCTCCGGCACTGCACTCCGCATGATCCTGCTGACCAGTCGCTTATTCAAGGCGCTGACGAGGATTCATGAAGCCAATCTAGTGGGTATGACTGATCTACCTAAATAATTCCTGAGGCATACAAAACATCGGAGACGGTTTTCCATTTATTTTTACTCGAATTGTTTTGTGAAAACACTCTCCTGACTTGGAATGCAACAGCCAGATGACCTTGCGAGTTCTCGATCCGTGTACCCGGAGGATGGCATCAACGAGACACGAATACACGAGACTACAGTCATCGCTTTGCAATCGAGTATCTTCCCCGACGCCGTGCTGTCGGTCATATCACAACTCTAGCATTTTCCCATCTCCATGCGCCCCGGCACCTGGTACAAGGAAGGGGCCTGGACGCGAATTCACGCAAGGTGTAGAATACACTCACCGGTCTTCTCTCTCTCAAATGTGTGGACTTGATAATCATGAGCCGAAAGCAGAGAGCATTAAGCGATGGGGGACGTGGCTCGATACTCGTCCTTGGTGGTCACATACCCTCGTCGCAAAAGGTTGGGTTGAACTGCTGCTGTTGACCCAGCTGACCCAAAACAAACTGCCGCCGGGAGTCGAGAACGTCGATGACAACAGTTGACCAAAACTCGGTTGCAGGCTGTGTTCAAGTCTCGCTCGTCTACCTGGGTGGGATACTATGGTCGCTGGCTGTGGGTGATGCCATTACCAGGCCGCCGCGCTTACCGCTTCACAAACCGCGTCGTCGACAATGGATTCTGTGAATCGCGACCAGGGCGATTGACCCAAAGAAGAGCCATTCTTCCATTCTCGAGGTCGCACGATAATTCCGAGTCGACAATCAGCGACACGTCAAGCTTGCTGATACTCTGGCGACTATAGGGTTTGTCTCAAGTGTCAAGACTATCAATACGGTCGCAGGCTATTCTGCGACTAATCTAGCGCCTTCGTAATTGTTTGCGGTATCTATCACCCGCATACGATGATCGAGGCATGACTTCTTTCGGATACTTTGCTATCTATTCCGAGTCATACCACTGCGCGTACAAACTCTGAAGGTCTGCAAAATGTCAGGTTCTGGAAATGCAAATCAAGGCCAAGAGCGCTGGATCGTCTTCTAGCGGCCCGCCACAGGGTGGGGAAAACTCGCAACGGTTAGCTCTAGCCCTTGCTTAGCCCAGGTCCTGCCCAAAGTCTGGAAAAGAGTCCACCAATTTTGGGGGGCGCAAGATCGGAATAGTGTAGCGACTGAACTTTCTATGGACAAGATATAATCGGAGCATCACGTCCTGGCACAACTGGAACAGAACAACAGCATCCACGGCGTTTCACCTATCAAATCCATTCTTTTTCGCATATTGCTCGCCGCGCCAAAGGATGGGCCTGAACAACTGGCTGACCTGTCGTTCTCGGACAGCGACAAGAAACAAAAAGAAAACCTCGTCCATCATGACGCAAACTTGGCATGCTTCTCTCTATGATGTAAAGGTGCCCCACCCATCCCTATGCGACACCCACCCCTGTCAGCCACCATCTCGATCATGGGTCCCTCTCTCCATATCCCGCTACACTGACTGCGCTACAGTAACCAAACGCTGTCCGCTCCAGGCTACGCGGCACCGATACTCATGACCCCCGTTGCAGCTCTCACATCATCCCGCCTAGACATCCGAACCAACAGCCAATCAGGGTTATTCTCGTTTGGTTTCATATCTTGTTTTTGGAAAGTGAAGGCTAGGGATCTGACGTTACCTGCTTTTTGCTTCCCGCCTTTGACACTACCATGAGCAGTGTAAAGGGTCCGGACAATAGGTTGCATGGACTCCACTATATCCGTCTGTTCCTCTGCCTTGTTTTTTGACCATTGATGGAAGGGGAAGAAGCAATGGGAATAACTCGTAAGATAGAAAAGGTCCTGGGTCGCACTCGGTCCCTGGCTTTGAAAGTTTACCTGTATTAAACTTGACGCCAAACTTTTGATCAATTATATATACTTTGGGAGAACAAGTCGTCTGTTACCAAAGCCAGTTCCTATACGATACATTATATACCACGAGTCCAGTAAAAACAACTATATATAAAAAACCGCAAACCCAAAAATGTCTGCCAGCCCAGCCAGAAGCCGAGGAGGTCGCAGCCGCGGTCGTCAGGCCAAGGTGGCCGAGATGGAGAGCGACAACTCGCAAGACTCGCAGTTCGACCAGACCCAGGAGGAGGACAGCGACGACGCACCCCGCCAGCCCTCTCGCCGCCGTCGCCGCCGCAACAACCAGCAGATGCAGCGCAGCGGTGGTCAGCAGCAACAAGGTGGCCAGCAGGACTGGCAGATGCAGCAACAAATGATGATGCAGCAGCAGCAACAGCAACAGCAGATGCAGCAACAGCAGCAGGGCGGCGGCGGCGGCGGCGGTAGCGACACGCTCAAGTTGAGATTGGACCTGAACCTCGAGGTCGAGGTTACCCTGAAGGCTAGAATCCACGGTGATCTTGAGCTTGCCTTGCTGTAAGTTCCTTGTCCTTGTCCTTTTCTCTCTTGATATCCCTCCCTGCCCCCGTTCTCCATTTATAAAGCGAGCGTACGAATAACGCGGGACTGACAGTCAATAAACTAGTGACACTGCTTGAACAAACCCAAATTTATAACGACATTCCCTTTGTAACGACAACCGGCGATTACTTGCTATGTGGCAACAGAATATCTACACAACACACCATGACCATATCACAACAAGGCCGGCATAAACTGGCATGGAAAAGAGGCTGCCGAGCCAGAAGACAGGTATCTGGAGGTTTTGGATGATTGGATGGGCATGAATGTATAATTACTTCTTTTTATAACGCGATGATGTAATGACTAAAATGTACCAACGAGTTCATGATATGCATTGATGGCGAGTGTCCATTTTATTCCCGGTGCAGATGATATGCAGGAAAAACGTGCTTGTATGCATGCTACGGCCTCCACTTGGGCAAAACCTGACCTACTCAGAACAACCCGCTATATCTCTTCTACGATTCTCCCTTGCGTTCCCATGATTTCGCGAATACAGACATTAAGAGTCATTTCCACAGTGGTCCGGCTGTCTTTTTCAAAGAACTATCGTCTTCGCAGGGAAGCTTTGACGTGGAAATCCGAAATGCCCCAGATTCGAGTTCCATGAGCTTTCCAGGGCCGGGTGGGGTTTCCTATGGTTAGATCAAACTCTCGCACCAGCTCGCAGACTACCTAGGTTAGGTTACCTACTTTGTGCACCTGAATCAGTGCAATGCCTTTGCCTATGTAAGCACTCCCATCGACTTGGTCCAGCAAAACTGCCGTTTGTCAGTACATCCCTCATGGGCGGAGACGGCAAAGTGCTCATCGGCTATACTTACACAAATTTGAGCACATCCTCATTGGCTGTATCCTATTTGTATTTTCCGCTTCGATCCAGCGCTCTGGTCTAATCATGTCTGCATCTTGACCAAAAATGGCCCGGTCGCGCAGCGCAGGTTTGATCGAGAGCTCAACGCTGGTGCCAGCAGTCGCGAGAGGTCAAAAGTCTGGTCATGATTGACGGAAGCGACGTATTTGGACTTGATAAGGTCCACCAGCTTCAGCACACGCTCGTCAATCATGTCGTGCACCTGACTGAGCCCGACACTCTTGCCACTGTATCCACCGACCAGCTTCTTGCGCAGGACCTCGTGCGCCTTCTTGTCTGGCTGACTGAACAAGGAGTCCTGCCCCGGCGCGGTACGGAATCCTAGGTACAGCGGGCACCCGGCCCCATGCCGATCGCATATTGCTGATGCTGCGAATCTCTTCCGGGGTCGCTGACGGCCACCATGCCCGGGCTGAGGAGCACAATCGGCCCGTACTTGGCATAGATCTCCTGGAGCCGGTCGACATAGAGGCCCGCAAAAATCTGTTTTACGAGCCAGGCGTGACTCCAACGCGCCCCAAACGGTCCAGGGATGTGGCGGAGATTCTGCCACGCCCGCACTTTGCTCCATGCCGTGTGCACTGAGATGGCACCAAGTGCTACCAATGCAAGTTCAAACAGATTCATGGTGTAACCTGAACAAACAGTCTTGAGTAAAAATCCGCAGTGAAAGATGTTTGGCTTGGAATGCAGCCATGCCAACTCAAAAAGGTAAAATTCCCCAGGATTCATCCTCTGCCGGAAATGGTTCCACTCTTCTGGGGTTCGTCTTTTGCGTTATTATCCGATTCGCAGGGGATTGCATTGACAAGGTTTCTGAGCCTCGGGTGAAGCATCGTGAATGTTGGATAAGAAACTGAGCGCAAGAAGCAGATTTATTGAGGCCATGCCCTCTCAGTGTGCAGATTCTCTCCCGCCGGGAATCGCCTTTGAAAAGCTGTGACTTTTTGTGTCTCTTCTGCACCTGGGCATTGTCGTTATGTCAAGAGATTGAGGGATAGAGAGAAATATCACTAAAGTTTCTGTTTCTTGAAGGTCTAGTTCTACCAAAGTGGTGTGAAAAAAAGGGGCTCTCGTATTATTCGGATTGCGACCTGTAAGCTGGAAAGCACGATCAATCGTGTCTCATGGAAATAGACTGGCCGTGCAACATGTAAGCCACATGAATACACAACTGAAAGAAGTCGGACAATGGTCCTTGCGGAACTTCCTGGTCAACATCATGGATTGCAGAGCTTGAGAAGCCATTCAAAGCATGTTGAGAAAAGGAGTGTGGCTAAGCCTCTCTGCTACGTCGAATTCCAAACCTAGCAAACCCTCTGCAACGCACTTTTTATTTTAGGAAGATGGATCACATCGCCATTAGTGGTGGTTTGGAACGAGCCCATTTGTTCTTCATAGAGGATTGAGTCGGTTGGTGTGAACCACTGAAAATTGCTATTGAGCATGGCTTTCAGTCAGTTAGACCTCATGGGTGATGAAAGCACAAACTATAGGACGTGACAACGAATCGGCCTCCTTGAAGCCGCAAAGATGGATACCACAGATAGAAGATCATGCCTTTAAAATAGCATGCCAACTAAAATCTGCTGTCTCCATACCTTTTGCGCAGCCTGTTCCTCACCCTCTCTTTTAGTGCTTGTGATTCCTTGATTTTTGCTTTGAGTAAAGTCTCTTCCGGCACAATTTCATCGCCTAGTCTCTCTCTGAAGCATTGCAGGCTCGAGTAACTCGCCGCTTCAATAACATCCTGCGTGATCTCAATTTGTGCTCCCCGTTTCTCGAAGAGTAAATTCATGAAGACCGCAGAAAACTCTATTCTTGCCGCTGCGAGGATCACGTCTGGTGTTACTTCCACTTGGTCTCCAAAGTAGTCAAAGATGGCTTCTATGGTTCCAGATGCATACCCTTTCTCTGCGATCCTTACGAGGAGATCTGGCGTGATTTGAATCTTCACTCCCCGCTTCTCAAGAATCATGGCTGTGAGCTCATTCGAAGACCGCATCTGGGCCGCCGCAACAAGGAGGTTTGGTATTTCCTCACTCTGGCCGGCTCCTCTGTCGAGAAGTAATACAAACGCATCCCTTTGAGCATTTGTGGCAGCTAGCATGAGTGGTGTTTCTCCACTCTTGCTCGTCGAATGGATGTCGGCTCCGTGATCAAGGAGAAGTTCGATCACATTAATATAGCCTGCACACGAAGCCATGTGGAGGGCGGTACCAATATCACGAATCTTTGCGTTGATATTGACGTTGCCTTTCTTGATCAGGGCACGAACCACTGAAAACAGCCCAAAGTAGGCTGCCACTGCCAGGTCAGTCATTTTGTACCATTTCAGCTGGTGACGGTCAAGATGCTCATCAGTCCACTGGAAGGAACAAGAGCACACCCACTGCGAGGTCTTCACATCTACGTGGCACAACTCGACTGCTTTTTGTAGGAGTTCCCCGCTTATCTTCGTGTCCAGCTCTCTGCAATGCTCCGTCCAGTAATCGTGAGCATATAGGTAGAATGCATCGGCATCTTTTGCTGCTGTGACACCATGAGCAGATGATTGCTGCTCCGGTAGTGAAAGGCAACGGATACAAGCACGAGTGATAGCCTTATGATAGACGGGAGGCTTGAAACGCCCCTTCCATTTCCATTTCTTGCCATCATCTTCTGAGGACTTTGTCAAGAATTCTCTCACCGTCTGGTGGATGAACGAGATTTTGGAATCGTGTACATCAACAAGAAGGCCACCAAAATTCTTCACGATATCTTTGAATGAGTCCCTCGGCCAGAGCTGGACTGATTGTCCAGGATCAGCCAACGCGAGAGCATGGTTGGCCTCATCGAGACTGAGAGGTCGATTTGCCGCAAGAATGAGCTGTAAAAGATTGGGAGTGTGGCGAAGGTCATTCATTTGGTTGAGCATTTTCTCATAAGCTTGTAGATGTCCTTCGGGGAGCTCCTGGAGCAAACCGTTCACGTCTGAGAGCTTGCCGTAGCTAACAGGGTTTTTTTCAATGATAGAAAAGGTCAAGCGTAACCATAGATATGTGCGATTGTTCATGCTCTTGAGATGTTCTGCAATGCGTTCTTGATCCTGTTTGCTGAAGTTTCCGAGCAGATTGGGGATTTTGTCATCGATGACAAGGTTGATATCTGCGCTGATAGCTGGAGATTTGTCATTGCCGTCTATTTTCATAGACGAGGCGTCCGACAGGCTGTTAATCGAGCGCTCGATTTGGTAGTAAGGTCGGCATGTGATGAGGAACTTCAGTCGGCATGTGCGTCGCGCTGCCGTTTCAGTATTGGAATAGAAAGCTGTGAGCTTCTCCACTATGATGTTTCTCTCATCTTCTCTACACTCGTCGAGTGCATCGAGGACGCAGATGATCTCGCCAGCGTCCGGCTTGGAGGCACAGTCCAGTAGTGTATTCCAGAGTTCGTTAGAGTTCTTGCGCAGTGCATCTCCATAATTCTTGTGTCGATGTAGAGCGTTTTCCATGAATCTGCCCGTCAGATCTTGGATGAATAATTGATGCAAAATGGCGGAAAGGGCATCGTGGCTGTGCACGCGGCTTTGGTCTCCATCTTTGAAAAAGAAGTGACAAACGGTAGAAGTTGCGGGACTTGTGGTGAGCTGCCAGTCGTCAATGAGGGAGCGCGAAAGGACGGATTTTCCACACCCAGGACCGGCCGATACCCAAAGAAGGCTCGAATCGCTTCTGTCTCTCCAAGAGCAAAAGTGTTCATCTTCCAAGAACCAACCGCAAGTGCCTTCAAGTTTGGGAGGATTGAAGTTCTTGTACTCTTCATGATTTGCTGCTAGGAGCGATAATAGAGCGCGCTCTTGGTCATCGTTACGGTCGCTTTTTCGCTGCCGTCTCTCATCTTCCAGAAGTTCATGAATACCTTGAAGGGCTTGTCGTGACTCGTATATCTCCTTCAGCCGCTGTTCGCAATTCCGTTGTGCCTCTCTAGCGTGTGCTATGTCAGTACACTTCTTGCAATCATTGCTGAGCTTGTCGACGAGTGCAGCCTTGTTTTCCCAATCATTTGAGCCAGTGGCATTTTCCAAGCCACGTGAGAGCTGCGTCTTGGACATGTGACAAATGACACGAGCCTGAAACTCAAAGATGTGAGAATACAGCTTGACCAGCTGGTCCCATGTCGCGCGATTGTGCTCAACACTGATCTCGGTTGGGAAGGCATCATGGTAGATTTTCCAGTAGACCAGGACACGCTGCATAGAGTCGAAAGCCGCCAGCATGGACCCATGTTCAGTTGATGCATTTTCGAGAAGCTACAATTTTCATCAGTATTTTGATCGTGATCGAAAAGGTACAAGGTCTGAACGTACGGGCAAAAGAATTGATACGCCAGACCATGCCAGGGCGGCAAACGGCTGTGCACTCAGGGCCTGTTTTACGACGCTGTCACATAAAGAGAGGGTTTTGGTGAGCTTTTCAGCTTGTTCTCGAACTTTGATATCTCTCCCAAGGAAGGAAAACTTCCACTGATTCGACTGGCGCTTCTCTTCCAAATGCTTGACCGTAGACTTGGCCCAGTCGGTACTTGTCAAGTCCCTCAGGGTAGGACTGTCGGCATCAGTGATGGTAGTAAGGTGCGTTTCATAGGCTGTGGCCAATTCCCCTTCTCGTCGGACGAATGACTGGTACGCAGTGGCCCAGATGTCGGTTTCTGCGCTATCGTCGGGTTTGATGGCGCCCGCTTCATAGCTGTTGTCCACAGTGTCACTGTCTGCAATACCATTGTCAACTATGTCGCTGTTCAAGACATTGTTTTCTGCGATCATGTCGGGCTTAGCGTCATTGTCCTGGTTGCTATTGTTCACAATGTCGCGGTCCACAGTGTCATTTTCCTTGAAAATGTCCTTGGGCTCGGTGTCCTTGACCTCGGTGTCCTTGACCTCGGTGTCCTTGACCTCAGTGTCGTTTTCAACAATGCCATCGACTTCATTGTCCTTGACCTCTGCGATGCTTTCTTCAACAGTAATAGTCTGTGGAACAGGCTTCGAATCAGAAGTTGGCGGTGAACTGCCAGCCAGTTCATATGGCGGCGCGTCCGTCGCGACACCAGACTGCGAGGACACAAGCGTAATGGTGGACACGGGCGGGTTTGCCGTAGATGGTGTCTGGGGCTCGTCGCTCACCGGACGTTTTTCAGTTACGACCGGGGCAGCTCCTCCGCGTTCGGGGGCTCTCAGCGGGGGCTTTTCTTCTGGGCGCTCCTGCGACGACAATTTGGACTTGGATTTGGACTTGTTGCGCAAGCTGCGCAGCAATGGCCGCAAGAAACACCCCATTGTGCGTAGTGGCAAGACACAATGGCAACTATCGTGAGAAAAGAACGAGCAAAGTGCTCAAAGGCAGTAAAGGCAATAAAAGACATTTTTGCATCAGGGCTTCAGACTATGCTGTGGGCCACAAATCCAATGTGGGACATGATATGGACCTGCTTCAGGGGTTGATCACCGGTGGAGGTTGAAATTTACGTAAATACAACAAGAAACCTCTCATAGACACAGAAAGACATGGGGAAATAAAGTACGGGGAAAATAGGCAAGTGCAAGCAGTATATTGTCGCGTGCGACTATGCCGTGGACAATATTCTTGGCAGGTCGTGCGTAGCTCCATCATATTGCTGGAGAAGAAAGGTCGGAAAGTCCATTTGCCAATAGTCCAGCCGAGACCCACGCCCATATCGAGACCTCAGGTCCACAGTGAGTCGGTGGACCGGACATTGACGTGAGAACAAGTAAAGTCGTACAATATTCCTTTTGCTGATATAATCGCACCAAGTGGTAAATAGGCTCGCCTCAGAGCTGATCCTTTCGCTATATTCGATAAAGGGTCCGTAGATTTTTTGACTTGAAGTGGGTACTACTGGTTCCGAAGCCACCCCGTGATGGTATCGAACAGATTGATGCCTTTCAAATTACAGGCGCGCACAAATGGTTGGACACCTGGTACCACCAACAGTTCCTGATTCGACGTCGGCGGCGTGGATGCGATCCAACGAATAGTCATTGCCGATAAGATTGATGAGTTGCCAACAGAGACCTGCTTGCTCAGTTCTCTCAATCTTTCCTCCAAAGTCTGTGAGACGGCTTCTGCGTTACTATTTGAGCTCGAACGAGGATATGAGACGTCGGTTGGTTGCGAGGCAGACACGGGATATTCTTGAGCCTCCCGAGAAGAATGACTTCCTGTCTCCTGATGGTAGCTTCGCGAACGCCGGAAGTCACGCTGCTCAAGCCCCCTTGTGGATGTTTCTGCGTCAATATGTCTGTTCAAGGCTGCAGGTGCAGGGTTCTGGACGGATGGTGTCACAGCGTTATCGTCCATGTCAGAGCGACTTCTCTTCACGCGTGGTGTGGAGAGTTCCTGCTGTGACTGTGGTACAGCAGAATAATCGATACGATTACCATTACGCATATTCACGCGTGGTTTGAGAGTGGTGCTTAGCGGAGGACCGAACCCTTCCGTGTCAGACTCCTCCTCGTCATCTGAATATGGAGGATGGATAATGCTCGTGCTGTCCATTTGGAACGAAAGACCAGTGTGTAGAGCTGGAGGTGCGCGAGCTTCTTGTTTCTGCGGAGACGTAAAAGAGACCGATCTTTTGAGACCTCGAGGCGCAGCCTCTGAAGTAGTGGTCAATACGTCATTCTTGTGCTCTTTCATGAATTTTTGAATGACTTCAAGCCATCCCGGCCCGTATTGTTCAACCTTTTTCGGACCAATACCCTTGATCAGCAGTAGTTCTTCCTTGTTGACTGGCAGCGATTTGGACATTGACTCCAAGACACTGTTGTGGGCAACCATGTAGCCATCAAAGTTAAGTTCCCTGGCATATTGCTGCCGGCGCTCAACCAAGCGGTAATAGAGTTGCTTTTCAAGCCTTTCGGGTAGTTTTTGTTCAATCTTGGGAGGAGACGCCACGGATAAAGTCGTGCCCGGAATGGCGCTTTGGCCATTCTGTCCTATGACGATCCTGGAATCCTCGGCCCAGCTGCGCTCGCCGTTCCCGGAAAATGAGACCGACTTGACCAGAGTCGGGGGAGGTGCACCCGCCCGAACACCAGTACGGCCACTGAAACGCGCAAAATATTCCGATGCAGTGGCCGGCACTTGGAGGCGAATGGCGCCACGTGTGGGGAAGCCTGGACCATCGTAGGTTTTATAGTGGTCAGCAACCACTGGGAGCGGTGGTGATGGTTGCATTTGTGCCCTCTTTGCATTGAGGCAGTGGTAGAGCATGTACCCAGCATACGCATCATCAGCAGCATACACCATCTGACCCTGCCGTAGAGGCTTGCTCCAGTCGCTTTTTCTCACGCTGTTGTCCTTGCACAATGGCAGACCGAGTATTTCTTCCACTTGTCGCGCGAGAGCCACAAGATTGGTCCTGAGCTTGTCCGGTTCGCTGAGCCCAAACTTCACCAGGGTAAACAGATGACTCAGCTCAAAGCCGCTCCTGGGCTGGAGGCCCATATGCTGGCGGAGGCGTGCAAAGTCGGCATCCTGGATCTTGACGCCGACCTTGATGATGTCCGGAGACTCGATGATCTTCTTGAGCGATGGTGCCAAAAGTTCGTCCACCGTGTTGCCACCGTGTAACGCGACATGGAAAAGGGCAATCTTGCTCTCGGAAGCAATTTGTATAAGGCTGACCTTGTCTTGCAATCGAGCCGAGTTCTTGTCTGGCCACGGCCATTCCATGTCAAAACCCAAGACAGCCTCTCCCAAGAACTCCTTGGCTATCTCCTCGGATTGTGCCTTGGTATTGCTGTAGAGGATCCGCGGCAACTGGCCATTTGCACCACGATACAACGTATGAGTCCACCATCGCGGCTTGGGCGGTTGATTATGTTGGTGCTGGCCATTATTGTTCTGATTTTCGGCGCCGAAAGTCGCGCGAAAGGTCAGAGGCCAACGCGGTGCCGTCGCGCTTTCCCCGGTTGACCGCGAGTCATTCATTTCCAACACGTCTGGCATTGGCTATATCTGACTTGTGTGGAAATATGAATTGATAGATCACATATTCTAGCAAAGTGAGACATTATCAGACGAGAAATATGAATAGGGAAGTGCGGCTGAGCGCGAAAGGCATAATTGTCGTTGTGATACAGAGATTGGGCTTGAATCTTTCATTTTTTGCTTCTTTTGATCTTTCGGCAGTCGTCCCAATCTTGGTACCCACGAGCGATTAGGACAGGGGGAAAGCGTGTGGGATTCCCCAGCTTTGCCAGCTCATGCTCTTGCCCTGCGCTAGCAACGGCTTAACGAGTGGGTTAGAAGGGACGTTGATGCTATAACGCCGGGGTTTGCTCAGCTACTCCCAGCAAGTGCCAATCATTGTAACGCCACAAGTCAAGGGGTTTTTACACGTCGGCTCTTGGCACCAATGAAGAAATGTGAGCAAAGTCAAAACGTCAAGTCGTCCATGTAACGCTTGACAGGTTGCCTCTTATTCCTTCAAGGTGCGCTCATGCAAGCTTGAAACAGTGTTACTCGCAGCTTGTCTACACAACTATATCCTAGAGTATACTTTCGCCATCGTCACCTACATCTTTTGGGCCAACGTCGTTTGCTTTTGCTATTATCCATACCAATGGTGTCTATTTCACTTACTGCTTCTTGTTCAACTGGTGTCCAATTCCATTAAAGTTATCGCTTGCCGCGCGCCATTCGCCTCAAGGGTCTGCAGCCGGGTCCCCCAATTTTCAGGTTCTAGCCTCACTAGTAGGTACAGTGGCTTTAAGTTACTCACTGTTCGGCTGAGAAAATGACCACACCCAGCCAGCACTAACGAGCGACGATTGAAACCAATCCCACAAGCTAGAAGGTTGAGTTCCTTTGCTCGGGGGACAGCACGACACTTGAGTCGATATACGAAGCAATATAGGCCGCAAGGTGTGTATTTGATATTATCCAATTCTTATCCAATTTTTTACATTAAGGAATTACTATGATTACCTAGTAGTTTATTTGTGTAAAGCTCGACAGCGGTGCGCCATAGTACTCCAGCTCCACCCTCTTGGTGTTGATGAAGCTGGTGTTGCCCCGCCACTTCTCCACGTCCGTCTGTCCGAGCAGCTGCATCTCCGTCACCAGCTCGGTCCGCAGGATATCCAGCATGGCCTCGACGCCCTCCTGACCAAAGACGTTGGCAAACATGGGCGGGCGGCCCAGACCCACGGCGCGGACGCCCAGCGCGAGCAGCGCCAGCACGTGAGTGCCGCGGCGCACACCGCCGTCGGCGTAGATCTCAATCTGGTCAAAGACCTCGGGGTACTGGGCGTGGACGTCGAGGAGGACCTCGACGGCCGTGGGGGCGCCGTCGACGACGCGGCCGCCGTGGTTGGAAATGTAGACGGCGTCGAAGCCGAGGTCGGCGCAGAGCTTGACGTCGCGGGCCGTCTTGATGCCCTTGGGCACAATGGGCAGCGACGTCATGTTGCGCAGGCGGTTGAGCGAGTCGACGGTGAAGTCGAGGGTGTGGCCCGTATCGCTGCTGCCCGAGCTGAAGCGCAGAGATCGGTCGCGGATGCCGCCAATGCCCGTGTTGTCGACGGTCAGGAAGATGGCCTTGAAGCCGGCGGCCTCGATGCGCGCGAGCTCGTCCTCGACCCGCGTCGTGTTGGCCCACAGGTACTCTTGGTGGAACATGATTTGGCCGTCGGCAGCGGCAGCTCCAATCTCCTCGATGCTTTGGGTCGCCGAGATGGACGGAGCGTACAAGACGCCGGCCGAGGCGGCGGCCTTGACGAGATTGGTCTCGGCGCCGTCGTTGGCGTGGCCTGCATTAGCGGCAGGGGCAATGAAGAAAGGGGCCGCGAAGTTGTAGCCCAAGATGGTTGTGCTTTAGCGGGAACGAGATTAGAAAGCGTGGACCTCGTATACTAGCGGATCGGCATCAAACGTACTTGAGGTTCAGGTTGCTCACGTCTTGAAAGGCATATCCGTTGAACAGGATCTTTCGGAAGATGTCAAGATTATTAATATATGCTAGTGATTGGGGCATTGGTCAGCAATGGTTGCCTAGGTACGCAGGAGCGTAGACACTGGGATGCTTCTCACTTGTCTCATCAAGGGCGCCTGTTCGATATTGGGTATAGTATTTGGCCGAGAGGAAGTTCTTGGCCGCCATTTGAAAGTCGTTGAGGGAAATCATGTCGTCAAGATCGGGAAGCTCGCCAGCAGTCCAGCCGGACACATCGAGGCCAGTATCCGGGAGGCCTTGGTTGTATTCCATGTTCATGTCCACCGCATATACTGAGCGGGTGAGCGCCAGCCCGTAGGCCAATCCGCGAAGAATACGAGCCATGTTGAATAAATGAATATACAAACAAAAAGACGAAAGAGCGTTATTAGTTGAAGTAAAACAAGACGAAGCACAAAAAACGAGCGTGGTGAACGTCAAGGTGAAGAAGACTCTCTCGCCCTACCAAACCTCGAATTCGCACAAGAGTGCGAGAACCGACTTTATAACTAAAAAAGAACTTTCTATTTCGGTAGTACCGGCGGCCTTGTACATAGTATGATGCTGTAAGCCCAGGCTGCCCAGCTTACCACGATGCAAAATCCGGCAAGGCCATTCGCTTCAACCCCATATACAGGCTTGGATGCCCCTGCAGTCAGGGTAGTACTTTTTCTCATTGATGACCAGGTACTTTAAACTCTTGGCCCTAGGGCGACTTGTTCTCGGGATCGGTTCAACCGCGCGGTATCCTGGCAAAAATCTATGCAGTCGATCTGCCCTTCGTGAGCTATCTCGGGAGCTACTAACTGCCTAGGGGCGGTGATCGGCACACTGCTCCATTGGTCAATGTAATTAATTGAGCACCGGCGCGCACCGATACGAAGACTCCTTTCATCTCGGCTGCAAAGAGCTGAGCTGCAGTCTGCAAGCCAAAGAAAACCAGAGGTGCTGAAAAGAGGCAATGTTTGTTTTTGGATGCAACCCAGTGGTTTGCATACCAAACTCGCTACTCCGGAACCTACCGAGCTGACGTGCCCCGATGAGTCTTGTCCAACTCCAATTCCGTCAATAAGGATCTCATGCCAAGAATAATTGCTCGATCCAGGTAGCATTGGGGATCCAGCAGCCTGCGAACAGGTCACCATGGGAGGCGCAAAAATATCCACCTGCAGGACATGCTCAGGTACCAGACGGAGGAAAAAAGCATTTGGCACCGATCCATGTAAATGTCAGCAAGTGAGAGCAAGCAGTGAGCAGTGAGCAGTGAGCACGTATTTTGACTCCCCTGTCAAAAGTCAGACACCCATCGCATATTCATCCCGACTGCTCGAATTGATTTCTTTTTTCCCTCCTCCCTCTAAGCAAAACTGCTCCGTAGCATCACTAGCATGGCAGATTAACAAGAGAGCAATATAGTCTTGCTCAGCAAGCTTAAGCCTCTGCCATCGATACTCTCTTATCTAATGTAACGCCCCATCCGGCCGGCCAGGGGTAAGATTCCCAGGGCCTTTTCGTTCCACGCAGCAGAAACTCACGTGAGTTATCTGTAAGTGCCCGTATCTGCACTCTGCGCATGGGTGCCATTTCTTCAAATATTGGTCCTGACTGCATATTCCTATCTGATTAAGCATGCACCATGTTAAGCGATGGTAGGATCAATAGGAGTGTTTTTTTCCTTTCTTTCCTTGATGTTTAAAAAAGGCCGAAGCCCCCCGGCAATGGCGGGCCGCCTCCTGTTCACCCTCATTGTGGCGCACAATTTTCAAGGCGATGCTTGCAGGCAAATGCACACATTTCCCACTAGAGTGGCCTCCAAGGCCCCCAGCTAGGCTAACAGCCGTTAGTATCAACGCCCGTTATCTGCGGGACCCCTTCTGATGTCGCCTTGGCGGTGGGAATGCAAGTGCTAAACTCTATCGTACTAAATCCACCCTAACTTGGGCATCCTGTTCGTATTACAAGATGGCTCCAGTGGCCGCACGCACTCCTTCAAAGCAAGTCGTGCTTCTTCCCACTTGTGCGGAAGAGGCAGGTCCGAGACGCAAACATTCATCGCCACTCGAGTATGGGCTGCTTTTGCGGATGAATTGGTCATTATGGACGTTGACGATGAATGAGGCCAAATGTTGTCAAAACCCTTCGGTCAAAATCAGGATATCCGCAAACCCGAGCCGAGCCAATGGGTCTGCTAGCATTCAAAGAGGCCAACGTGGTGGCATTCGCTTACGAGTCCATTGATGGGGGTGTGGAAAGCGATTACCTACTCTCTGCACTTGATAGAAGCACAATTTACTTTTCGACGTGCTTGCTCCGAAGGGATCGCCAAGAAATCGTGGCCATTGTAGCCGCGAGTGGGGATTACGGCGAGCGTGGTTGCAGGATTCGTGTATTGGACGCGTTGACTGATAGGTAGTATTGGCATCAGTCGTGTTCGGAAGATCGCAATAAGAAGAAACACTTTATCGAGAGGCCCAACAAAGATACGGGCATACTTGGCAGCTTGGCTGCTTTCTCTCAGGCAAAGGAAGGGAAAAAAGGCCCATATGCAGAAGAGCAACCCGACAGGGGACGGGGGGAGCGCACTGATGCTTGCCAGGTCAAAACACGTAAGCCCTAATCCATAAGAGCATTGCCATGGCCATCGTACATGTCGAAACGTGATTGACCATTTCCTACTGCGTATGTACTCTGCATCCTTTGTAATCTTTGTCATGCACTCAAGAAGCAGGTACATGGACAATGGGTTTCCGACGGTTCTTCGGCTGACACAATTTTTCGGGCATCACATCACAAAAAGCAGCCGCCTGTCCACGTCATTCGCGGGAGAAGATCCGATCTTCGCAAGAATACGCCTGCTGTTCTGGGGGGAGGAGGCCATGACTTAAAATGGGCCTTTTCGACTGAATCAGATAACTGAGCCTCACAAGCCTCGGTATTCAGCGACTTGACAATGACTCGGGGGACTGAATAGTGAAAAGAAGAATAGGGTTGCAACGGCTAATAGTGTAGGTTGTCCGTAAACGTATCAGCCACTTCCGTTCCTGTCGCGAAGTCTTGATGCTGCCGTCCAACGGCCCTTGTTTGGCCTTGTTCGGGCACTAAAAGAGCCGCTGGAGCCCCGGGACCCATATATCCGTCAGTGCTTCCTATAGGCCACGCGTGACCTTGCATCACTCATGGAGCTTGTAAATATAACAATACAATTGTCCTGCATATTGCGGTGTGCACATGAGAGTAATTCCCTCTTAAAAGATTGGGAATTACTAAGAACTTATTTTCAATACAGACCAGGTAAGCAATTTGGTCATTTAGGAGAAGATGCCTAGTTTGAGAGCCGACCGTCGAGGGGATATATCGTAAGACATGTTCTCCTGGCCAAGGAGAGCATGCGACTGATAAGAGATCGCTTATAAGCTCTGATGACGTGTTGTAACTCAGTACCAAATACTAAACAGGCCAAATGAATCCCAATGGGGACAGAAACTTTCTTCGCTTTTGAGATCAGCAGTGGAATATTGAACTTCAATGCCTCCCAGGACGACGAATGACTCGCCGCATGCCTTGTTTGGAGTCCAGTGACCCAACTGTCGGACGATGATTGGGCGATTTGACTCCGACTCCCTCGTTTGTCGTTCCGTATACTGACTGGTCAGATCACGGAATCTATTGATAAGTCCCGTCTGACTTGGAATATTATTCCTCCTTACTTCTCGAAATTATCATTCGAGGGCTATGATGCAGTCGTGAAAACATGTTTTTCTTCTTTGAGTTTGAGACAATGCACTCCGCGAAATTGCAGGCGCGAAGTTCCGCGCGACATCAACATCGAGCCGTGCTGCCATGGGAAAATGTGGAAATGACCCGAGACTCAGTATGCCGCTCTCTTAGAAAACCAACGTGCGATCATCGCCGGTTCGAAACGAGACAATTCACACGGCCTCGGCCGCAGTCAAGAATTCAAAAAAAAAAAAAAAAAAAAAAAAAAAGTACGTGCTCACGTGCTCACATACTCATATGGGACTTTCAACCCTGGTGGCGCGTTACCAACGGTATAACACAACTGGTATCACGGACTTGAAACACGGTATCAAGAAAATGGTTCATGTTGGCGAGTGTCGATCATCTCATGACGAGAAGCTCTCATGAGTACATATAGTCGTGGTTCTCGCTGCATTCAACAACTCTTTTTTCCACCATCATTCACCGCACATTCGCTTGCACATTCGCTCATTGAACAACACTTACACAACTCGCTACTCACGCCATCATTGACAATGGCGACCGCTCGTTCCATGTTTCTGGCAAACATCCTGCCGCTCGCCGCAGTACAGGCCCTCATGCTTCCTCGAGCGGATCTCTTCTGTCAGTTGGACGCAGTCGACTTCCTCCCAGCGCTGGCCAACTACGACCCAGCCCTGGAGTACTGTTCCTCCAGCTTTCCAGTCCCAGCAACGACGGCAACAGTGACTCCCATCACAGATGCCTTTACCACCATTACAAGAACTGTCACCGTGTTCAGCAGTCTGATTACTCCTGTCGTTGCCACAGATACCGAACTCCCGACTGTGGTGGGTAGATACCAGACAATTCATGCCTTGACATAAACCCCATGATTACTAACTACCTTTTAGATCATTGATCCCCCCGTCACTAAGGTAAAGAGAAGCGAAGGTGGTGAAAACGAAGAAGCCCGTCGTGGTCTCTTGGACGGCTTCTTCGGAGACAGATTCCCAGGCTCTGGCCACCAACATCATTGGCCCGACTTTGTGCCTGGCCGCGGCGGTAACGGCGGCGGCGGCTACACCAACAACAATGCCGGGTACGGCGGTGAGAGCCCGTATGGCGATGACTACGACGACGGTGGTGATGAGTACGATGACGGCGAGGGAGACACTCCCGATGGTACCTGGTACCCGGCCCCGGCGCCCGAGACGACCAGTGCCGATGTGGACCCTACCTTCATCATTCCCACCATTACGCTGCCTACAATCACTGATCCGCTCCCCACCATCTCCTCTCTCGTGTCTTCTCTCACGAGCGATCTGGGCCCCATTGAATCGTCACTCTCGAGCTCCATCGCCTCGGTGCTCTCGTCCCTGACGAGCGACATTGACACGGTGCTGCCTACGGTGCTGCCGTCGCTGACGAGCGATCTGCCCATCCCCACGGTCACGCCGTTTACCACCTCGGCCATTACCACGGGCGGCGGCGGCGACTCGGCTCTGTCCAGCCTCCAGTCCCTTGACGCCGTGTTCCAGGGCTCCATCTGCTCCTGCATCGAGGACGCGCCCACCTTTACCATTACGGGCGTCCCGACAGCCACTGGTCTTCTCACCGCGGTGGAGACGGTTACGGTCACCCTGCCCCGTCCCCGTCACGGCATCTACTAAAGCCGCAATGTGGTCATTATGGCAATAGGCACAGTCTAGGTGCTGCATTTGTTGTTGGAATAACACCAAGCCCTTGCTTCTGTCGTCGGTCCATCGGTTCTTAGATAGCCATTTACTGCGTATCCAAGTAACCAAGAATCTAAAGTGTCTTTGTGCTCGTTTCTATACTGTTTGTGTCCGTTTTCGCAATGCATACATTACTTCTATAGTTGACGGCTGTAATAAATTCATTGCACCATCTGACAGGAATAAAGGCATCAGCTTTCCATGTCCAAAGTATTTGATGCATACATATCGTGTATTCTAACAGACTGAATTGTATTCTTTTCTGCCTTACGTGAATCGATACACTCGTTACACAATTTTGAATAATTATAGTATGATTCATATGCAAACCTTTGGGTTTGACGTCGGAAATCGCGGAATCAAGGTCCGTATACCGGCCACCTTGACTGAGAGGAAATGAGCGGGTTGGAATTCGTGGTTCCATCTGAACCTTGGCCCCTTGCAATCAAAGCCTATTTACTGACAGGCAGTCAAGATCTCGAGTCCCGAGTCCATTGTATTCCCGTGGGCCGAACCCACCAAAGTAGTTTCGCGAATATTCTGGTCCAATCGAAAGACAATAAAGACCGTACGATTTGAACCGTCTTTGCTTCGCGGAACCTCTCCGAATGACAGCCGCAGCCTCAATGCCGAAAGAGGCCATGCCGAGACTTGATGAGATCCGCCGCCTGCCGTGCCGTGTTAGTACAAAAAGTGTGTCTCGCCTTGCTACCCTATGCAAGTGCAGTACATTACCTTTTCAGCGACTGCATAAACAGTCGTGCAGATATGCGCGCTAGGGATCATGGGCTGGATGGACGCATCCGCAATGCTGAGCCCCGTGACGCCATGGACCAACAGATCCGTGCCCACGACGCCGCCGAGACGCCGCGGCGTCATGGCGCAGGTGCCGGAAATGTGCCCAATCGTGCCCGAGGTGGTGAGGCGCGCAATCTGCTCCAGCTGGTCGTAGTCGGTCATGTTGGCCGGCGGGTAGGTCCCGACGATCGGGCCAAACGTGTCGACCATGGCGGCCGTTTCATGGAATCGGCGCGCGAATTCAATACTGCCGACCATGAGGCGAGCGTCGACGGGATTTTGGTAAGTCGCATAGTCAATGACGGGCTCTGCGTATCTATCCGTGGTGTCGAGATGGACAGTGCCTCGGCTCATGCCCTTTGTCAATACGGTCGCAAAAGACGATGACCCGTTGAACGGTACCTCTATAACGGCATTATCGTTGCGCTGAATAGAGTCAATAAATAGGCGACGTTGTGCTTCGAAACCGGCAAGTTGGTCCGTCGTGTATGTGACCGGGAGGAACTCGGTAGAGTTTTGATCCTGTAGTGTCTCCACGACTGAAGTCCACGAGTCGGGGATGAGCTGTGACAGAGGTATGAGTGATATCGTATTGCCCGTAGTTACCGCAAAAGGCCCTGAATGTGGTCAGACATACCAAAAATTTTTAATATAGATCAAGGCTCAAACCGGTTCTATTCTCTGCCCATACTTCCTCAGCCCATTCAATGAACGTCGAATTATCCCACATGTATTGGGGACTAGGGTCTAGATCCCTTGCGTCTAGCTTATGTTAGTCTGTATCTTGTGAGCTACTTGATCAACTTACAATCAAATGCAACATATGAGACTGGATGATCTTGAAGATTGCTGCCCACACCGGGTAGGTCGACTAGAACCTCAATGCCTGCTTCTGCAAGCATCGAAGAGGGACCGACACCTACACAATTGTCAACGGCCTGTCGCATTTCACCTTGATGATATGAAACCCTTTTCGCCATGATTTCTATTCGTGGCGACACTCCATAAGGACGACGCACCACTTCTTTGGAGAATCTGAGGGCTGTGAAGGGCGCCAGCTGCCAGAATGATTTCTTTTCTGGCCTTGACCGAGACCACGTCTTCTCCTTCCGGCACTCCGCGAGGCTGAAAATTGATTCCATCTGCATTGAGCTGACTGTCAAACAATATTTCATTCACCCGGTGACCAGTCAAGAGGTGAAGGTTGGCGCGATCCGCCACCGGCGTGTAATATCCGCTCACAGCATAGGATCGCGTCACGGTTTCATTGTCAATTGCGTTCTACACATGTCAGCTCATACCATTATAGAGCACTTCAAGGACTAAAGAAATCAATCATGTCAATTACCGGATACCAAAACACTCCGTATGCATTGCCATTGGCACCTTCCACTTGGGCAGTCAGGCCAGCTTCTTCCATGCCCTGCCACTGAGGTACTAGAGTGATGGTAAGATAATTTGGACACTAAATAAAGTTCTGAGCGGGAAAGGGATAGCTCACTCAAACCAGGGTACAAATATGAAGCAATACTCTCATGTATGGGAGAGTCAGAACCGTAAGCGTCTTGATCCCAGGTAATATTGTACTCGTGAGCCAGTTCTGGAGCTGGCTCTCGAAACGTTGCACTCTATGAGCACGTTAGAGAAGATTTCCTTTTGCAAGATAACTTGTCGGTTCACTTTTTTGAAGTAAGGGAGCAATCCTTGGAAGCCCCAGTCAGACTCCTCATTCACCTTTGCCCAGTTGTCATAGTCGTCGGCAGACCCGCGGGTCAACATCATGCCATTGACGGTTGAGCCGCCTCCCACTACGGCAGCGGCCAGGACCGTGACTGTGTTCCCCAATAGACCGGCTTGTGGTGTCGATGTCACGTTGTACAAGTCTTGTATGGGCCAGTTCACTAATCCGCCAAAACTTGCAGGATCGATCTGTTCCGGGCGATTGTCAAAATATCCATATTCGACCACAAGCACGGTGGCTCGTCACTGTCAGCATGCAATGATATCTTGTTTCTTGGGTGGCCTTCTTACTATCTGGATCTTCCGAGAGGCGATTACCGACAACAAGGCCCGATTGACCGCCCCCGATAATGATAAAGTCGTACTCTTTGGCGACATTTGGGGCAGCAATCTCACGATTCTGCCATGGATGTTTAGAATAGGACTGGCAAACTGCAAGTCGGAACGAATAACATATGGAAAAACTCAATGAAAGGGATAAATGCATTTTGTTTCTTGATTTATAGCAGGTCAGCGCTCTGAGACTGGCAGTGTACGGAAGCTGTTGTAGTGGACCAGAACCCCTTATGCTGTTGGAATTTTAAATTTCGGCACGTAGCTCTCTTATATGCAGAGAGCGACTCCGAAAAGGCATTTCTAGTGAAAATCTTGCATCTGCATCTGCAAAGTTCGCATAATACTCAGTTATTGGAGTCTTTTGTGTGACATTAGTAGTAGTGACACTGCATCGCGTGCATGCCGACTGTCCATCGAGCCAGATAGCCAAAAACTTGCTCCATTTGCAATTGGTCGTGACTAATAATCATAAACAAACCTGGTCAAGAATAAGCATTGCAATGTGAGTGCGAGGAGAGGGGAAGTGAGGGGTACCTGATAATAGTTGGTTGATGTCTTGGTATTGGTTGCGCTATACGGTCGGCAGTGTATGCTGTGCAGCTCAGCATATTGGGGTTTCTGAGCTAAAGTCAGGAACAATGGTTCTATCTTTTGGTCTTGCCCACGAATTCCGTGCCTCAGCGCACCCTACTTTGTTTCAGTTCAATACGCTTCGCAATAGCGAACTCGACTTGTATCCCTATGAGATCGTTCATAATTTGACTAGACAAGCTCCATAAGATCCGGCACACGCATAGTATGAATGATTTTCCCCTCATGGTCGTTCCGGCTCTCTCAAAAACTACTTCAGACCATGTAAAATGTTCTCATTTTCAAACCATATTCTCTCCGGTGTTTGAAAGCTTCACGATTCATCATGTCGTGTACGAAGCAAGCGCCGATAATCTCGCACCGATAGTGCCAGAGACGCAAAAGTCGGCGCCTTCATGTGTTCCTATAATGCAGTCGATGGGGTTCCGGCTTGCTTAAACCGATACATGATGCAAACGCTACTACGAGAGCATTGGGGCTGGGACCAGCCTTATCAATGGATTACATCTGACTGCGATGCAGTGAACGATGTTTGGGAATATCACAATTACACTGCAGACTCAATCACTGCTGCGGCCGCTGCACTAAATGCCGGCACAGACTTGGCATGTGAAGGGTCCATCTACAATGACCTTGTCCAGGCAATATCATTCAACATGACAAACGAGGCAACAGTTGATCGCTCCGTCTCCCGCCTTTACCTATCCCTGATGCGCCTCGGGTTCTTCGATTTGAAGAACAGCAAATATGCCTCGTTGAGCTGGACCGATGTTGACACGTCTGACGCGCGGGATCTGGCCAAGGAAGCAGCAGTTAAAGGCATGACGCTCATGAAGAATGACGGCACTCTACCTCTTCCAGCATCTGTTGCAAGCGTAGCCTTGATTGGTCCATACGGCAACGCAACGACCCAGATGCAGGGAAGCTACTCGGGTGTTGCCCCATACCTTGTCAGCCCTCTGATGGCCATGCAAGCCAAGTGGCAAAATGCCACCTACAGTCTCGGTACTGCAATAAACACGGAAGATTCCAGCAACTTCTCGTCGGCTATAGAGCTTGCCAGTGCCTCTGACTATATCATCTATTGTGGTGGGATAGATGGATGCATCGAAGGCCAGGCGCGTGATCGAACCACCATTTCTTGGCCTGGCAATCAGCTGAGGCTTGTAGGCGAGCTTTCAGCGCTTGGTAAGCCCCTGGTTGTTGTTCAGTTCGGCGGCGGGCAACTCGATGACTCGGTCCTGCTGGCCAACGACAGCGTGTCGGCCATTGTCTGGGCTGGGTACCCAGGTCAGAGTGGCGGAGATGCCTTGGTTGACCTACTCGACGGCACATTGGCATTTGCCGGTCGCTTGCCCATTACACAGTATCCGGCGCATTATGTCGACGAAACGGAAATGGTGGACCCATAGCTTCAACCCAACTCTACCACTGGCAATCCTGGTAAGACATACAAATGGTACTCGGAGCCGGTATTGCCCTTTGGCTACGGGCTACATTACACCGAGTTCAACGTATCGTGGTTCAAAGCTGTACCATCGCAGTTCTCCATTTTGGAAATTGTTACTTCGGCTGGAGGGGAAAAAAGGTGCCGTAGACCGATCCCCTTTTACTACTATTGATCTGGATGTATCCAACAACGGCGGCAAGTCTACCGTGATATCTGACTATGTTGCTCTGGCTTTTCTTTCAAGCACAGACGCCGGCTCAGAGCCATACCCATTGAGATCTCTCGCCGCCTATGGACGACTGTCGTCTATTCAAGTTGGCGAGACGACGACAATTTCCCTGACGATACCCATCTCATCAATCGCGCGTTCAGATGTGAACGGCCACCAAGTCATATATCCGGGAAACTACACACTTTCTGTCGATATTGACGGAAAGATTCCTGTCAGCTTTGCCCTTACTGGAGACGCCGCAACCATTGACATGGTGCCCGAGCCACCCATCAGCCCAGTCCCGTTGGCATACGTTGCTTGCTACTCAGGGGCAACCAACAGCACCGCGGCGGGCACTGTTTCTCAGCTCGCTGATAATTCACCTCAAATTTGCGCTGATTACTGCAATGCGTCGGGATACAAGCTTTCAGGGACTCAAGATCAGACGTGAGTGCCTACCTCAACTGATGGTAATTGAAACCAGGAGCTAATCATTATGTGGCTCAGCGAATGTTTTTGCAAGACAGATATCACAGATCTAACGCCTGTGAGCGATGACAACTGCAACCTACCATGTTCCGGGAATGCAGATTCCATTTGTCGTGGTAATACTTTGTAAGTTGCCAACAGAAGCGGGGAGCTTAATTGCACAGTGAGAACTTTCCTGCTTATTGAATCACAGCATAAACGTTACAATAACACACCTGCATATATCATCCAGCCGCCCACATTCCAGGGATAGCGACAGGCGGCTATTTTATTATGGGATTATGTCGTGATATACCTTATGATTATATACCATAGTGGGAGTGTAACGGAGACCGTATAATGGAACTATTGCGACATACCACTAAGCCATATCGCAAAAGTAGGAGCTCCACACATATCCTTTTGTGATTATATGGAAACAGCGGATAAAGCAATGTCATTGATCGCTAAGCGGACTGTAACGGACTATCAATCTGCTTAATATCATATAGTACCTAGTACACATAATCATGCCAGTTTCGTCTCAGCGACTCATCGACCGAAGTACCGGAGGCGAGTGCTCACCTCTTTGAAACTACTCTCCGTTCAGACCTCATCATGTGTCGCCATATTCGCCTTCTTAGTTGTTTCCAAGACTACCTCATTCCCATCCGCAAACGCCTGGTCACCAAACGCAATTGCGATCTCCTCTAGCGTGTGATTTGCCGTTTCCACATAATAGAAATGCGCCAAGCCCGCCGAAAAGAGGCAGAAACCCGCTATCACCAGGTAAAAGTAGCCATGAATACCCGCGAACGCGTCTGGGGACACCATGCCGATGATGAAATTGAAGACCCAGTTGGAGGTGGTGGCGAGGGCCATGCCTTTGCTGCGGGCTCGGAGCGGGAAGATCTCGGCAGGAAGGAGCCAGGGCATCGGACCCCAAGTGAAACCGTATACGATGTTGTAAAGCATGACAAAGGCATACTGGCCGTTGGCTTTGATGGTGATGTCCAGGCTTGCTTCGGTAAAGGCACAGACGATGCCGAGCAATACTGCCATGGCAATACCTCCAGAGATCAAGAGGGGTTTGCGTCCCCATCGGTCGGCTAGCCACCAAGTAACGATCGTAGCAGCGGTATAAGGAAGCGCGTTTGCTGCCGTATATAAGAGTGACTTTTCGTCGTCAAATCCGGCCGAGGCCAGTGTGCTAGGAAGATAGAAGGAAATGATGTTGATTCCGTTCAGTTGTGCAAACATCTGGACAGTGACACCGACGATGGTACGCTTCCTGTAGCGAGTGAACATTTCCTAACGATATTATGAGCTTGTCTTATCTAGATTGTATGGGTTTCTGGTAAGTATCACTCACAGTCCAGCTTGACTTTCCGAGTTCCGCCTCATAAACCACTGCCTCTTGAATTTCCAGGAAGACATCTTGGACATGCTTTGCCTCGGTGTCGCCGTTGGAATGCAAATCTGCGATTGTTTGAAGACTTTCCTGCATGAATCCATTCTTGGCCAACCACCGAGGAGTCTCGGGGAGGAAGAAAGACATGAGCACCAGGATAGCCGAGAGGATGATTTGAATGATGAAAGGTCCCTGCCACGACATGGCGTCTGGGAGCATGAAATGAAAACCGTAGTCAACCCAGCAAGACAGCATGTATCCCGCAATTAGGCAGGTATACTCGATACCGACCATCATACCTCTTGCATGTGGTGCTGCAATCTCGGTCTGAATAATAGGGACGGTCATGGAGAGGAACCCAACACCAACACCTTGGATAGTGCGGCCGGCAACGAAAGTGGCGAAATCTGGGGCAAAGATCTGGATAAAGGCGCTGAAGAAGTAGATGAAACCGCCCAGGCGGACAGTCCTCTTTCGGCCGATCATATCGCCGAGTCTGCCGGCAATGAGGGATCCCACAGCAGCAGAGGCTTGGAGACAGGCGACGGAGATACCAGTGATGGAGGGACTGACTTCAGCTGTGCTGCCATTGGCACCACCATAATCACCGAAGAAGCGCTTCACGAAGACTGGATTCACAAGCAAACCAGACATGATACCTGCCATCAGTAAGTTATAGCATAGACACGCCAATGGAAATAAGTCAGAGTCAACTTACCAGAGTTGTAACCAAATAAAGCATCGCCCAGACTTCCGAAACCACAAGTTGCGTACAGCAACAGAGATCCCGTGATAGGATACCTCGCGGCAACCTTGCTGGGCTTCAGCTTCTTCTCGATCCAGCTTGCCTCGTCTTCATTTTGAGCGCAGACGAGCTCCGCACGTCGCCTCAACTCATCGTTTCGGGTTGCAACAGCTGAAGACATGACAAAAGAGATAAATGGACGGGTAGATGATTGTAAAGCGTGTTGAGGGGCCTCGTTGTTCTCTTCTTCTTCTCAAATTCTCAAGCTACCCACGTGGAAAAAGATGAAACTTGATGGGGCTGATATAGATAGAGAAGTCTGGGGCTTCAGCAATCTTAATATGCTACCCCAGAGGCTGCCCCGGACAATTGCCCATGCACCGTTGAGACTGCCCCGTGGAGATTTTATGGGTCTCTGTCTAGTGTTGATATACATACGGCTCTTGTGCTTGGCAATTGATAGACTTGGCAACTTGATGGCTTTGACACTAGACATAGATGATGAGGGAGATTCTACCAAATCACAAACAGATCCGAGCAAAACTAACCCTCAATTGAATGGTCCTGGAACGGACTGGGGAACTTGCACCCATGATTGAGCACGTGGGGAGTCCAGCTCCCTGGGACCCAAGTTGGCAACGATTCGAGCGTCATGCTAGTGTCGTCGGAACCGTAGTGGTAAAAAGCCTTGGCACGACCGGAACCGATCGAGAATTGGCATCTCTGGCTCTGTCACTATGGTCAATACTCTATAATTCGATCCGCCGGAACCGATAGCTGACCCGGATCTACTGGCAGAAACAACGCACCAGCAGCAGCACGATCCATTGCGCGGCGCTGCAACGAGTCAGCTCAACATCTCACGTGATTCAATGGCTTCCTCGCCTTTGTGTTCCTGTAATTAGTGCCATCCATCTGCCCTCCGCGGATGCTCATCAGCGCCTGTAGATTTCATCCGCCGGAACCGAAAGCTGTCGCGGATCCACTAAAAGTGATGCCATGCAACACGCTGTTTCTGGGGTTTTCGGCATCGTACCTCTACACAGTACAATATCGGCATTTCAGGAGCATCTATTGATACTGTTAATGTTGATTGAAATATCAATAGTGCCTTTCCGTGCTCTCAGATACGTGAAAAGTATCCCGATTTCGCAAAATCGCCACCATAAATATCATAATCATGACTCTCTTAGGCCGACTTTCACAAGTCCAAAGGGGACAACGTTCCCAGAGCCAGGATCTACGGAAATCAACAACACCTTCGTCTTGACTCCGGCCAGGGAATTTCATTACAAAGAAAGGCTTGTTCCAGAGCTTCGCAACATCGAGAGATGTTCGTGCCAGGTTCACCGTCGGGAGGACTAAAAGACTGAGTAGATGATCATCGTATGAGACGTCTCCGTCACGTTCAACCTTGAGCTCGGCATCTTTAGCCTTGCTGGAGATCAAAACCATGAACAAGTAATCAACCGGTCCGTCCTCAAGTTCCTGTCGCGTCTCTAGATCCTTAGGCGCTTGTACCGAGGCGTGTTGCCAATCGAAGAGCACGTGCGCCAGGCACCACCCATCGTCTATCAACAGCTTGTACGGATAGTCTGTTGGTATTGTAAGTCCAAGGATCGCCAACAGCCAAGGCACATATGCTGTCACATTTTACATAAGCTTTTATTCACACAAGTTATACATGACACGTGCTGGGCGCGCTATATAAATTCGAAGGTGTGGCTGCTGGCAAACACCTTGCAGAGCATGAATATAATTTTTTTCCCCTTTCTTTCCAAAAACTGAAAAAGCTGAGAAGTGCTAATAGCAGACTTCCAGTAACTCTCGACGCTGATGAGGCCCTTACGGCGTTTCAAAAGAATTCCCCCGGGTAGCGTTCTTGCAGAGCATCCTCAACAGCCTGCAAGCAATCCGACTTTCGATACCGATCTACATCGGGCCAGCCGTGCTGACGATAGACACCTTGGACTGTCTCGATATATCCATCTTTTCCGGGCCCCGATGGAGTGTAAATATCTTGAACCCTCATGCAATCAAGCGCGACGAAACTCAACTTCCGGAACTGCCCCTTGAGCACCTCAAAGAACTCCGCAACAGGCCAAGCGGGAGAATCCCCTCTCCATTCAGCCTCTTCATCGTCTTCATCCCAGGTAGCCGTGTCCTCGTCAAACAGTATCGGCCTGATCAAGGTCGAATCGTCATCCAAGCTCTGCTCATCCTTGAGTTCGCCGTAGCACCCGACCCAATGAACCACGCCGAGCTCCGTGTCGAGGAGGAAATAGCCGCCCAACTCGGCGCTCTCACACGCAGTCAACCCAATGACGTGCGCGGGGATGCTGTCGCTTTCCACGTACTCGGGCGGCTCCGAGCAGATCCTGGCGTTCTCGCCATCTTCGTCCGACGCACATGGCGTGTCGGCCCAATTGGCGAACTCAACCCATGGCGCGGCCTGGATGCGCTCGCCGTCGGTGCGGATGTAGGGCAGGTGGCGGAGGAGGTTGATCACGGTGTCGGACTTGCCAAGACCGTGCATTGTTTCTGGTGTTATCTCGGACCAGCCGCCAGGTGGTGGCCGGAGGACAGATGATTCGTCCAAATAGAGTGAGGTCAGAAAGTCGTAGTAGTCACTGATGGCTGCGACGCATTCGTCATGATAAAAAATGTAGGTGGTTGGTTGAGACATCTTGTTCTCCAATTTAACAGCGGCAGTGCGTGAGAGGATTTGGAAAGTAATTGCAGCTGGGAAATAATTTTTCTTGGAAGACTCGTAGTGCTTACGTACTAGGTACTTATATGGAAGTGTATGATCTTGGCGGTGGGGATAAGAATGACAGGTCGGATAAACACAAGCAGATTGAAACGACAACGACATGCAAGGGGCCCATGCAATGCGGAACGCTAGTCCGCCTTTATTTGACACACAAACGACTTATAGGAAGCAAGAGGGTTGGCCTCAAATGCTTTCTTGATAAGTCGTCAATGTCGTCTCGTTCAATGGTACCGACTTCATGCCGAGAGATGTTATTCAGAGACAATGTCGGAAGTGTGTTTAAACGAGAGCCCAGCCACCATCATTTCGGGCTTTGGTGCCGGGGTTCTTAGGCAGGCATAAACTACAAACAATCCAACGTCAATTATACGGCAACCGCAATGGTACAATTAGCAACGCGCCATCTTACTGAACCATGATGATCACAGACGCTGCTAACATGATGGATCATTGGATCCGCAAGCACTCTGGTCAACTCGACCTGTGGGTCAGTTAGACTCGACTCGGCAAGTACATGGGCCTGCGACAGCCCGAGGTTATTCGTCCTCGTGGTCTCATGGGAAGAATGTTTGGCCAGAACTAGCCCAGTTGAGAGACGCCTACGGGAAAATTGGGACACAGGCATACAATGAGAATGGTTACGACGGAATGGCAATGGGAAGTGGCACTTTGATTCATGTCTTAACTGGATGCCATGGGTGTTTTTCATGATTTAAATTGGAGACGAGGCCCTCGGGTCGCCTCCGGCCGGTGGTGAAGATGGCCGAGTGGAAGGGGGAACACGGGAAAGCACGGCCTTCGGGCCACTGTTTACATTAAGCTTTACTGTCAAGCCATGAGGGAGAACGGTCCCCTTTCTACATGACCTCTCAACTCAATTAACTGTTTTATCATATCTGGTTTCGTGAACTTCCCTGACTTTCCCGGCTCGTCTTCTTAATTCCCACCTCCGACCATAACCAGCTTCATGCTCCACGACACAAATACCTTCCACTACTCCCATAGATACGTATAGATCTTCAACCAACCAATCTATCACTTTACTCACCATAACCTCGTTCATCTCAACACCACCGGCCAGTCCGTCATAAGGGAGCTGACGTGCAGTCAACGTGGGTCTTTGATTGAGTCTGATAGACATACAGACAGTTAGTCTAGCAATGGTCAGAATCAGTCCGACGCGATCTTCTCAAGACCATTTTTGAACAAAATTCCCGGTTGGTCCGTACATAAGAAACACGCAAATAAATATTGTAAGGGCAAATATGGATTATGGAATGGAAACAAAAGGCAAAAAACACACAACACCGGGGATTCTCCAGCCCTCACCGATCTGAGTACTGATCCGGCAGCAATACAGTCAGTTTTGGGAGGCTGCAGAAATACGCAGCTCCTTTCTTATAAGGCTTAACACAAATCTGAAGAGTTTTGCCTTGGTTCGGCAACATGACGGGTAACTCTATTAACAGGACGTAGCTCGAAGAGTTATATCTTCGGTTCGAGGGGGAATAATAAAGATATTGTCAGTCTGCAGGTCCACATGGGTCAACCTGGGCCGCTCTATTTCCCGCCCATGGGCAGCGTCCAGCGCGTTGACACCATCATTGAAACATTAAGTTCAAATTAAATCACATTATACCCTACCAAGTATCCTCCGCGCTTGTGCTTGATAGCTGTGGCCTAGCTGTCTCAATCCGGAAGCCTCTTCCGCTTTCCTTGGACGAGCTTGCATGAAATATATTGTGGTCGGACTTCGCCGGCGACACCGCGGCGCTGGATCTCTTGGGTGGCCCGAGGTTTGACTTCTAGGGACCAAGCTTTCCTTCAAGATCGGCAGGCGACCAATCGCGTTTGAAGTAGACGCCTGCATTCATGTTGCCACTGGTAACAACAGTACCTAAGACAGTTCGTTCTTGCCATTTCTCGGCGGCTTTCGGAGACTCGAAGCCAAGAACCATGCCGAGGGAGCTGTGCCGCAGCCCGCTCATCCCCGGGGCAGGCGGTAGCCAGACATTATATGGCTGGTCGAAGAAGATGCGGGCTTCGGGATTCTTGGTCTGGTATGCTGCTGCTTGGCCATGGCGTTCGAATCGTAGCATAAACTCTTTCTTTCCAAAGTCATATGAGAACTCTACACGTATTGGGGGCTCGTGTTTGTGTGCTATTGAATGAATGGTTGATGTTTGTATTTGAAAATCGTCGTTCCACTATTTTTTTTTTTTTTTTTGGCTTGGGTTTTGGCTGATAATTTTGATGACCACGTTGACTTTATGGAGGATATGAAAGTTTGGGTGCCTGTCTCGGCCTGATCTGGCGTTTTACCAGAGGGGAAGCAGAAAAGCAGAAAAACTGAACTGTGATCAAAATCTTTGAAGACAAGGCGTGCTCCCTTACTGAGAATGCAACTTGATACTGAAGTAACGCCGGGTGCTGTTGACAGGCAGGACCATAGTAAGTAGTGAGCTTCTACTATTCAATAAGTACTCGAGGTCTAAAACTGAATTCAAGTTCCACCATCAAAGGGTCATGCTGGTCAGGACCAAATTGGAATGTTCAAGCCATTGTTCATACGGATAGTGCAGGTCCATCTTCAACAAGACCTGTGAGCGTCGCCAGCACACAGCTGCAGGATGTGGTTCGTGTGAGGCGAAGCGACGAAATCCACCCAGATGCTCCCCCTTCACTGGCACTGGAATTTGCTCGGGCGGACACATTCCCCAGCTCACATCACCAGACTGCACTACAGAGTGCATATGCAGGGAGTTCTCAAGGGAGTCTTGAGAGTACAGCACAAAGAACCGACGTCATTGGAGCTGAAGCTGATGGTGTGCAATGCTCTAAACTTGAAATATCAACTCTGAACGGCTACTAGTGCTAACTCAGAGATCTAGCTTAAGTTACAGTAGACCAAGGCGATCAGGCGATTAACGAATTTCTCACCGATCATTTTAGAGATATCTTCAGCTTGGACGTCCAAAAAATGCCAAAAACGGCGTTTTGGCCCATTTTAAAGTAATTTCACAATGTTCAAAAGAGGGAACCCCTTGGCTGACTTTGTGTAGACCTGCAGATTTTGATTTCGAGAGACTGAGTAAGGATCCCGAGCCACGGGTAACTATGAGGCTGAGCTTGGCGGCCCTGAACCGTATGAGAATGCATGGACTCCAGATAAAGCTCTCGAGAAAGATAATGCGTATGCATTATTTTCACGAAATGCCAAGTGAATGGGAAGAATTACTTAAAGATTACAGTGAGTAAGCTCCTCACATGGCACAGTGTTTCGGGTTATCCGAGATGAACTAAATACTTGTAGTAAATGCGGCGCGTGATAACGACTACATTCGCACGTGTGTCGATGACGGGCTTCACGATGCATTCGTCATCAAAAGCGAGCGCAACGTAGACGCACAAGTCTTGCGCGCATACTTGCTCGAAATACCATCAGAGAAACGAGAACGGGTACTCAGGGAACGTACTATCGACGACAAGAAGATATTCAATTTCATGCCTCCATTAGAACAAGAGCCCACCGCCATTGGAGGAACACGAACGGAGAGGACGCGCAAGAAACGGACGGAAGACTTCCTGAAACGTGTCGTATCATCCGTCATTGGGGGGGCCTTCCTCGTTGTCCCGATGTGGCTCATGATCTTGTTGAATTCTCAGCGGGCGTCGCTTATTACGACCTCTGTCTTTGTTTTTGCGAGCGGCATCGTGGCGTCATATCAGTTGGAGAATCCTCTCTCTGTGCTTTCAACGACTGCTGCATATGCGGCCGTCCTCGTTGTCTTCGTGGGTACAAGTGGCGGTACGAGTGGTGCTACTGCGTGATATTGATCACTGATCAGTCGGTGCTTCCCTTATATGGAAATGAATATGACACTATCTTCCACAATGCTTTCAAGCAGTATCCCACATTAACTCACAGGGTGCTGTTCTTCTTGACACTGGCACGAGAAATATTACCGCCAATTTGGATGGCCCCACCTTGATAGAAGTTGGGCCACTGAGACTGGCTTGGAAATCCCTCTCCTTCGTTGGTGATACTTGATGACAAATATTTACATATATACTTTTACAATCGTGAATCTTGGAAGACAAGCATATTTACAAAGGAGACGGAGAGTCAGCTTTTTTTTTTTTGCAGGCCTGACTTGCAACTGGACGAAACTTTTTGTACCTTGAATGTTGGCGGCAATTGAAGACGTTCAGGTTCATATCGAACAGTGACTAGGTAGATGCCAATATTTTCCAAGGAACTGCCAATGCTAATCCCGACGATCGGTTACTTGTAGAACACACCAAGTTCTATGACGGTCGATAAATATGCATAAAAATGTGACTGAACGAGGAAAAATTGCGAGCAGAATGGCAAAAACATACAACACCGGGGATTCCCCAGCCGTCACCGATCTGAGTACTAATCCGGCAGCAATACGGTCAGTTTTGGGAGGCTGCAGACATGCGCACGTCTTTTCTTGAGGCTTAACACAACATATTTCACAGCGTTCGCCTGGGGCATGTCGACAAGTTCATTAGCATATCGAAGCGGCAAGATCTTTCACAACTGTGGCGTTTTCCCGCACCTATGACTATCGTGATGACTTCGGCGACCTTCGATACAAGTGTACAAGCGTGTAAAATGTTAAACATGGGTTATGGCGTGTCTATCTTTGCGTCTGGGCACATTGGCGAACCTGATCAGGGATCTCGGGACTCAGCCTGGCTGGATATATTGGTCAGAAACCAAAGGCTCTCATATGAAAATCATCATGGGACAAACTCGACAGTGCCATCGTACCTCCCGAGGATAAAACAGACAGTCTTGATCCCAAAAATTGAGCTAGAGTACGAAACAAAAGGATCACAGTTATTTGTGAGACAGTACTATTTAGGTTATATTTCAGTTTTTC